ATTGGTGGTTACTAGTTTTTTCTAACCATTATGGATGACCATAGCAGAATGACTTAGACATATATGATGAAACATAAGTCTGAAACAAGAACAATAATCACAGGATTTTGTGTCTATGTTCGATGCCAATTTGAATGAGAAATTAAAATCATACGTAGTGACAATGGAATGGAGTTCTCTATGACTGAATTTTTTCAAGAAAAAAGGATTTTACATGAAACCATATGTGTGGAAACCCATCAACAAAATGGAAAAGCTGAAAGAAAGCATCAACACATTCTAAGTGTTGCAAAGGCATTGAAAATATAGGCCAATCTACCAACTAAATTCTGGGCAGATTGTGTACTTCATGCAGTCTACCTAATCAATCGTATCCCCTCTGCCCTTCTCTCTCACAAATCACTATATTCTATCCTTTTTAACACTAATCCTGATCTAACCTCCTTGAAAGTATTTGGCTGTCTTTGCTTTGCTTCCACCAAAATAGCAAATAGAGATAAGTTTGATACTAGGGTAAGGAAATGTATATTTCTTGGTTTCTCTGTAGGTACAAAGGGATTCAAACTATATGATTTGGATTCTAGATAGATTTTCTTATCAAGCGATGTGGTTTTCTATAAGGAAACATTTCCATTCCTTACCGACACACATAATACATCTATACCTACCCCTATTTTACTAACCATCTCAAACACCACATCCTATGACATTACCTCTGCCACCTCTCACTCACCATCCCCACTGAATCCTCCATCACCAACATCCATTCCCTCACCCCCACCAACACCATCATCACCCCCACAATCACCTTACATTCACCGCTCCTCTAGACAGTCTCACCCTCCTTCTTACCTCACAGATTATGACTGTCCTACCCTTTCTCACACATCACCGCATACCCTATCCTCTATAATCTCCTATCAGAATATCTCATAACAACATCAAGCCTTCTCAACTGCTCTCACCTACAACAAAGAACTTACATTTTATAAGCAAGCTATCCAACACAAGGCATGGAGAGATGCTATATAAGCAGAATTGATAGCATTAAAAGACAATGAAACTTAGGAGCTCACTTTCTTACCTACTGGTAAAATTACAATTGACTGTAAATGGGTTCGCTGTTTGAAATTTAATACAGATGGGAGTCTTCAACGTTGCAAGAGTAGGGTGGTTACCAAGGGATTTACACAACAAGAAGGTCTAGACTATACTGAAACATTCTCTCCCGTTGTGAAGCTCATCATAATTCGAGTATTGCTAGCCCTTACTGCTGTTCAGAACTGGTATTTACACCAGCTCGATATAAATAATGCCTTCTTACATAATGACTTGCATGAAAAAGTCTACATGAAACCACCTCTTTGACTTACCTCATCCAGACATGCTATGTCGACTCTAAAAGAGTATCTATGGTTTGAAGCAAGCCAGCAAGCAATGGCATTCCAATCTCACTTCAACATTGACCCCTAATGGGTTTCCATAATCTCAATCTGACCACTCTATGTTCAATAAGCAGTGAGATATTGACTTCATTATTCTCCTTGTTTACGTTGATGATGTTTTACTGGCTAGCAACAATCTAGCACTGATTGAATCCATAAAATAGTATCTTGATAATGTTTTTAAGATCAAATATCTCGATCTTGCCAAATACTTCTTGGGTCTAGAACTCACACAGTCATCCTCTGGCATTAACCTTTCACAACTCAAATATACCTTGGATTTACTTCAAGAAACAGACTTCCTAAACTCTAAGCCATTCTCTTTTCCCATGGTTACTCAAATAACAGCTATAGGGGAACCATTCTTCGACATCTCTTTTTATCAATGTCTTATCAAAAAAATTGATATATCTTACCATAACAATACCTGATATCAGCTTTACAATCCAACAATTATCCTAATTCTTAGACCCAACACATGTAAGTAGCTTATTGCATACTTCGATACCTCAAGAACTCATCAAGCCAGGACATTCTCTTCCATAGTGATTCCTCCCTTCAACTTCAAGCATTCTCCGATTTAGATTGGGCAACTTGCCCTGACTCTCGTAAATTAGTAATTGGCTTTTTTATGTTTTTAGGATCTTCTCTAGTCTCTTGAAAATCTAAGAAGCAACCCACCATTTCCAAAAAGCTCCTATAAAGCAGAGTATTGTACCTTGCTACTATAACTTGCAAGCATTAGTGGTTCCTTTACTTACTTTGGGACTTCAGTATCCAACATCCATAAGCTATCTACCTTTATTGCGATAATCAATCAGCCATTCACATTGTTGAGAACCTAATTTTCCACGAATGAACGAAGCACGTCAAAATTGATTGTCACATCTTTTAGAAAAAAGTTCGGTCAGGCATTACTCATCTCCTTCCAATCCCTTCTCACTCACAGCTTACCGATGTCTTCATAAAAGCCCTCCTAAAACCATACTCTCTTGTTGTGAAGCTTATCACAATTTAAGTATTGCTAACCCTTATCGTTGCTTAGAACTGGTACTTGCACTAGCTCGACATAAACAACACCTTCTTACACGGTGAATTGCATGAAGAAGTCTACATAAAACCACAGGGCTTAAGTTGCCTCATCCAGACATGGTATGTCTACTCCAAAAGAGTATCAATGGTTTGAAACAAGCCATCAGGCAATGGCATTCCAAGCTCACTTCAGCATTGACCTCTAGTGGGTTTATACAATCCTAATCTGACCACTTCATATTCAATAAGCAGCGAGATAGTGACTTCATCATTCTCCTTGTTTACGTTCATGATGTCTTACTGGCTAGCAACAATCTAGCACTGATTGAATCCATAAAGAAGTACCTTGATAATGCTTTTAAGATCAAAGATCTCGGTCTTGCCAAATACTTCTTGGGTCTAGAATTTACATGGTCTTCCTCTAACATTAACCTTTCATAGCACAAATATACCTTGGATTTTTTTCAAGAAACAGACTTCCTAAACTCTAAACCACTATCTACTCCCATGGCTACCTATACTCGAATAATAGCTATAGGGGAACCATTCTCTGACATCTCTTCCTATCGAGGTCTTATTGAAAAATAATATGTCTTACCACAACAAGACTTGATATTAGCTTGACAGTCTAGCAATTATCCAAATTCTTATACCCAACATACATAAGTAGCACATCGCATACTTTGATACCTTAAGAACTCATCAGGTCAGGGCATTCTCTTCCTTAGTGATTCCCTCCTTCAACTTCAAGCATTCTCTGATTTAGATTGGGCAACTTACCCTGACTCTCATAAATCAATTACTGATTTTTATGTGTTTTTAGGATCTTCTCTGGTCTCTTGAAAATCCAAGAAGCAACCCATCATTTTCAAAAGCTCCTCTAAGGTAGAATATCGTGCCCTTGTTACTACAACGTATGAGCTTTAGTGGTTCCATTACTTACTTTGGGACTTCGGTATCCAACATTACCTCTATTGCGATAATCAATTAGCCATTCACATTACTGAGAACCTAATTTTCCACGAACGAATGAAGCATGTCATTACCCGACATCGGACGGGACTCCTAAAATTAAAATTCTAAATTGTTATTAATATTTACAAGCTTGTTTATAGAGTTTTGGAGTCGCCACCTAGTATTAAGGAACTAGGAACCTAAAAATAACACTCGGTCTAGAGATTCTATGGTAAGCGAGTTGGTTACACTTTTAGGAAGATAATTATTCGCCCTAAAAGTGCCCTTTCCAAAGAAAGGTACCACATCTTGTTTTAGTCCTAAATTTATCTCCTATATTATTTATCTATGCCAATTTATTTTCTAAATCTTAAACGAAAAGTATTATCATAACAAAATGTATTTTTAGTGTTGAGCGTGGCATCGTATTGAACCAATCGTCGGTCCCCTCCATCGGGCGATACGTCGGTTCAAACATCGGATCCACTTTGAGCCTCGATGCAACCGGTACATCGGAGGACATTCGGATTAAATGATGATTTTGGTGATGACCGTCCCTATCAAATAGGAGACCTCATCACGAAACGACGAGTCCCTATCAAAAGGAGACTTCGTTGAGAATTTTATTATTATTATTATTATTTTTAAATGTAACAACACATGAAAATAAGTTCACCTAAAAATCAAAATATCAACTTTAAAGTACTGCAAAATATATATATATATAATAAATAAATAAATAAATAATAATAATAATAACAATAATAATCAAACTATAAAACATGTTAAAATAAATTAGCTTGACCATAGACCTAATATCTGTAACCTATTTCTCTCATACCCCTTTTTAACTCTGTTTTTTTTTTTTTTTACTCCTCACTTTTACCCTCCCGTTTCTTTACTTCTTTATTTATCATTTTTTTTTTTTTTTTTTACGTGAAGGCTGACCTAACTCCAGCTTTCTTCTAAATTGGGAGAAAAGGGAAAGGAGGCTGGACCGAATCCAAGTCCAGCCTCTTTCCTCCTTATATTTTTTTTAAAAAAAAAACAATTGCAAGGCCAAGGCTGGGTAAAAGTCAGCCCAGCCTTTCCATTCGCGTGGGTTGGGTTTAACCCAACCCACATGATTCCTCTTTTTAAAAAGAAAATAAACCCCACGACTAGACCCTACCCAAAACAACTCCCTGTTTATATTTCTCATTTATATCAGATCAGAAACGGGAATCTCAAGCTTTTTACACCTTCACTCTCGTTCATATTTTTCTTAATTTCCCTCTCTATTTCGAATCTGCGTTTTTACTTAACAAGAACATAAGCACTAATAGGATGCAGGTGGCGTTAAGATTACCTGACCGAACTTCAAGGGAATGAAGAAAAATTTTCTTTTTTCTTGCTGTTGTAGTGATTGTTGATTTTGCAGGTAGAACTAATTGTTGAGACTGAATCGGATGGAGATGATCACGCTCGCTGTGTAGAACTTGACGAATTGGAAAGAATTGAATGCACTATGATTCTGAAGCTTGTGGTTGTTGGTATGCGAATTTCTGTTACAGCTAATTGGAAGCGAGATTAGTGGGATGGTGTATTTCGTTCGTTTGAAATGATTGAATGGAACACTGGATTGCTTGTGTTCTTTGAACTCCTGCCCAGATTTTTGAAAGAGAAAGCCCGTAGCTGAAGAACAGAGGCTCAACAATGGAAGAACATGAACCCAGAAAGCTATGAAGAAACTCACGGAGCTTCCCAGAATTCTTAAACGAAAACAAGAATTATGAAGAATTGAGCCCCAAAATCAGGAAGCGAAGTTCAGAAACCCGTGAGGAATGAGATGGAACTCAGAAGAATTGAAAACGATGAACTAACAAAACCTGCATTTGAAGAACAAAAACCCAGCCAATGAAGAACACCAAAAACACTGTAGCTAATGCCCAGAAAATCCCAAAAAATGCAGCAACTATTTTTCCCAAAAGTATTTCGATTTTTTTTTTTTTACTAGAATTTTCCCTCTTTTCTTTCTCCTCTTCTTTTCTCTCTGCACCCCCAAAAAAAATCCTCCTTAGCCTTCAATTCTAAACTCTTTTATAGGCACTCCCATTTGAATTCTACTCCAACTCAAACACTTTCAAATTCAGATTTTTACCTAACCTATTTGAACTCAAAATCCTGTTATTGATTTCGAATTTGATTAACTAAATAATCGGGATAAACCAAATTCGAAGAAATCCAAAAACGGTTAGAGGATTAGGATAACTTTCAATCAAAATTTGGAGGGAATCAGGAGTGAAATTCTGGGCTAGAGTGAACGACATGTCATTCGTTCAACTTTAGTCCTGTCATTCACTCCGAGCCTCCACTTTGGTCCCTGAACATTTTAATTATTTGCAATCATGCTTATTTGGTGCAATTTCAGTCATGTAAGGAATTGTTTTTCGATTTGGTCCCCACAAATAGCAATTCAAGTATTGAATTTCTTTAACTGATTCAATTATGCCCTTGAAGATTTTATATATATATATATATATTTTTTTTCAAAAATAAAATAAAATAAAAATAAAGAAATAAACATTTCAAAATAAAAGCTATTATTAAAAAAAAAATTATTTTTTTATTTTTTTTATTTTTTATTCTTTATTGGTTATGACAAAGCACATCAAAATTGATTACCACATTGTTTGGAAAAAAGTTCAGTCAGACATCATTCATCTCTTTCCAATTCCTTCTCACTCACAACTTCTTAATGTCTTCACAAAAGTCCTCCCAAAACCCGCATTTCAAACACTATTGTTCAAATTGGGTGTACACAACGTGTATAGTCTAGTTTACGGGGGTCTGTTGAAACAAAATACAGAGGCCAACTGAAGGTTATCAAGCCCACTCCCATAGCAGCCTACCCATAAGGGCTTATGGGTCACACTCTCTCCATCGAGCTAGAGCCTATCCTTTCTATCCTTTATTTCCTCTTTATTTTTTATTGATTTTTTCTTTTCGACCTGTTATGTTAGTTGTATGTTATTTTCTTTTTCTTTATTTACGAGGTAATATGGAGCTTTTTAGAATTAGTTATAGCATTCCAAGATTCCTAATCATTATTGTAACCAGTTTAGTTAAGCTTTGTACAAAGAGCCTATATATAGGCTTCTCATATTCAATAATAAAAACAAGCCAAAATCTTTGTTTTATAAAAGTTGTCAATTCTCCTTGGTATTCTACTTCCACTACTTTGGATTGCTTCTCAGCAACCTCATATGGTGTCAAATTTACGTTGTTGGTTTCTTTTTTCGTAATCTACACTAGAAAATATGTTATAATAAGTCAGCCATGGTTTGATGCTAAATGCAAAGGTGTATTTCCATCATGATCCTTAGTGTCTACAAGTGCTCGAAGCTTATTATTTTCTAGGATAGACTTCACTAATCAATGATTTCCACTATCTGCTGCAACATGAAGGATTTTCATGGATAGGCAAGTTACACCATCATAATATTTGTCAATCTGGAAGTTAGTTTCCCAAACACAACCCATAGATGTTGCAAGTGAAGTGCATTCCCTCCATTTTCATCTTCAGCGCATAAAAGGTTTGGCATTTTACTAGCTATTTGCTTCAATTTATCTAAAATTAATTAAAAATAATTAAATGATCAATCAAGATAATGAAAGTAAGAGTAACATATTAAGACATATGAATGAGCATAAATAAAAACCATCTAACTACCTTGCTTTCTTCTTTCAACTGTTGTATGTACTAGAGACTTTCCTTCTATCTTTTTCAGGTAATCAACATCATTTGACATAACCTCCATAAGAAAAGTGAGCATATGGCTCTCCTGGTCATTTCTACTTTCGACTACAAGATACAAGGGAGACTTATGTTCCTTGTTCTAAATATAGAAAACCTTCGAGCATTCCAAAACAATAAATTTGGCCACATCCTCGTGGCAATTAATGACTGCCTCATGAAGAGTAGTGTTTCCTCTATTATTCTTCATCTTTATATAGTCAGCTATCTTGGCGATGCTTTCTCCTTCAGGACTTTTTACCTTGTTGCTGAGAATTGTAGAAGTTTCTTTCTGTACAGCTCTCACAGCAATTTGTAGTGCAATATCGTCCAGGAAGTTAATCTTCGTGATTAGAAGTATAGATTCCTCAACTAGTTTTTCAGTCACTTTTGGCTTCCATGGCTTGCTACAACATGAAGCAGTGAATTTTCAAAAGAGCTAACCAGTTTCAATATGATGGATGATGGTTTCCTTAATGAAACGCATCTCATTTTTCAGATAATTCATCATATTTTTCTTTTGCTGCATGCTTATATAACTCATCATTCATCATCTTATTTGACTCATCATCTGGTAGATGTGCGATGGTAGTACCTTATCCGTCGGTGTCTATCGATACTACCATAACTGGAATATGAAAAGGTTCTTGAATGTATTTCAATGGCAGTATCTCGAGTAGCTTTATTGTAACAACAGGGGTAGTGAAAGGCTATTTGGAAGGGTTTTAGTGTACTAGACGATGGGCTATTGTGTAGTTTTTATTTGAAGACTTTTGCATTGGAATTTTTCTTTTTATTTTTTTTGGAATTAAGCTTGATTTGGTACTATTTTTATGTTAGTGCAAATGCTACTGTAGTGACCAACAATGGTCATCTATTTATAGATTGTCAGTTGTAGCCTATAAATGAATGGAATCCAAGTGAAGTGAGGTTTACTTTGATCATTCATCTGCATCAATACCTTGTCTCAACATGAGAGGAACCAGCTGGTAGAAAATGTAAGGACAAATTTGATGCGGACCAACGAGCCTTGTAATTCATGGAATGATATAAGGACGATAGAAACTGAACAAAAACTAGCGATCCAATTTTGAGATTTTTTGAACCTATTCGATGCCAAACGAGCCAATGAGCAAAACACATGGGTTATACCCATGATGTATGGGTGATTTTGGCAAAAAAAAAAAAAATCGTTTAGGCCTTCAAAATCAACTTTTACTCGCTTTTTGGGATTTTTCCTAATTTTTTGGATTTTTAGTATTTGTTTCCCTTTTGAATTCCTTTTGGGTTTTAACTAAAATTTTACTATTTATGTATGACTTTGAGACGAGAAAAACCTCACTTTTCTTGGCTAATTAAGTTTTATGAGAGAGTGCCTCAATTTTATCCCAACTTTTGACATTCTTTGAATCAATAGAGTTGAAGCCTATTTTCTAGTATTTGTGCTCAATTCAACGGGTTATTATAGACTAACATCTGAATTTTAGATCAACGGTATTTATCTTTCTTTACGTAAATTTTCGCTACGTCAAAACTTCACCATGGCAAAAAGAGCTAAGACTAGTGTATGAGAAACAAAAGAAAAGGAAGGACAATTCCTATATCGATTCTAAAAAAGCATTGGTGCTTCTAATTATCTTAAGCAAGAGTTTAGAATCCATGTAATGTTTTTAAATTTAAATGAGGCACAATGTTATTAATGATGCATGCCAATATGCTCATAAGCATACAACCTATCTCTTAGTATGTGAATCATAAAAGCATCAATGCTGAAGTTGTTAGGATAGTTTAAGCAGTTAGCATTACAATAGAGTTAGAATTTTTAACGTGGAAGACAGTCAGTACAAATAGAATGTTAGCATGATTGTTGTAGGCTGCTAGCTGCTCAATCTCCCTTCATTATCAAACACATTGTAACCTATCTTGTATAACTATAGATACTTATCATGTAATGCCTCTGTATATAAAGACACACATCAAGAATAATACAACACAACTTTATTATTTCACACGGTATCAAAGCTAATCTCAATTTTATTTGCAATAACTTTCTTCTTCCCTCTAAATGGCCAGCCAACTTATCACTTTCATTAATACTACTTCCTCTACCACACCCATCTCCCATCATGCCTTTTCCATAAAACCCAATGTTTGTAATTTTCTCACTTGGAAAACTCGGTTCTTACCCCTATTAAACTATCACAAACTCACTAGTTTTATTGATGGCATAGCCTCTTCACCATCATCCATCATTTCGTTCGACATTACTCCCTCCACATCTATCTAACCTAGCCTTTGATTCATGGTTTCAAAAAGACCAACTGCTATTGTCTTGGTTGCTCATTTTCCTATTCAAGGAAATCTTTCTATATGTAATTTGTTTTTCCTCTTCTTACTCCATTTGGAAGGCACTAGAAAGTGCATTTGGTTCTATATCTCGGAACCATCACTATAGCTCAATATAGAACTCCAAGAAATAAAGAAAAATGATCTATCTATCACTAATTATCTTCAAAAAGAGCCTCGTTGATGAACTTTCCTATACTTGGTTTGCTCCATCTCTACTTGTAGAGTTTAATTCGATTATCTATCGCAATATTGAAAGTGAATACCATCCGATCATTACTTGCTTTGAACTTATGATCCGACCTCGTCTCCTTTCCGAACTCCATGGTCACCTCATTGCATATGAAATTTTAATCAAAAGCATACATGCATATCTACCCGCCAATGTCACCTTGAAGCATACACCAACCTCTTCCCCATGCCTTTTTCCCTCATCCTCCTTTATTAAATAACACTATTAGTCTCCATAATTCTATCCACCATGTCGGTATAAGAGAAACTGTGGCCCTTGCTAAATTTATGATTTTAGGAACCACGATGCTGATAGATGTAAACGTCGTTACATACCATGCAAGAATTCCTTCTTCGCACCACGGGCCAATGTTGCTTGGCATGATTTAGCTATATTAGTTCCTTCTTCTTCACTACCACCTTCCAACATGCCTTCTACTTATTCACTAGTTCCTTCCATAATGGGCTAGTATCTTGATATAGGTGTACACATCATATGACTCCGGACTACTCGCTCACTCTCATGTTACAACTTATAAGGGTCTAGATTAGATTACTATTAGTAACGACCAAGGTTTGCCTATTTCCCATACTAGTATTGGCTATGTTCCTTCACTTTCTCTCGATAAAAATTTTATACTTCAAAATATTTATCATGTTCCTACTCTAACTAAATCACCTCTATCTATTCAAAAGTTCACCACTGATAACAATTGTTTCTTTGAATTTTAGCCCTCTCATTTTTGATAAAGGATCGGGTGAGCAAGGCAATCTTATTGCAAGGTAGGAGTAAAAATAGACTATATCACTTACTTGTCTCCACCCAAGAAAGTTTTCCTAAGCCAAAGTGTTCCTTTCGTAACTTGGCACTTTCGTTTCGGTCATCCTCAACCTCCGAATGTCTCTAAAATAATCAAAGATAATAACTTGCATTGTTCCACTACGTCTCTTTACGTCAGTAATTGTTCGCGTTAGCATCCGTTGAACATACCAACAATAAACCTTTTGATATCATTCATTCAAATGTTTGAGAGCACGCCTTTATGATTTCTAATTTAGGCTATCGTTATTTTTTATTATTTGTTGATGATTTTATAAGATTTACTAGGGTTTATTTTCTTAAAAATAAAAGTCATGTCCACTCCATCTTTCTTCAATTTCAATCTTATGTTAATCGACAATTTAATGGAACCATAAAATGATTTTATTCGGACTAGAGAGGAGAGTATCAAAAGCTGAATTCTTATTTTAAACAAGTTGGCATTATTCATTGTATTGCATGTCCTTACACTTATGAACAAAATGGAATCTACTGAACAAAAAATCGGGCATATTGTTGACACCGGCTTAACCATTTTGGCCTATGCTACTATCCCTTTCAAGTATTGGTCTTATGCCTTTCAAAAAAGTGTTCGGTTAATCAACTTACTGCCTACACCACTTGACTAAAACAAAACACCATACGAATTACTACATGGCCATAAACCTAAGCATATAGAACTAAAAACATTTGGTTGTGCTATTTATCCCCTTCTACATCGATATAATCAACACTAGCTCTCCTTTTGCACCAAGGTTTGTGTCTATCTAGTGCGATCTCCTCATCATCATGGTCACTTGTGTCTAGATCCCGAAAATAGCAAAGTTTATGTAGCTAGACATGTCAAATTTGATGAACCTTCTTTCCTATATATTAACAAAGTTGTTCGGCTTGAGAGTCCCGCTTTGCCAACATATAGTCACCAACTCCATTGATGATTGTTTCAGTTCCATCTCCTCCTCTAATGCAATAAGGTATGTCTATATTTATTCCTTTATCCTTATCTCTTTCCATTTCCTCCCCTCCTAGGACTCCTACTTCATCTAAGATACTTTTATGTCCCCCTTCTCCTTCACCTACTACAGCAACCAGCACAGTCTCTACCATATCCCATCCACCTAATTCACCTAATATTATCCCTCATATTGACCCATCCAATCCTCCTTTTTGGCAATTCCCCTCTAAGTCTAAATCTTGTTGTTGATCTCTCCTGTTATCCCACTATCCCATCTACTAACTCTAATTCCTCTCTCCCTCGTGCTCACTTTATGGCCCTTCATCCCTCCACCATGCAAAAATGCCAAGCTAATGTTATGCTCAAAGAAAAACCCAATTACCTCACTAATAAACCATGAACTTATAGCCAAGCAAAATCATTCCATGAATGACAACAAGCAATAGTAGCTGAAATAGTTGCACTCCTACCCTATACCACTTAGACTCTTGTTCTACATCGTTTAAATGTTAACATTATAGGGAAAAAAATGGGTTTATAGGATAAAACACATTCCAAATGGCAAGGTTGATCGTTATAAAGCAAGGCTAGTAGCAAAGGGATACACCCAAACATCAAGTTTGGACTACAAAGACACTTTAGTCCTGTAGTTAAAACCATTACAATTAAAGTTCTATTAGCCTTAGCTTCCATGTTTCACTAGTCCATGAGGCAACTGGATGTTTCAAATGCGTTCCTGCATAGGCATCTTGCTGAATAGGTTTTCATGGAACAACCACAAGGCGTACTGATCTTTCCTATCCAAACTTTGCATGCAGGCTCAATCGCTCTCTCTATGGCTTGAAACAGGCCCCTAGAGCTTGGTTCACACATCTAAGTCAGTTTCTCACTTCCCTAACGTTCATACCATCAAAGATTGATTCTTCATTATTTGTTTTTCGAGTTGCTATAGATGTAGTCTTCCTGCTAGTTCATGTGGATGACTTAATCATCACATGTTCCTCTCCTACACTATTCCTGGCCATTATCACATAGCTCAAAGAAGAATTTCCCACCCATAATCTAGGTGCTCTTCATCACTTTCTTGTATAGAGGTATCTTTTGATCCTATAAGAATTCTTCTATCCTAACAAAACTGTATTCGTGATCTTCTTCTTCGCAATGGTATGGAAGACTACAACCCATGCTCCACTCCAATGGCTACCTCTCCCACCTTGTCCAAAAACAGTGGTAGTCCACTTGACCATAGAGATCACTATCGCCAGCTAGTTGGTGCCTTTTAGTATGTTACTATCACACATCTAGTTGTTGCATAAATAGTTAATAAACTTTTTTAATTCATGCATCACCCCGACTGATAAACATTGAAAGGCCTTGAAGAGGTTACTATGCTACTTGGAAGGTACTCATTCCAAAGGCTTGTTTCTCTCTTCAACTTCACGTCTAGAATTGTAGTGTTTTGCTAACAATGATTGGGGAGGGGACCTAAATGATCGGAGATAAACAAGTGGTTATGGAATTTTCTTAGGATCCTCTTTGGTATCCTAGATGGCCAAGAAACAACCTACCATTGCTCGTTCTTCTACAAAAAGTGAGCAAAAGGCCATTGCTAATGCCACAGCAGAGGCCATATGGATCTGTTCCCTCCTTATAGAAATTGGGTTTGCTATTTCTCATTCAACTTTTTGGTGTGACAACATTGAAGCCATATACATTACCTCTAATCCAGTGTTTCATGCTAGGAAAAAGCACATTGAACTGGACTACCACTTTGTTCAAGAACAAGTTGCTAGTGGTGCTCTCACTGTTCATTTTCTTCCCACAACAGACCAAGTTACTGATATTTTTACCAAGCCCTTGTCCACCTCTCGTTTCCAATTTCTAAGGGACAAGCTATATCTAAGAGATGTCTAAGGTCTTGGGGGGGTGTTGGGACAGTTAGAACAGTCAGCATTACAATAGAGTTAGAATTCTTAGCGTGGAAGACAGTCAGTATAAGTAGAATGTTAGCAAGACTGTTCTGCTCAATCTCCCTCTTCACCCTAATCTGCAATCTAATATATAGTAAATGTCCTTCAGCTTAATTAGCAGATGTCAGCCAAAAAAAAAAAAAAATGAAAACACATAATGATGATGTAGTCGTTGAAAATGAACAAGTTTAATAAGCAGATGGCCATAATTTGTTTCTGTCGCAATGTCATTAATCAGTTATCTTGTCCGCTCAGATTCTAACAAATAAACCTAATGATCATAGTGATGGTTTTAAAGATTAAAAGTATTGGTTTGCTATATTTAAATGAGGAATAGGGAGTAATGAATTGCAACTTTTTTTTTAGCCTTGATTAATTTTTTTATTCTGTATATAGAAGTACATTTGTAATGAATGGAAGGTAGTGATCTTTTAAAAGCAGCAAAAGGACTAGAAAAAAATGAACTGAGACAGCATTGATCGCTTATCAGGCAAATAAGAGATTCATTTATCATCTCCTAATATGTCTGGATGTACAAAGAAATTATAAAAATATGCATGGATGTGGAAAGGAGACCAGCTTCTCTTTGATGCAGCGGCAGCATTGATACCATGAGTACAATAATTAGAAGAAAGGGACTTGCACGGAGAGAGAGAGAGATTATTGAAGTTCTTATAGAGAAACTATTTAGCTTTCTTTTACTTTTCTCTTTTTTCTCATCAAAGCTTCCCCTCTGAGTAGTTCTTTTTCACAGTACTTTATTCTTTCTGCATCTTTCTTTTCTTTTATGTGATTTTAATCCAACTTCTAAGTAGAAATTGTGATGAACGTGCAACACATTGGCATCCAAGATGGAGTGACCAGGTTAACTTTTTTTTTTTTTTTTAAATAAATCTTCTTTTCTATCAAGCTTTGTATTTGATTTGATAAACTATTTTGTTGGACAAGGTTCTTCTCATCATTAATATAATCTCCTGATAATTATATATTGTTTATGTTGTCAGGATGAAGACAAGCCAAAGTCAAAATAATTTTGCAATTTGTGGTGATTGTTGGGTGAAAGTCGTGACATTAAAGGAAGAAGGCATTCGGCTACAAGTATGGTTTTCAGTTTTTAATGTCTTTTGCTAGCTAGGAAAAATATATATTCTAACAAAACTTGTATTCCTAATTAGTATGCCTTAGCTTTCAAGTTTATTTCACCATTATTTCTTTATACTCAATATAACAATTTTAATACAAACTTATCAAGTTTTCAGCGATTTATATTTTTTGTTCTTCACCTTTATGCTTTGTAATTTTTTTTTTTTTTACGCTTTATAATATTTCTTGCAATTTATTTTCGTAAGTTTACAACTTTTTATATATATATATATTGGTCCAGCAAAATCCAAAACAAAAACAAAACAAAGAAAGTTCCAAGAATTAGCGAGAGAGAAGGCAAGACAAGCCAAAAATTGGTATATTTGCCAAAAATTTCTTTCAAGAATCCGCTCTTGCCAGAGAACAATGAAACATTAATAATATCACAATAATTGTCGTAAAAACTTAAAATTGCTTATATTTGGAGAAAAACTTCCCTTTATTTTACTCTTCACAGAAAATGTTAGCTAAGAGCAGTACATATCCCAAGAATTGAATCAACTGAAATTATTTTTAAAAAAAAAAATTACAACAATACAATTATGAAATATAAAATAATTGTTACAATATCAACAAAATCAAATTATTACTATCATTAATCACATACAATCCATTGATCCAAAGGCTATCCATGATCATATCAAGAAGACGTTATTAGTTGTAGCTCCACTTTCTTCTTACTGCCTTTGCTAAATATAGAAATCAAACACTCGGAAAGTGAAAAATAAAGGATGAAGAGGAAGAAATAGATGTAAGGTGTAACTATTCTTTCAATGATTTGGTTGGCACTCGGCGGAATAATCAACGGAATAGAAAGCGCGGTTTGGATAAAAACAAATCCACCTCCGATGACAATTGCGACGACGAAGAAGGCAACATTGTGACCTACATCAACTGCAACAGCAAACGTGAAAGCTAAACACATCAAGTAGATAGCACCACCTGTTAATATTGATGCCAACCAAACTGCAAGTACTGCTACTTTGGTTTCATAGAGTTGAGCCCAACAAAGGATTATCGATGCCATGACCGAGGCATTCAAGGCTATCAAGTCGATATAAATATAAACATCCCTTAGAATGCCTTCATTTTCTTCTGATATGCCCTTGTTTAGGGTCCTGGTCATGTTAGAAATTTCACTTCCAGAGTCACTCGCCCTTTTAGGCAGTTGGAGTACGCCAGCAAATGTTACACTAGCGATAAGTACTGCTACCACAAGAAGAGTCTCAATCCTGCTCTTAATTTCCTCTTTTGGCAGAGGCTTGCCCTGAATACGCAAGTATTCTAATTTGGGTTTTTTACGGCCATCAAAGATATGTAAGATCGATAATGTCATCAGCTGGACATGGACAACAACAGATAAAAGAGTTAAGCCACCTACAGATCAATATCACTTCACAAAGAAAATATGTGTTCAGAATTTTCCTTTTTATTACGTATATACAGTATTTTATCTCAAATGTCATAGGCTCAATTGGTTCATATGTTGTAGAGTCTTTTAGATTAGCTATGAAACTAGGTTTCGGAAAAAAAAAAAAAAAAGAAAAGAAAGGAAAGAATGATGAAGAGGAAGAAGAAGACATACCGCTCCATAGTAATTTAGTTTGCCGTTTCGTTGTTGCTTCACTGCATCATTGTCATTCTTTTGATCAACTTGGTTTTCCTACATCAGAAAAAAGAGAATTTTGACAAAGATGTTTATGAATATGATTTTAGAAAGGAAAAAAAAAAAAAAAAAAAAAAAGGACTTGCTAAATGGCTACTGATTTGATGTTTTAGCAGTCGAATAATGGCTACTAGTTTATTTGTATATTTAGTACTTGTCATACCTTCCCATTCCCAATCGTTCCTGCTAAGTAATTAGCTTCCACTATTTTAGATTGCTTATCTGCAACCTCATAAGGTGTCAAGTTTTCGCCATTGGCCGTCCCTCTCTTAACCATATCGTTGCGCACTAGAGTGTATGTTGTCCTAGGTCGGCCATTCTTTGATGCCAAATGCAAAGGGGAATTTCCATCCCTGTCCTTCTCATTTGCAAGCGCTTTGAGTCCGTCGCTTTTTAGGATACACCTCACCAATTGATACCGTCCACTTTCTGCGGCAACATGAAGAATGTTCTGCCCTTTGCTGTTGAGAAATTCTTTTGGATCAGTCCACTTGGAAATGTATATACCTACTACATCATCATGTCCTTTTTTGCTAGCGACATGGATAGGCAAGTTGCCTTCACTGTTTTGTTCGATTGCACCATCACGATATTTATCAATAAGGAATTGAGTTGCCAAAACACAACCCATGGATGCTGCGCAGTGAAGTGCATTCGCATTCTTTTCATCTTTCTGGCGCAAAAGGTCTGGCTTTTCATTCCCGATTTGTGCCAATATATCTGAAATTGATTTAAAAACCAATAAATGATCAGTGAAAATAATGAAAGAAACATTGACATGTTTGGGGGACAAATATATGAATGAGCAGGAAAAAAAATAATAATAATTAACTACTTTTCTTTCTTCCTTCGACAGCGGCGTGCACCGGAGACTTTCCTTCTAGCTTTTTAAGCAAATCCACCTCATCAGGTATAGCATGCATAAGAATAGCTAGCATCTTATCGTAGCTTTGCTCGTCAGTGACATTCTCGACTGCAAGGTACAAGGGAGACTTATGCTCATTGTTTTCCATATAGGAAAGTTCAAAGTGTTGGGATACCAGAAAATGGGCCACATTGTCGTGACAATTAATGACTGCATCATGTAGAGCGGTGTTTCCTCTATCATTCTTCGTCTCCATAAAGGTAACAAAGTTGTTTGCTTCTCCATGGTTTTTTGCCTTGTTGATGAGAATTGAAGCTGTTTCCGGCTGTCCAGCTCTGGCCGCTAAATGAAGTGCAGTATCGTCCTGGAAGTTTTTCGTAGTGATTAGAGACGGAAAGTGATGAAGCAGGAGCTCTGTCACACCTTTGCTTCCATGGCTTGCTGCAACATGAAGCAATGAATTTCCAGAAGGGCCAACTTGTCGGTAGATGATGGATGATGGTTTCGCTGATGAAACACTATGCAGTTCATAAAATAATTCAGCATATCTATCTTCTTTTGCATACTTGTAGAGCTTCTCATCCATCATCTCCTTCGGCTCCGTATCACCTGGTACATGCAGGCCTGGAAGGAAACAATCTGCCTTACACTTTTGGAACATTTCATCTCGCGGACTCGAGCTTTGTCCGACTATGTTTACAGATAATTCCATAACTCGAATTACGAAAAGGTTCTTGGATGTAGTGAGATGGAGATATATTCAATAGCTTTGTTGTTGTAACAGTGGAAGTGAGAATCTAATTGGAAGGTTTTTAGTGCATTGGAGAGTTTGTTTTGTTTTTCGTACTATCTTGTGTTGGTGCAAATGTTAAAGCAACACAAAAGCTGGACTGCTACTTATATAATGAAACATGTAGGCTACAAGTGAATGAAATCCAAAGTGAGTGAGGTTTACTCTGATTCAAATGCATTAATACCTTGTCTCAACTGGAGGGGAACTAGGCAGAAAATGAAAGTACAAGCTTCAACATGGCTAAAGGAGCTGATATATATTAGCTTATAAGAGAATAAAGAAAAAAGTGGGAAAATTCCAGAACTATGAACAAAGCTAGCATATGTTCTACTTATCTCTAACATGAATTTAATATCCATGTAATAAAATACACATTGGTCTGGATTAATGTAATTAAGCCATGCATCACTTTGATTGGGCCTCAAACTGATCCTTCTTAAATCAATAACAAACTTTTTTTGCATTAAAAAACGAGCAGCAGCAGGTCTTTAATTAACAGGATTATCATACTACAACATGCATATAATGAAATAATTAACAATGTTATTAATTCACTATTGTTACAGAATACGTTTTCTTTTCAAATTTAAATGATAAAGAGAGTGATCTTTTGAAACCAGAAAAAGAAGGGCTAAAAACAATGAGCTGAGACAGCAATATTAATTTTCCTGGAAAATGAGAGAAGCATGCATATCCTACTATGTGGGTTCTTTTTGAGTCTTGAATTAATAAAAGGACTTGAGTTTAACTTGCTATCACTTGACAAATATGCAAGAAATTACATTTGCATTTGCCAAAGAAGAACAGCTTCCTGCATGCAGATGATGGTATCAAAAAGTGAGGTGAGGTCCACTTTGATTCTTTCTGCATCATTCTTTTCTTTTCTGTGATTTTAATTTTACTTCTAATTAGAAAGTTTGATGAATGTGCAACACATTGGAATCCAAGGTGGAGTGAACAGGTTATTTTAATAATACTTTTATTACATTTCAAGCCTTTCTTTTTTATGAAAGCCGATCAATATATTTAAAAAAAAAAAACCAACAAGAAAGTGTTGAAAGTGTTTAAGAGATAATTCAAACAAAATAGACAATCTACACTGAAATATCCATAAAAGCATAATTATTTGTTCTAAAACCGTGTTTGGCTCAAATGGTCTCATCCAGATATGGTAGTGTATTATTAAAATACAAATGGCTTTGCAGCAGTGGTGACGCTGGATCGAGAGATGTCAAACCCTACAAAAGTTCAAATACACAAAACATCAAACAAATAACCCTAGGCCAAAACACTCTAACAACAAACCAGCCTCAAATTCACACAAACAATCCTCTATCAACCTACAATCACAAGCCAATACACAATTAAACAAACCCACAAACACAAGCAATAATCCAAAATCTCCAAACAATAATCACAAAACCAACAACTAGAGGTAATACGTTACCCAATAAAATCAACTTAAAATAAGCTAAAATTTTACTACAATGTACATAAGGTCTAGCAGTACATGTATATTAAATTTCAGGTCAATCCAAGCTATATAACCCCCTTATTTTAACAAGTCAAAATTTTAGGCAAAATAGGTTTTAGAATTTACAACTAAATCATTGACCCAAAAATTGAATCAAATGGTTTTGTTATTTTATGAATTCTTTGTAGGAGCTAAATCAACTCTTTAATAACGTACTATCAAAATTTCAGAGCAAACAAAAATTTTATCCTTGATTATTAGCTTTGAGACCAAAATTGTTCAGTCTTAGGATTCAAGTTAAACTTCAATTTAATAATTAAATAAATAAAATTGCAAGCCCCATGCCTCACTTTTGAGAAGAGTTCACCACCCAAGATTATTTAGAGAGTACATACAGGATACCTTTATCAAGAGTCTACTTGAGGCAATTGTTGATTTGAGCTCATCTTAATCGATCACTCTAAGGATATATTTCACAACGTCCTAGCCAATTTAAGTAAAGGAAATGCATAAAGAAGTTGCAGAGAAACTTCTCTAATTTTTCATTCAAAAGTTTATGAAAATCTACTAAAAAAGAAGCACAAAGTGAACTAGGGTTGAGTTTCCTCCTTTAGCTAGCTAGGCCAAATCTGACTCCTTTTTTTTAATTAGATTTGGGCTTATGTCATCCACATTCAATGAAAATTTAATTAATATAGCCTAATGAAATATAGATCTACATGTTATACGAATTCATAAATAAATAAAAACTTCTAAATAATTAAGGATCCAATCACTCACCTAGACCACACATTCAGCCACGTCCTAGAACAAATTGTACCAAGCCATAATCATTTGCACCTTTTTTTGAATTTTCTTTTTTCAGTCAAAGCAGATATTCTGGGAATGTAAGACACTCAAACCTGCCTGCTCCAGACCTCAGAGTTTCGACCTTGAAAGCATCACGAGTAAAACAAGCATTTCTTCACAGTTGATTAGATAGGAAAATAAGAAGGGAAAAAAACAATCTGGCAGGTGATCATGGCAGCCAAAGTTAGGGACTCAGTTTAATTCAGTACCTGCAACAATTCCAGGAGTCCTGTCCCCCAAAGAAAGGAATTTGGAGACAAGAAAAAGTCAAACTTAGAGTTGAAGAACCAGCTATAACTCAAAAGGGTCACTGGTTTGCTTTTGCTTTTATTTATTTATTTATTATTATTATTATGTCAATAGAAAGCTTCATCCTAGATGTTATTTTCTGCAACAAGCTGAGTGAATAAGCTGATGTTCTGATCAGAATCCGAAGCAAACTAGAAAATGGATTCAACACACAAATGAAATCAAATAATGCTCTTTTGCGTAGAAAAATAGACAAATATATGCAATTTTGTGAACGGTATTCACTCATTAGTGCAATCAACACAACAAACTGTTCATGAATGTCCGAATCCTCAAAACCCACTCTAGGGTGAACCTTCTTCGAACTCTTAAAATTTAAGGTGATGTTTTTACAGTTTGTCTCCATTAACCAATGCGTTTCCTATGAAGTAATCGTTTATTCATATACAGTAAATAAAGGTGGCAAAGAGGGTTGGATTAGGCATGCCACTGTGAACAACAACAATAAAAGATGCGTTACATATGTTATTGATCACAACTCCACATCTTTACTTACAAGAAGAAAAAAGAAGACTAGATACTGCATTATACAGACACCCTTTCGAAGTAGCTAGCTACTCTTCGAGTTTAGTGGGATCCTTACCTTCGCTAAGCAACCTCTCAAAACAATTATTAAACGCAAACATAACGAAGTAAATGTTAACTGAGATGAATCTTTGGACAACTTGGTTGACTGCAGGTGGAACAAGCCACTGAATGAAAAAACAAAGTTTGAGTAATGAAGTAGCATACGGCCATTAAAATGACAATCACCAAGAATGGAAGACTTTCACGTACTGCTAGAACGGCAGCAAAAAAGAACGCCAAGAACATAAAATAAATGGAGGCACCAACCGCTACTGATGCCAACTAAACTACCGAAGGGGCTAATTGGATTTCATTCAATTGTGCCCAACAGAGGAATATAGCTGCGAATGTGGAATTATTTAAAGCTGTGATGTCGCAGTACATATATGCTTGTAGGCAAATTATTTACCACCATTGTAACCTAATTGAGGTAGTTGGATTGCACCAGCGCAGGGGCGGACGCACCTATACGTCTATAGGGGCCCGCCCGCCCGCCCCCGCCCCCGCCACCCTCCCAACTTTTTTTTTTCCCCTATACTAAAGTAATGCACGAGCCCTAATTTCTTTATTTTTTTTCCTAAACTGAGCAACAAACCTAGCCCTCTTAACTTTTTTTTTTTTAATGCGATGACTTCAGTCCAATACGTTTACACTTCAAAAGAAAATCACACTAAATAGAACTTCTGTCGAGACAAAACACGCATCACGCATGACTTCAGTTTTTTTTTTTTTTTTTTTTTTTTCCTATATTAGAGTAAGACAAACCTAGCCTTTTTTAATGTTTTTTAACCTTTATCCTTGGTTTTTCCAAAAAGAAAACCTTTTTTCTGATCTGAATTTTTCTTATTTGACAACACATCGGGTATTTTCTCTAATCTAGATTAATATACTAGATTCTCAATTGTTTGTTTGTTTATAATAATGATTTTTTTTATTTATATTTTATAGGTTATATATTATTGAAATGATTATTTTGAAATATATTCAATTTATTAATGGAGCGGCTAGTGTTACTATAATCCTTGATATTTTTAAGTACGAATACCAGTGAGCCTAAGGGGTGGCTTCTAGTAGACCTAAGTGGTGGTCTATTTATGTATTTTGTTTAAAATTTAAATATCTTGTTTGCATTTTAAGTGTATTTGTAATTTATTTTTATTGTAGATGAAAAAGTCACATACTATCGATGCATTCTTTAAAATGAAGAATGTTGTCATTTCAAACTCTAATGAGTCAAATTTTTCTATTAATCCCGATCCTTTGAATTCTGAAAATCCTCTTGCAAAATCTCGGAGAGTTGAAATCAAAAAAGGATTTGATATCAATTCATTGGAACGTAATCCGAGATTACAATCACAAATATGGGAGTATCCTATTGAAAAACATGTAAAGCAGATCAACATATCCATACCGGACATGAGTGCTCATTATGTTGCAAGAAAAGGAAGGGCTCATCATCAACAAGATGCAATTACGATTGAACATCATTACAAAGTTGATATATTCAATATTGTGATAGATTCTCAATTGCAATAACCGAATAACAAATTTAATGATCACACGATAGAGCTACTCATTTTTAATTCGGCTTTAGATCCTAGAGAGATGCGTATATCATTTAGGATTGATGATATTTATAAGTTGGTGTAGAAATTTTACCCTCAAGACTTCGCCGATCATGAAATGTCGTAATTAAGAATGCAATTTGAGCATTTTGATCATGTATGGAATCTTTCGATTTTGAAACATTGTCAACTATATCTGATTTATGTCAATGGCTAGTGAAGACAAGAAAATTAGAAAGTTATCCACTTGTATATAGAGTGATAACACTTATTCTTACTCTTTCAATTTCTACAACTACCACGGAACGGTCATTTTCAGCTATGAGCATAGTTAAGACTAAGCTTCATAATAAGATGGAAGACGACTTTCTTTCTAATTATTTGTTAGTGTATATTGAAAAAAAAACTTGTTGAAAATTTTAGTATAGATTCGCTTATAGATGATTTTCGTGACTTAAAAGAACGAAAATCTCTATTTTGACTCGATTGTATTTTGAGATTATTTTAAAATATATGGTGGTATGTTATTTATAATATATATAAATTTGTATAAAGCATGATAAAATTATAAAAATTTATTCTGCCCTGTGGACATTTGGTCCTGCGTCCACCATTGCACCAGCAAAGGTTACACTAGCAACAAGTACTGCCACAACAAGAAGAGTCTCTACCCTGCTCTTCATTTCCTCTTTTGACAGGGGCTTGCCTTGAATGGGTAAAAATTCATCTAATGGTTTTACAAGTTTAGTACACCAGTAAAATATCGATAATGTCATCATCTACAGGACAAATTAAAACAGTAAAACAGTAATCTATATAATAATTTCCTCAAGGAAATATTAAAAATAGACAAAGAACATGCCAATCCAAAATAATCTGGCTGTTTAGATTCCTTCGAGTCCACTGCTTGAGGTTGAGTTCTTCCATGGTTCACAGGCTTGGAATTTGTTAACTTGTTCTGTACTGGAAAAGGCTAGGAATACACAATGTCACAAGAGTTAGAACCATGTTGAATCCCATTGTAGCCATCCAATTAAAAATTAATTGTCCAATGTATTCAATTTCATACGCACCAAAAAATCAATTCTTCTGCTCCGATTGGATTGGATTTTAAGTAAAAATTGTGTTGTGGGGCCAATAAAACTCAATTTTGTTTGTTCAAGAAAGAAAGAAACAAGGGAAAACAAATCACAACTTTTTTACTTTTCTGTAGAGATTAGTGGGATCAGCTATTGCAGCCAGGTTACTTATCCTGTGCAAAGAACATGCAGGAATCATAGTAGCAAGGAAGACATGACTAAATAAAATTGTAATCCTATAGTAGATGCATGTAGATTTTTCATACTAAATATCAGGCATACCTTTTCATTTGAAATAGTGCTTTCAAAGTATTCCGCTTCAGCTTTTCGAGATTGTCCCTGAGCAACATCAAATGATGTCAGGTTTTCATTGTTTGCAATATCATTCTGAACCCGCCAGTCATTAAGTAGATCAAAAACCACCGTAGAATGACCAGTTTGGTTGCCAAATGCAAAGGTGTATTTCCATCCTCATCTTTCTCATTTAGAAGCGATGCCAGCTCGAGATTTCTGAGTATGTACCGCACCACGTTTTGTTGGTCCTTCTCTGCTGCAACGTGAAGAATGTTCTTGGATTTTTTAGTCAGAAATTCTTTTGGATCGAACCACTGATCTACCAATTCGTTTATCACTCTAACATGGCCATTTTTGCTAGCAACATGGATGGGGTATAGACCTTCTTTGTCACTTTCAAATGCACCATCACTAAACTTCTCTAGCAGGCATTGAACTCCCTTTAGATAACCTATGAGCGATGCCAAGTGAAGTGCATTCCTGCCCTTTTCATCCTTCACGCGAATTAGCTCTGGCCTTTTTTCTGCTATTTGTTTCAGTATATCTGAAATTCAGGAACAAATAGCTGAAATGAATGTATGAGACTGGTAAAACACAGAGTAGGTTAAATGAATATAAAGGAAAGGAAAACGCCTCGCATTGAGCCCACTACTCTTCGAGCATCTTTCAATCAGATTTAAGCATTAGCTGTTCCAAGTGGAAAATATGCAGTGCAGCTGGAGTTTATAAGATTTATCATTTTTTTCCAAATGACGAGCAACAAGTTGCTCTGCCTATAGTTAGTTTTTTCTCCAAATATGTATATAGAGTCAATCCCATAGCTGTGACAGTTTATCCTAAAGTATAGGTTGCTTTTGGTCTATCAGACAGTCTAATTGAAACATATGGAATAGCAGAACAAAAGAGAAAAACAATTAAACGAATGAGGGCTGTAATTACCTAAATTTCTTTGCTCGACGGCAGCATGAGCCGGGGACTTTCCTAGTGGCCCGTTGAGTGAATCTCCTCCGGGTGTAGCTTCCAAAAGAAGAGCAAGAATCTTCTCATTCTTAGTCTCTCTGCCAGATACAAGGGAGACTTCTCTACCTTATTGCTGTAGTACGACACAACTGGGTCCACGGAAACCAGGAAATGGACCACTTCATAGTTACCATTAATCACAGCATCATGTAAAGCAGCTTCTCCTTTTTCATTTCCCATTCTCAGCAAGCTAGCAGATTCACTTCCTGGTCCCGCATTATTGACCAGAATTCTAATCGTGTCCAGCTTTCCAGCTCTGGCAGCAAGATGAAGTGCAGTATCACCCTGGAAGTTCTTCCTCGAGATTAGGTTAGGAAAGTGATGAGACACAAGCTCCGTAATCTCTTTGCTACCAAAATTTGCTGCCACGTTAAGCAGTGAATTCCTAGGGGGAGTAACTTGTTCAAAATTTGCAGACAAAGTAAGTTGCTTGCCTGATGAAACTTGTTGCAAGGCATCAACGAAGCTATCAACATCACTGGCCTTCGCAGAATCATATAGCACTTTCTCCATAACTTTAATTGCCCCATGATCTTCCTCAGGTTTTAGACCTGGCCATTGCCTTGCCTTCAGTATTTCTAACCTTTCTTTTCTCTGCTTGGAGACTTCTCCACCCATATTTAGTGTTAAAGCCATATTCCAAAAATGTTTTCAGCAAAGCTACAACCGACAAAATTTCTACTTGCATAAAATGAGACAAACTAGATCATATCTTGTTTTAATCCTACCCGGCTACTACTAATTTCCAAAACTTCCTGTTTTTCCCATTTCAGTTAAATCATATATAAAGTTGGATCTGGTTTTAACTTGGTGCAGGAAAAGAGAGATATTCTCAGCCAACGAAAAGGTCAAGTTTAATCTTATTGTAAGATAAAACAATACTAAAGATAAGGGAATCTACAGATAAAGAAAAAGAAAAAAAGTTAGAAACAAGATTGAAGATCAGGAAACATAGTGCATCTTATTTCATTATCATTTTCACTTTTCTTTTCTTTTGCCGAAGCAGATACTTTGGGAATGTAGACATTCAAACCTACATGCACCAGATCTCAGAGTTTCAACCTTGAAAGCACCACTCGTAAACCAATAAGCGATTAACCGAGTAAGAAAAGACAAAAAATATATGCATTTTTTTTTTTTTAATTCTATTCACTGTTTGGTACAATCAACACAGCAAAATGTTCAAGGTTCTAAGTACATGTTCTTCTATGTTTTCACAGTCTATGTATACAACCTAATACTACTACTTATGAAGTTATAATATATACATGATGATGTCTTACATATTTTTATACATTCATCACACTATATTACGTCGTTGACTTTCCTTTTGCTGGTGACATCTAGTCTCCCAACTCCTCATCATTGTAGCTTCCAAAGATGAAGAGCATCAGACGAAAGGGATAGTAAGCAACGTAGCGCAAAATGTGGTAGTTTGATGAGCCTAAGAGGCAGAGTGGGGCAAAGAATGTTGAAAGTTTGATAAAGAAAATCAATCTCATAAACAGAACAACATTGCTGAGCCAAGCTAGTTTGCTTACTTCTAGGTATAGGCCAGCCATGGAGGCTATGGACCTCATGGTAAGTGACATACCTAGCAGTCGTAGTGATAAATTAAGGACAAAAGGTATCAAACCCAGATCCTCTGCCTGAGCCCAAATGAGAGTGACAGCAACCATGATAGAGCTATACATATAACATAGCCACAATGTCACAGACGACGAAGACATGGAACTTCTTTTTCTTTACCATAGTTGCTATGCCTTGGTCTGGATTAGAGTTGTTGTCACCACCAGGGATTGTGAAGCCAGCAGAAAAGGTCACAGTTGCAATAAAAATTGACACACACAAAAATATAGTTACCTTCTCCTTGCAACTTTCCATTTTGGAACATCTTGCATTGGATGTTGCCTTGATGCCTTCTATTTTTGAAGACCTTTACCTGAGACCTTTGTGCATAAGCAATCCTTATGGCTAGCAAGATCAACCGCTGCATTTGAAAAGGTAAAGTCATATCAAGGAGGGCCTGTGTTGCAATAAACCCATGCTCATCCTACAAGGTCAAAGCTCCAAGCTGTTAAGCCAATAATTAAAGAAGGTCTGACATGCATTGAACTAAACATGAAAATGACTAAGTTAAATTTTTATCAAATTCAAAATCTATAATTTCCAGGAACGTACAATGACAACAGTTGCATATTTACTTGTCATTTGTCATCTAATTCCCAACCAGAGTTGACCTCTTCTAGTTCTACCACCACAATTTTTCTATTGCTTCTGATGGTGGAAATTTAGAAGGTAATGGCTTACATTGTCAGAAACTCAGATGTATCTAAAAATACACATACCTTTCTGATTGAAGCAGCAGTTTCCACATTTATGTTGTATCCACAAGCAATGTCTTCTGCAGTTAATCCTTCTTTGTTCTTTACTCTCAGGTGGACTCTCCAATCTTGTGTAAGATTGTTCACAATCTTTGGAATCTGGTAAATGGTAGCCAAATGTAAAGGACTGTTTCCATCATTGTCTCTCTCATGTGAGAGCTTCTGTCATGTGGGAGTTTCCAAAATTAAATGAACCACATGACTTTTTCCATTTTTGACTGCAACATGAAGTATATTTTGTCCATCGCCGTTGAGAAGCTCCCTTGAATCTGGACAGCGCTGAAGAAACTGCTTGACTAACTCAACATAGCCTTTAGCAGATGCTATGTGAGTAGGAGATTGACCATTTCTGTCTCTTTGGTACGAAGAGTTGCAGAATTTGGCTAGCAAGAAATTGACACCTTCAAGATGACTTATAGACGCAGTGGTGGCGTAGCACAACATTAGCTTGAGTTCTTCTACTTCCTGCCATGATATCAAAGAAAACATTAGCTTCAGTGCTTCTCTAACTAATGAAATAGGAGTCAGAAACTAGGTGAGTTTTTAGTTTTGTGATGGGATTATGTATAGAGAAATCTAGGGTCATCCTGATCCTTGTTTAAGAAACATTGATTTCGATATTCAAATAGGATTTTAGACATGAGCAGCAATGATGACAAGGTTTTTTTTTTTTTTTTTACCACAATTGTCCTTCGAATGATCATATAAACTAAATATTTTTTTTAGAAAAACTTTAGTTTCGATTAATATATAAATTGATTGGAGAATATTTTTCACCGTCAATTTTTTTTAAAAAAAAAATCTAAATATTTTGGTCCAAATTTGATAACTTACTCATTCCATTTAAGGGATGCCAAAATTTAATATTGGGTTTTTCCTTTGCTGGAAAAAACAAATATAAACTTTATTTATTTTTTTCCCCCTTCATTTTCTGCGACAAAAGTAGTAAAGAAACTGAAAAGGGAGGGAAAACGAATGAGGACTGCGGCGCCTTATCCAACCGTTGGTACTCTACCGGCCAAATTTGGCATCAGTTTTAACAAACCGTTAATTCAATATCCAAACGCTCTCTATCCCACCTCTAAATTCAGATCCAGTGTCGGCTTCAAATCTTCTCTCAAATGCCATTGCATCAAGAAAGAAACCACTGATAAACCCACTGAGGTATGTCTAATTTGATCCGAAACTCATATATCATGACATTTCCTTGCTTTTTAATTGGACATGTTAGATTAGAGAACAATTTGTGGGGTTAAAAGAGAACTGTGGACTAGGGTTTGTTCTTATGTACTGAGGACGACCCAAGTTAGGATTCGTAAGTTTTTGAGTTTTACAGTGTGTAAATTGGTAAATTGCTTGATGGGTTTGTTTTGTTTCTTCATTTTTAGTGGTTTCTTACTAACTTTTTGAAATGGGGTTTCATTTTTAGTAAGCTGTTTGCTTTGGGGTTTTGTTGTGATATGCAAACACGGGTTTTTTCTTTTCTTTTCTTTTCTTTTCTTTTCTTTTCTTTAATTTGTGGGATAATTCTAATAGGTATTTTCGGTGCTTTCGTCGGATATTTCATGGGAGAGAGGAAGCATATGGAGCACTATGGCTTTGTAGTTTGTATATGTTCAATTTGCATATACCTTTGGGTATTGGAGGCTTTTCTATAGTTGCCAATGTATTGCATCAACCTGCTCTTGATCCTCAAACTGAAGTGAGTGAGTTTTCTTACATTCATTTTGCACAGTAGAACATTGTGATCCATTCTGGTCTTAGACAGGGTGAGAAAGGAAAAGGCATCATTTAAGTCTAAAGCCATTGCTTGTTGAGGCAAGGTTTAGCCGATTTGATAACTAGACTCCATGATATATGTGCTTTTCTGGATTAGGACTTGATTTATGATTTTCGTTTTGGGTGAAATATTCATCATTGAATAGAGACTGATAACCCACAACTCAAACAAATGCCAACTGCCAAATTCAGCTGCCTACCAAGTACAGAAATTTATGCAATATTGCTTGGTGTTGTTTTCATAGATTAGAGTTGCCATAAGGGTATCCATTACGATTGGTATATAGACAGCATTAATCCGAGTCTGCCAATATAGGTGTCATCTAATAATTTTTCTGTGTTCAATAAATCATTTAAGCTCCATAGATTCACATATTTCCTTTCCCTTTTAATGTCAAACGAGGTAGTGATTTTTTTAAAAAGAATTCAACCATCAATTGTCAGTTGGCTGTCGTTTTGATAAAAATTGATTTGCTATGATTATCCTGGTAAGGAATTCATCAATAGCATGTTTAGCTACACCAGTGGCATGAATGTATTCTGATGTCTCATGACAATCACTTCATTTAGCAGAGCATAACTCGATATATTATGTGGTAGAAGCAGTGCAGGTGTACTTCTCCGTATCTGAGCAGTTTCATAATGATTGTTTTGCTACACTGCAGGCATTATCACTGCTTGTCTTCCAAATTTTAGAACTCACTGGTTCTCTCCTTCTACTTAGGAGCACTGCTAAGCCAGAATATGAGGTAGTAAGCTTCTTCAAAACTGATAAATTGTCAGAGAAGAGGAACTGGCTGCTGGCATCATTACTGGGTTTTGGCTTTCTGATTTTGTTGGTCTTCCTGACATCACTTGTTGCTGACAGACTAATTGGACCCAAGGTTGGTTTTGGGTTTATCCATTGCTTTTCTTATTCTCTCAAGCCTTTTGTATATCATCATTGATGTGCTTTGGCAATTTCCAAATGAGGCTTTGTTCAAATTTTGTTATGCTAAGTCAGGACAAAAGGACAAAATGTACTGAAAATTAACTGGCTGCATATGTGTTTTGATATTCTGGTTTCATTTGCTTTTATAAAATATGCACCGAGTCTTTCTGGCTTAATTTAAACAATGAACTGAAGTTTGATTTTCCTAAATCTTGATGGCTCTTTCTCAAGATCAATCACGTGTTGCGCCACTAGGCATTTCTTTTCCTACCCAATTTAGGGCTCAATCCTGAGCCTTAGCCCTCTGGCTTTGCAAAGGTACCAGTGAGCTACAAGCCCATATGTACAATTCTAATACTTATTACTAAGATTAATGAAGTTACAATATGTTCTGCAATTTTCTAAGATCAAATTACAATGGAATGAAAGCATACAGTCATTAGTTATATTCTTAATAAATCAAAATAGTTCAAGTAAGAGTACAGAGTTATATTCTCTAACCAGTTGGCTGGAATTGTTACCTTAAGCAGTTTGCTTTTTCTTTCAATAGATGGAACATATTTGAGTTTCCCCTACCTTGGCTTTCTAGGTATCTTTTTATCAGCTGCACCATGGTTTTATGGATATTAATTGTTTTTTATGGCTTCTCTGCTTTCTGTGTGATTAATAGATGATTGTAACTCTGCTTTGGCCATTTCAAACCAAAATAGTCAACAATATTGTTGGTGTAGAAGTTATATCTCAGGCTCGTAGAGTTGACCAGACTTCTATCTTTTTCACTTCCCACCACCACACCTCCCCCCACCCACCCCACCGCCCCCCCCCCCCCCCCCCCCACAAGACTACAGATATTTTTGGAAAGATGATCTGCCATTCATGTGAACTGAAGACTGGTATGTCTTGAAATAAATAAGGTGGCAAATAAGTGACAGTGAAGAGTTTTGTTTTCTCCTGTAAGAGCATTGATTTAGGTTGCATTAGGTATGCAACAGAAGCAAAAATGGTTTGCTCATATTTTACATAGAAATTATAACAATTTTGTTTTAATTCATAAGATTTGCTAGTTTATACACATGTAAACCCTAACTAATGTTGCTTTACTAGACTGCAGTTTCAATTGGAAAATAATCATAATTGTGCCAGTGGCTTGAGCTAACGCCATGGGTTGTTCATCTGACTGAAATTTAAATGCCAAATGGATAGTTTTACAGATAGGAGAGTCCAAAATGCATCATTATCTCATCAGGAAAGATTCCAAAATTGATTTCAGTGGCATTTATGGTCCAACCATAGATACAATTGCAAATTATACCAACTTACGTGATAAGGCATGCAAAGTTTACAGTTACCTTTTTGCTTCAATATGAAATCAAACACCATACTGCAAATTTGTTCTGTAAATGGTTGGTGCATGCTTTCTATTGCTTTTAATCAAGTTCTTTGTGACTTATCCCTATGATGTGAAATGTTCTTTCATGGATGAATGATGACAACAAACTTGGCCTCTAATGATATTTTTAGGTTGTGAGCAACCCTATCGTGAAGGAGATTCTTCGGAGCAGCAACATCTCGAAAGTTGTCTGCATCCTGGTTTATTGCCTTGTCACCCCCTGCTGGAAGAAATTGTTTGCAGAGGGTTTCTATTGAAATCTCTTGCCTCTACCATGAACTGGCGGCAGGCAATTTTTCTTAGCTCAGCTGTTTTTAGTGCAGCTCACTTCTCTGGTGAGAATTTTATTCAGTTGTTCATAATTGGATGTGTCCTTGGATGCTCCTATTCTTGGTCTGGGAACTTGAGTTCTCCCATTCTAATACATTCCTTGTATAATGCCATGACACTGATCATAACATTTTTTAACTAAACATAAAACTTAGAACCATTTTTTTTCTCTTACACTTTTATATTTCACTCAGAAGTTACTGTTGGATGAACCAGGCATAGTCTTAAGCAGAGTTTTTATGACAGAAATCTCCGAAAAGAAATTGTTCCCTTAGCTGAAGTTTTTGTTTTATTACCTAGGCATCTGCATGATTCGCGTTGCCCTCTTAAATAATGAAGGATCACACTTGTTCTTGTTTCTTTTTTGCAATGCAATTGAAGGAAATCTCATACAACAATTCTTCTCTCTCTCTCACTCACACACACGCGCGCATGCATGGCCACACGCACGCACTGACCACACACATGCACGTACCCTACACATCCACATGGCCACCTGCATTTTATTGGCCATCTTGCAGTTCTTGCACCAGAAGTTTTGCTGTGGTAAAGGGGAGTGCAATCACCCATTTTGGCAGTGAAGGGTAGATTTTTATTGAGCAAGAAGTGATCTCCTGAAACTGAACCAAACATGGATCCCTTATGTTCAGCATAGTGCTCCAATATTGAACATATAAAAAGGAGTGTTCCCTATGGTTTAGGAATGGGAGATACTCTCATGAAGCTTCCACATTGGGTCCAGTTTGATTTTAGGGAGTCATTTTCTCTGCCGCTTATACAATAATGCTGCTTAATTTCAACAGCAAGAGCAATTGGCCTACATCATGAATATTCTAAACTGTCTGTGGAACCAAAATCTTTAAAAATTATTTGAAAGTTGAATTCATAGGGACGTTTGATCTTATCTGCATGTTCACATCCTCCTTGCCATTTTTTAAATTCAAAGTGATGTGAACTACAGCTGAATCCATAACCTTTGCAAGTTGCAACTCTCCAAGTATTCATGATCCAATAAAAAGGTAGGAGCAAGTTATTTTCTCATCCCTCAGTTTTTGATGCAATTGTAACTTAGTGCCTCGCTTTTCAAAAACCTACAGTTATGTCATTCACTTCAATTCTCCGTTTATAATTTAATCTATTTTGTCACAGCACCGACTAAACATCTTTTTAGAAAAATTCAATAGTTGCATGCGTAGTTCTCAAGATTAAACTATTTTAAGCTTCGGTTTTGTGACTTGGTGGAGTTAAAGTGCTGGCAGTAGGTAGACAAGCAGGAGTAGGAGGTAATGGTATATGTGTTGGCAGTTGGTAGATAAGGGGAAGCCACGGTTTTGTGATTTGGTGGAGTTGAATAAGTGCTTGCAGAGCTGCAGTAGTGGGATTTCGGCTAGGGGGAAAAAAAAGTTGCAGGGATAACACACGTTTTAGGCAAGCTCATATATATATATATATATATATGTTAGCTGTTAATCTTTATATTAGTACATATAGATAACTTGTGTCAAATAACAAAAAAGATTTTATCAAATTACCTACTTAACTTGGCTTAATTTAGCTGAAAATTTTAACTAAAAGGATATATTGGAAGTCAGTTCAAAATATAAGAACATATTAAATGCATTTGTTTGATATTTAATGAACATGTGTTGTTCGAATGGATTACATGTGACTAAAAGTTACAGGCTAAAAGAATCAAACTTCTCTTGAATTTTAACAAATTTAAAATTAATTTCCTAAATTTCAAATTTAGTTTTAAAATTTCTAACTTTTAATTTTTAGAGATTTTTTAGTCCATTCAATGATTTTTCAGCTTTTTTTTTTTTAAGCTGAAGTTTTGCACACGCATTGAAAAAAATCCAATTTAACTTTTAGAAAAATCCAAGAATTTTTCGAAATCAAAAACTATATTTGTTTATTTCTTAAACATTAAAAAATATAGAAAATAATCCAGAATAATTTCAAATTTTTTAGGAGTTCTATATAAATCTCACTAAATGATTTTTATCGAAGAGCTATTTGTGTGATTGCTATTCTTTGAAATAAATGGTAGGAAATTAAAAGATGAACTAAATCTTTAAAAAAAATTAAAATTCAAGGATCTTAAAAATTAAATTTGAAGTTCAAGAATTCAATTTCAAATGAGTTAAAGTTGAGTAAAGATTTGGTCAATTTAGTCAAAATTAAAAGCACAAGAGTTATCATCCTCAAAATTGAAGTACAAAGGTTTATTTGACCAATTTCCAAAACTGGAGGAATCACATAGTTAATTTACCCATTCTGTTTTTATTGAATCAATCAGGGCCCAACCTCAAAAAATGCTCCCCATCTATTTTTAGTAGTCTCAACCCTGCACCAGAAAAAAAATTTGTATTATTTTTGTACTTCAAGTTTTTGAAATTATCAATTGTCTTTCGATACATATTTGTTCTTGGATTTCATCTAACTTGTACTTAAAAAAAAAAAACAAAACAAAACAAAGCAAAACAAGAGCAATATTATTTTATAGAAAACGTAACGTTTTCTGTCAAGGAATTCCAACAAAATGCCCAATTGAGAAGTCATAATTGTTAAAGAACAAAATTGATAGGAAATTTTCTTTAAGATAAAAGTGAGACTATATATCGTTAAGACTTGAGAGAGAGGCATGTATTTGTTTAATGATAAATTTTGCTCTCATTCTATTACGATTTGATAATTATAAACCCTTAGTATCAAATTAAGTAATTTAAACTTAAAACTATTAGTTTTTAAACAAAATTTATCCAATTTCCCTAATTGTCGTTATATGTAACGATCGATCGGGTTGATTGTTACTTGAAATGGTAAAACAATTTCGTTTGACATTCCGCTATTAATTATGTTTAAAAAAAAAATTTAATGTTTTTAACCTTCAAATCTTGAACTTTTTTCTTATAAATATTTTTAATCCTCCTAACATTGAAATTTTTTTAAATTTTTTGTTATAATTTATAAATTAATATGAGCATAATTAAGGGTTAAAAATATTTTTATAATGACCCCCTAATTTTATAAATTATAAAAAAAATAAAAAATTATAATATTTTTTTTAAAAAAAAGTTCAAAACAAGGGGGTTAAAATATTTATAAAATGTTTTCTATATAATTTAAAATATTTTATAAGAAAAAAAAGTTTTTTAAAAAATTCAAGATTAGGGGAGTTAAAAATATTTTTAAAATGATTTAAAAAAACATAATCAACAATGGAATGTTAAAACAACGTAGTTTTGGCATTCAAAATAATAATCGGTTCGGTTAACTATTACATATCACGGCAATATTGGATCAATTCTGTCCAAAAACTAATAGTTTAGTATTTAAATTACGTAATTTGATAATAATAACTTGAAATTGTTAAATCATAATAAAATAGGAGTAAAATTTGCCATTAAGCCCGACATTTATTATTGCACTGACAAATTGAACAAAATCTTTTAATTAACACTAAGAATAGACACATGAAGCAGCTACATTCTCTAATTTTTCCAGGATAAAATTGATAAGAAGAAAAAAAATAGAATTCAATTGATAATTGGTGAATATGTTGGATGCTAAATTGAAGTTTTTTTTCAAAAATCTAATCAAGAAGGAAATAGGGTGGAAACTGGAAAATGTCAAAGTCAAATTTCAACATCTGGACCGTATCATTTTCTGGCAAGTTGAGCACGCCGTAACTTTTTTCTGGACCATGTCATAACCTGGCAAGGGCTATGCAATTATGATAGCACTCTCATATTATATACTCTCATTTATTGGCAACCTGAGCACGCTGTTACTTGCTTTTTTATTTTTTATTTTTTTGTTTTCTTATGAGAAGGTACGTGGGTTTTGTAAGTATATAATGTATGTGATAGTTCTTTTCAATTACACGCTAAATAAATTAAATTTATTAAAATTCGAATATATTTTATTAAAAAAGTTATAAAGCATATAATAGATAAATTATACTCCTTGTTGTATTATTTTAGTTTAAAACAACTATTGAATATACAATTGTTAAATTATACATATATTTTTTTTATTTTTATGATATTTCAGATTTAAAAATTTAGACTAATCATTTATTATTATGTCAAATGTGTAAATTGAATACAACTATTTAAAAAAATATATATTATAAAAATTTGAATTTTATATCAATTGATTAAAAGATTTTTTTTTTTTTTCCGCTCGAACTAACCTTTTGGGATTAAAACAATATTTCTTTGTTGGGCTATTGTTTGTTGCATTTTAATTTTGAACAAGCATTGCATTGTTTTAACGACAGCTTTAAATAGACCTTGGCCTCTCATAAGAACTCTACACAAACTAGTTGAAGACTACTCTACTCGCCACTGCTATCTTTCATGACTTCCTCAGTTCATCATTTCCTGGCCCTTTGTTCTATTATTCTCTTCTTTATATCTCCTTCCATTGCCCAAAAATCTTTCAGGCCCAAAGCTCTATTCCTTCCGGTCTCCAAAGATTCATCATCTCTCCAATACATTACCCATGTCAACCAAAGGACCCCGCTCGTGTCCCAAAAATTAGTAGTAGATCTTGGTGGCCAATACCTCTGGGTTGATTGCGAACAAGCTGGGCATGTCTCATCTTCCTATAGACGTGCACGTTGCGGGTCAATCCAATGTAAGCTCGTTAAATCAATTAACTGCATCAACAATGGGACTTGCACAGTAAGCCCAGACAACACAGTGACAGGTACTTATGATATTGCTGAACTTGGTGAGGACGTTGTGTCCATTCGATATAGCAATGGATATAATCCTGGTAGGGAGGCTTCAGGGCGCAAGTTCCTTTTCGGTTGTGCTCCAACACATCTCCTAGAGGATCTTGCTCGTGGTGTCAAGGGCATGGCTGGCCTTGGAAGAAACAAGGTTTCACTTCCTTCTCAATTCTCTGCTGCATTTAGCTTTCATAAGAAATTTGCCATTTGCTTGAGTTCTTCGAACCAAGCTAATGGTGGTTCCATCTTCTTTGGAAATGGGCCATATTTTATGCTTCCAAACAATATCGATATCTCAAAGTCACTCACCTACACCCCACTGATCATTAACCCTGTCAGTACAGCAATCAATTATAATGCAGGCGAACCTTCCTCTGAATACTTCATCGGAGTCAAGTCCATCAAAATAAATGGAAACCCTGTTAAATTGAATTCAACATTGTTGTCAATCAACAAGGAAGGTTACGGTGGAACCAAGATCAGCACAGTCCATCGTTACACAGTCTTGGAGACTTCAATCTACAATTCTGTCGTTAAAGCCTTTGTCCAGGCCATGGCAAACATCAGCGAAGTGGTTCAACATGGTTGAGATAATCGCATAAGCAGCGTTGTCATCACTAGTAAGCAAGTCGTCACTGAGCTTCACTTTGTTGCTTGAAATTGAAGTCTTGGTCTCTGAACATTCGTCGGCACAAATTTGATAGTGCGTGGAGCTTGGGTGAAAACAAAAAATGAGAACCAATGTTTTTTAAAATTAATAATATATTTTATTTATTTATTATTTTTTAACTATTTCTATCATTGTCATCATCATCACCATTACTATCATCATTATCATTACATTTATTATTTTTATAATTATCATAATTTGATAAAATTAATTTTTAATTATTATTTTTACTAATATAAAAAATAATATTAAAAAAATTTAATTATATCTTAATTTCTCATTAATATTTTAAATATAATATAAAAATATAAATATTATTTTAATTTTTTAATTTTTATTTTCATTTCGAAACTTTTCATCCCCGTACCAAACAAGAACTCAGGATTAGAATTCAGGATTCGGTGAATCCGCACCGGCAACTGATTAAATCGAATACAATTAATAAATGGGATGGGCCGATTGTGCGATAGTGCCCATGTTATATTATAGGCCAAGAGTTTTAGAGACCCAAACATAATTTCGTAATAAATATAAATTGGGAGACCCATGATAGATTATCATTCATTGACATCTGTCTCTGGTTTTCATGCTTCGACAAACTCGTAACTCTCTCAATTTTGTCAATTTAGCTAAGTACATTATCTTTTCCATCCTGTTTTTTGCAGCAGCATTAAGAACATGACTTTTTGTAAAACGCTAAAAGGCCAAACTTCTCCTGAATTTTATTTTATTTAAAAATTAATTTTTAAATTTTGAATTTGATCTTCGTTACTTTTATGTTATTTATTTTTAAAAAATAATGATGATATAAATAGCCTCATGATAGTCCCAATGACTTTTTCATAAAAAGTTAAAAAACCAAACTTCTCTTCAAATTTAATTTATTTAAAAATTAGTCTATAACCTTTTAATTTTAGATTTGACTTTCATAAACTTATTTTTAAAAAAAATATTTAGTTCATTCTTTACTTTTCTGTCATTTATCTCAAAAAATAATAATGATGACATATATATTTTTTAAAAGATTTATTCTGTTTTTTACTATTCTATAATTTATCTCAAAAATGAAAAAATAATGACGAGATATTACTAATAGTCTCTATGAAAAATCATTCAATAATATTTATTTGAGCTCTTTAAAGTATTAAGGATTATTTTGGATTATTTTTTATTTTTCTCCATTGTCTATGCTTTTAATGTTCAAAACATAAACAAATTATACTTCTCGATTTTAAAAATTTTGAGATTTTTTTTTAGAAAATAGATTGGATTTATCTAAAGTATGTGCAAAACTTTAGTTTAAAATACCAAGAATGAATTTTTTGTAAAATAAAAAAAAAAGGGTGATAGCTAAAAATCGTAGGATTGATTAAATTTTTAAAAAATAAAAAATAAAATTCAAGGAGTTCAAACTCAAAATAAAAAAATAAAAAATTTGTTTTCAAATAAATTAAAGTTAAAGAAAGGTTTGGTCATTTTATATCCCTTGTAAAAATATGAACAACCAAGATAGAATTCGGTAAATGTCAGCATGGTCCTAAATAAATGGGTTTTCCCTTCATTATTGTCTTTTGTTATTCTCAGCGTGGCTAAAAATTCAGATCAAGTTGATCAAAGTCATAAACAAACAAGAAAAGCAAGAAAATTTGTAAAAGAAAATCTTTGAAAAAAAAAAAAAAAAAACAAGAGGTTAATTCAGTTCAGCTCAGTACAAAATCCTGTCCAACATATGGTTGCAAAACCATAACTACAACTCAAATTTTTTTTAAAAAAAAATGAAATAATAATAACAATAACAAAAAATGAAAAAAAAAAAAAAAAAAACCCTTCATGCATGTCAAGGCGGTGATGATTATCCAGCAAGTCAACTTGTAGTCCTCCAAATCAGCATCAATCTTGTCCATGACCACCAACCTTGAGTCTCTTGGTGGCCGGAAGCCTACAACCATTACTTTCTACCCCAAATTCTTGTGTTAGTCCATGTGTTGAGACCACATGAATCTCCACTTCTATAAGCAATTTTGCCTCAACTCCACTGAAACACTTTACATATATCAACGCTAGCCCTTTAGCAATGATCTCCAAAATAATCTTCTCACGAACCAAAACATCAACCAGCACTGAAGCAGTAGACAACATGTTTGAGATGACTTCATAAGTTGTGTCGTTGTCTCCAACAAAAATTTCTTCATTGATTTCCACTAGGTTGCCTGTAGTTGGAGTCTTGGTCTCGATCTGGTAAAGTTTCATCCATCCAAATCTGATGGTGAGAAGAACTTGGAGCGATCCTGAACTGAGTAATAGAAGAAGACTCTTCTCTAAGCTTGACGCATTGGTGGCGTAGCAAAAAATTTGCTTCAGTTCTTCTGCTTCCTGCCATGATATCAAAGAAAAGGACTTCTTCTCTAACTAATGAAATAGGAGTCAGAAACAAGGTGAGTTTTTAGTCTTGTGATCGGAGTACATACAGAGAAGTCTAGAGTCATCCTTATCCCTGTCGGATTAGGGTTAGCATTTGTGGAAATTAAGAAAAATTGATTGGCAAAAATATTTGACCCCTTGTAATGATTTCCATATTCAAGCAGGATTATAGACATTAAGCAACGTTGACCAGTTTCTTTCTTTTTTTTTTTAATCACAAATTGATATGAAAATGTCCTTATCATAATTTTTTTTAAAAAAAAAATATTTTTTGGTCCAAATTTGATAACATGCTCATTCCATTTAAGTGATGCCAAACTTCAATAATGGGTTTTTTCCTCTGCTGGAAAAAACAAATATAAACTTTCTTTTTTATTTCTATTTTTTTTTTTTCCCTTTTTCCTTCATTTTCTCCGACAAAAGTAGTAGAGAAAAGGTGAAGCGAATGAGGACTGCGGCGCCTTATCCTACCGCTGGTACTCTACCCGCCAAATTTGGCATCAATTTTAACAAACCGTTAATTCAATATCCAAACGCTCTCTATCACACCTCCAAATTCAAATCCAGTCTCGGCTTCAAATCTTCTCTCAAATGCCATTGCATTAAGAAAGAAACCACTGATAAACCCACTGAGGTATGTCCAATTTGATCCAAAACTCATATATCATGACATTTCCTTGCTTTTAATTGTAATATAAGCTTGTATAACTTGTCCACTGTTAGACTAGAGCACAAATTGTGGGGTTAAAAGAGAACTATGGAATAGGGTTGTTCTAATGTACTAAGGATGACCCATGTTAGGATTTGTTAAGTTTTAAGTTTTACAGTGTGTAAATTGGTAGTTCTTTGTAAATTGCTTGATGGGTTTGGTTTGTTTATTCATTTTTAGTGGTTTCTTGCTAAATTTTTTTAATGGGGTTTCATTTTTTAGTAAATTGTTGGCGTTGGGTTTTTGTTGTGATATGCAAACATGGTTTTTCTTTTCTTTTCTTTTCTTTTCTTTTTTTAATTTGTGGGATAATGCCAATAGGTATTTTCGGTGCTTTCGACGGATATTTCATGGGAGAGAGGAAGCATATGGAGCACTATGGCTTTGTATATGTTCAATTTGCATATTCCTTTGGGTATTGGAGGCTTGTCTATAGTTGCCAATGTATTGCATCAACCTGTTCTTGATACTCAAACTGAAGTGAGTGAGTTTTCTTAACTTCATTTTGCACGGTAGAACATTGTGATCCATGACTGGTCTAATATAGGGGGAGAAAGGAAGAGGCTTCGTCTAAGTCTAAAGCCATTGCTTGTTGAGGCAGGGTTTGGCTGATTAATAACCAGACTCCATGATACATGTGCTTTTCTAGATTAGGACTTGATTTGTGATTTTCGTTTTGGGTGAAATATTCATCATTGAATAGAGACTGATAACCCACAACTCAAACAAATGCCAAAAGCCAAATTCAGCTCCCTACTTAGTACAGAAAATTAATGCAATACTGCTTAGTGTTGTTTTCATAGATTGGAGTTGCCATAAGGGCATCAATTACAGTTGGTCTATAGACAGCATTAATCCCAGTCTGCCAATATAGGTGTCATCTAATAATTGTTATTTGTTCAATAAATCATTTCAGCCCCATAGGATTCACATATTTCCTTTTCCTTTTAATGTCAAAACCAAGGTAGTGATTTCTTAAAAAATGAATTCGACCATCAATTGTCAGTTGGCTGTCGTTTTGATAAAAACTGATTTGCAATGATTATCCTGGTAAGGACTTCATCAATGGCATGCTTAGCTACACAAGTGGCATGGATGTATTCTGAGGAGTCATGACAAGCACTTCATTTAGCAGAGCATAACTTGATATATTACGTCTTAGAAGCAGTGCACCTATCTGAGCAGTTTCATAATGGCTGTTTTGCTACACTGCAGGCATTATCACTGCTTGTCATCCAAATTTTAGAACTCACTGGTTCTCTCCTTCTACTTAGGAGCACTGCTAAGCCAGAATATGAGGTAGTAAGCTTCTTCAAAACCAATAAATTGTCAAAGAAGAGGAACTGGCTGCTGACATCATTTCTGGGTTTCAGCTTTCTGGTTTTGTTGGTCTTCCTTACATCACTTGTTGCTGACAGACTAATTGGACCCAAGGTTGGTTTTTGGGTTTATCCATTGCTTTTCTTATTCTTTCAAGCCTTTTGTACATCATCAATGATGTGCATTGACAATTTCCAGATGAGGCTTTATTCAAATTTTGTGACGCTAGGTTAGGACACAATTCACTGAAAGTTAATTGGCTGCATATGTTTTTTGGTATTCTGATTTCATTTGCTTTTATAAAATATGCACTGAGTTTTTCTGGCTTGATTTAAATAATGAACTGAAGTTTGATTTGCCTCAATCTTGATGGCTCTTTCTTGAGATCAATTATGTGTTGCACCACTGGGCATTTCCTTTCTTACCCAATATAGGGCTCAAGCCTGAGCCTTCGCCCTCTAGCTTTGCAACAGTACCAATCAGCTACAAGCCCATCGGTACAATTCTAATAACTATTACTTAGATTAATGGAATTACAATAATTTCAGCAATTTTCTAAGATGAAATTGCAATGGAATGAAAACACACAAGTCATTAGTTATATTCTCAATAAATCAAAATAGTTCAAGTATGAGTACAGAATTATATTCACTATCCAGTTGGTTGGATTTGTTCCCTTAAGCAGCCTACTTTTTCTTTCAATAGATGGAACTACTGTGAGTTTCCCCTACCTTGACTATCTAGGTATCTTTTTATCAGCTGCATCTTGGTTTATGGATATTAATTGTTTGTTATAGCTCCTCTGCATTCCGTATGATTAATAGTTGATTAACTCTGATTTGACCATTTTAAACCAAAATGGCCAACGATATTGTGGGTGTAGGAGTTATATCTCAGACTCATAGAGTTGACTACAGATACTTTTGGAAAGATGATACGCCATTCATGTGAACTGAAGACTGGTATATCATGATAGAAATAAGGTGGCAAATAAGGGATAGTGAGGAGTTTCGTTTTCTGCTGTAAGAGCATTGGTTTAGGTTGCATTAGGTATGCAACAGAAGCAAAAATGGTTTGCTCATATTTTACATAAAATTTAGAATAATTTTGTTCTAATTGTTAAGATTTGCTAGTTTCTGAACATGTAAACCCTCACTAATGTTGCTTTTTGAGACTGCAGTTTCAATTGGAAAATAATCATAATTGTGCCTGTGGCTTGAACTTACGCCATGGGTAGTTCATCTGATTTATATTTAAATGCCAAATGGATAGCTTTACTGATAGGGGGTCCGAAATGCATCATTATGTCGTCAGGAAAAATTCCAAAATTGATTTCATTGGCTTTTATGATCTAACCTTAGATACAATTGCAAATTATACAAATTTACATGATAGGGCATGCAAAGTGTTCCATTACCTTTTTGCTTCAATATGAAATCGAACACCATACTGCAAATTTGTTCTGTAAATGGTGCATGCTTACTATTGCTTTTACTCAAGTTCTTTGTGACTTATCCGTTTGCTGTGATATGTTCTTTCATGGATGAATGATGACAACAAACTTGGCCTCTAGAGTTTTACTAACCTTAATATTCTTGAAATAATGTTTTTAGGCTGTGAACAACCCTGTCGTGAAGGAGATTCTTCTGAGCAGCAACATCTCAAAAGTTGCCTGCATCCTGGTTTATTGCCTTGTCACCCCACTGCTGGAGGAAATTGTTTACAGAGGGTTTCTATTGAAATCTCTTGCCTCTACCATGAACTGGCAGGAGGCAATTTTTCTTAGCTCAGCTGTTTTTAGTGCAGCTCACTTCTCTGGTGAGAATTTTATTCAGTTGTTCATAATTGGGTGTGTCCTTGGATGCTCCTATTCTTGGTCTGGGAACTTGAGTTCTCCCATTCTAATACATTCCTTGTATAATGCCATGACACTGATCATAACATTTTTTAATTAAACATAAAACTTAGAACCATTTTTTAACTCTTACACTTTTATATTTCTCTCAGAAGTTACTGTTGGATGAACCAGGCATAGTCTTAGCAGAGTTTTTATGACAGAAGTCTCGGAAAAGAAATTGTTCCCTTAGCTGAAGTTTTTGTTTTATTACTTAGGCATCTGCATGGGCATTGCCCTCTTAAATAATGAAGGATCACATTTGTTCTTGTTTCTTTTTTGCAATGCAATTGCAGGAAATCTCATACAATAATTCTTCTCTCTCTCTCTCTCTACACACACACACACACACGCACTGACCACACACACGCACAGCAGCTCGCACCAACCCTTGTCATCCACATGGCCACCTGCATTTTATTGGCCATCTTGCAGTTCTTGCACCAGAAGTTTTGCTGTGGTAAAGGGGACTGCAATCACCCATTTTGACAGTGAAGAGTAGATTTTTTTTGAGCAAGAAGTGATATCCTGAAACTGTACCAACATGGATCCCTTATGTTCTTCATAGCACTTCAATATGAATAATGCTACTGTTCATTAGAATACACACATTAAAAGGGGTGTTCCCTGTGGTTTAGAAATGGGAGATACTCTCATGAAGCTCCCACATTGGGTCCATTTTGATTTTAGGTAGACACAATTATGATTGGAAGAAAAGTTTTGGTTCATGTGATCATTCATTCTCCTTCAAACAATTTCCTCTCTCTTTTGTCCCTTTCCTTGGAATATAGTCATCAAGTCATTTTCTCTGCCGCTTATACCAGACATACAATAATGCTGCTTAATTTCAACAGCATGGCCAATTGGCCTACATTATGAATATTCTAAATAGTCTGTGGACCCCAAATCTTCAAAAATTATTTGAAAGTTGAATTCATAGGGACGTTTGATCTTATCTGCATCTTGACATCCTCCTCACCATTTTTTAAATTCAAAGTGATGTGAACTTCAGCTGAATCCTTAACCTTCACAAGTTGCAGCTCTCCAAGTGTTCATTGTCCAATAAAAAGATAGGAGTAAGTTACTTTTTCATCCCTCAGTTTTTTATGCAACTGTAACTTAGTTCCTCGGTTTTCAAAAACTTATATTTATGTCATTCTTTTAGAAAAAATCAATAATTGCATGTGCGGTTCTCAAGATTAAACTGTTTTAAGCTTTGATTAGGTGTTATATACTTGATGGTGCAAATATTTCGGAAAGCATACTAAAAATAAGTAGATAAATGTATATGATTTTCTTAAGAATCCTCAAAAGAATTTGGGATCATTGCAAATAATTTTCCATTTTTTTACCTTTGTAAATGTTAAATGTTTATGAAAAATTAAAAAATGCTTCTTGATCTCAAATGGTTGAACTATAAAGTGATTAGAAACTTTGTATTTTAAGGGCACTATAATTATACCAAACTTCAAGAGGTCAATAATCCATATTGCTTTTTTACGACAAGTATTTACTTAATTAGCTCTTTATACCAACTTAACTGTTAATTGAATATGCGTACTGAATCAATTTATTTCATGTGAGTCTTTCGTTAGTGATTTGGCTAACAACGTTAAGTTAATCGCATAAGCACACAACATGTCTCTTTTAATCATTGATACCGTTAGTTTTTCTTTTCTTTTTTCTTTTTTATTTCTTGAAGCATTTATAAAAATCATGAAATAAAATAAAAAACAACTAGGTAAATTTTTGAAAATTTTAGTTTTTTTTATATAATTTATATAAATGTTTTTACTAAAAATAAAAGGCTAACATGGTCAACAATCAAAGTACATGTGCTGTTTAATTATGTAATTAATTTCACGTCATTAGCCAAATCATTACAGAGAGCTCACATTAAACAAATTAATTCATTATATAGATTCAATTAGCACTTAAGTTGATATAAAAATCCGATTAAACAATTGCTTATAGTATAAGGATGGTATGGACCGTTAACCCAACTTCAAGGGACCATATCAACAACACCCAAAAATAGGAATCCCAACTGCTTAAATATAGTGAAGTTTGACTCTTTTCAGCTTGTTCCAGGCTGGTGAAAACCCCTTTTTAGAGCCCACTTTAACACCTATCAATGAGCTGTTCCAAATTTCCAATGCATTTTTTGTTTCATTAAATAAAATTTAAAGCTTTTGGCGCTTTATGATCCCAGGTACAGATAGATTCAGTCAGTGCCTTGCCCGTTGGACCAATAATCTAAATTAATTGCCTCGTAAAAAGGGAAAAAAAAAACCAAGTACACTTATTTTAAGAAAAAAATCAAAATAAATAAAATCCCCACGTAAAAAGATTAAAAATAATCTTTAAATTAATTGCCCGTTGGACCAATAATCTAAATAATTGCCTCAATAGTAATTTTTTAAATTTTTTTTTTTTTTTTTTGCATTTCAATTTTTTTGTTTTTGAATTTCAAGTCCTTGCATAATATTTTTTTTCAAATGAGGTGAGATTTTAATATAAAATCTTATATTTTTTATTTATCAATAAATATAGTTTAGTGGTAGAAAAATTATCTTAATTTATTCAAAATTAATATTCAATTTCTGTTATTTATGAATAAATTATCTTAATTATTCGTTAGTAATATCAATTTGGACATGTCTGATATAAAAGAAAGTTTAAAAAAATTAAGTGTATTCAAACGTATAGTCAATCAAAAACTAAACATATTTTAATATTATTTTAAAATAAATAATAAAAATTTTAATTTTAATTAATAAAAAAATTAACGTAAAGATACTTCAGTGTATATATATAGTAATTTTTAACTTTCAAGTCAATTCTTTAAAATTAGAAAAATTAAATAATTAGATTATGGAAATTGTTTATAAATACCAGATTGATTTCTATTTTTTTATTTAGAAATATTCTAAATTTAGCATAGTTCTTCAAATAAATTAGTAACAGAAATTTTGGAGAAACTGCTATTAATAAAATTTAACAAAAATCGACCCTCCAGTTTGGTCCCACATCTATAGTTTACCCCGCAATCAACGTGTAATATAGAGACAATCAAAGCCAAAAAGACGTATAACCCACTCGATCTTCGCCACGTGTCCTTGAATGTGTTGGATCCCACGTTATTACCTTAACAACCAAGAATTGCCATATCACTTCTGTCTTTAGGCTTCTGCTAGCCTAGCAAAGCTACTATCTTTACACATTATCAGAAAGGCTACCTTAAAAAAGACACAAATCCGAGCTAAACCTAACTTCCTCTTCATCTATATATACCTCTAGATTCTCTGCTAAAAAGTTATTCCTTTTCTTGTATTCATTACTCTCTTTCTCTCTCTCTCTCTCTCTCTTTTTCTCAATCTCTAGAGAGAGTCTAGTCATGGGTGATTTTGAGAAGCAGGTGAAGGAGAGAGCCAAGGATCTCAAGGTTTTGCTCAAGAAAGGAGTCAAGATTGTGGGAGAATCATGCAAGAAAGGATGGAAGAAGGTGAAGAACATGAAGAAACGTTGATTGCATCCGGTTAATCCCATATTTGATGATCTCTCACTGCTCCCTCTCTCTCTAGATATGAAGAAAGATCTCATGTAGTTGTAATTTGTTTGTTCTTAAAATGTTTAGAACATTATGGGGCTTGCTTTTTTCCTATAATCTTTTGTTTTTGAGTCGGTCCTTGATGTTGTTCTAATCATGTTTATGTTGGGATCTTGTTGATTTATTTATTATTGGATTTATTGATGTAAATTCCTTCACTCTACTACTTAATACCCTTCTTTCTTTTCCTCTTTTTTATGTTTTTGCTCTGGTCTTGGATGGTAGCTCACAAAATTTTTAGTGTTCATAGTCCTATTTTGTGCTTAAGAGCCATGGAATATCCTTGGATTTGTGAATGATGGGTTTGAGATTTGAATGTGAGATAATTATCTCTTAGCCTACCTGTCTATGCATCTGGGCATCTGTCAATTTCATGCACAGGATCCTATTGACTTTAATGCTAATGTTTGAGTCCAGTTTAAGTTCCCACTTTGGCTCTTCTTTTTCCTTTTTTGGACGAATCATGCTTTTCAGAATTTGATAGGTGAATTGTTGTGAATGGAATAAAAGTTTATTGACTCATTATCTGATAATACTAGTTTTTTTTTATATATATAATTTTTTAATCAAAATTTTATATATAACTAATTATTTTTTATATTTTTATAAATTTTTTATTAAAAATAAAGTGTAATGTAATGAAATTTTTTATAATAAATATTTAAAAAATTGAATAGTACATTTGAGTGTTTAGAATAGTGAATGAATAATAAAATTTTTTTTTAGTTTTTTTTTTTTATGGAGAATATTACAGGGAGTACATTGTGAAGCAACAAAAAAAAAAAAAAATCGAGGTTAGTAGGAGCAATTAGAGGGAATTTAGAGAAATTCGACGAAGATGATACTGATTTATTTGTTAATTATTTGAATTTTTTCCATTTTTGTCACCCCATTGTGGAATGGTTGCACCAACTCGAGATCGAGTTTTAAATAAAGAGAGTTTTTAAACCTTTTTTTTTTTTCATTTTTGACTTGTGAGCACGAGAGTTTGGCAATTAGTAAGACTTGAGATTCGAATTTTCATCTACATAAGAACGACTCGTCGCTTGAAGTCCACTGATTTGCATTTGGATAAGGCCCATTTTGAAATTTGACAGGTTTGTTAAGAAAATGGGCCCATAAAAAACTGGTGGTACTACGCAAGAGAATGGTTCAACCGCAAAATTACTCCCAATGACAAGTTAAGATTTTTATTATTAAATTTTGATTGTTTGAATCTTGAAGTATCATTTTTTTTAGATAAATGTTATCATTTTTTTTTAACAGTTAAATTATTGATCATTAACTTAATACTTAAATAATATCGTTTTAGCATTTCAATTTTTTCTACTCGATGGCAAAAATTATTTCCAAATTATTATAATTATGATAATTTAAAATATTTATTATCACTTTAGATTATTTAGATCCTAGATTTTTATTTTCTTATAAAATATTATTATTTTATTATTATTTTTAATGATCATAGCGTTTATTATTAACCTGAAAGTTAAAACGACCTTGTTTAAATATTTTTTTTATAATAATACTTAACACTGATGATATATCAAAACCAATAATTATTAAAATCACTAATAATAGAATATAATTCTCAATGAAATAAATTTGCGATTGCCTTCCAACAAATCTGAGCTCGTAGGCCCATTACGTGTGATCATTTTTTAGACTTTATGTATCACAACACATTTGCTATCTCTATCAATGAAGTCCATGTTTCAGCTTTCTTCTAAAATCAGAAACTATTAAAAAAAAATGCTAAATCCACAATCACAACATTATCATGATCAAAAAAATTTAAAAAAATAAAAATAAAAAACAACTACAACATTCATAATTTATAAAATATTGTAGATGCAGATTCAACAATCACTTTCCTTATTTGCTAACATTTATTTTGTGATTTAAGTACTAGCTAAACGGGTCAAACATTCTCTCAACTTATTTATTTATTTTGAGATTTAGTTTATTTTATAATTTTCAACTATCACTTCTTCTTCTTTTAAGATTTAATTTTTTGTATTTTGAATTGATATTTTACATATATGTTGGGAAATATTCAATCTATTTTTTTAAAAAAAAATTCTATAATTTTTCAAAACTGAAAAAACATATTTGTTATTTTCTGAATGTTAAAAATATAAAAAAATAAAAAAAATAAGTAATTGAAAATGATCTTTTTTTTAAAAAAAAAAGTCTCATAATTTTTATTGAATAGTTTTCATCATGAGTTTATTTATATGATTGTAATTTTTGACACAAAACTAAAAAATAAGGTAAATATTTTAAAAAATTAAAAAATATCAAACTCAAAATGAGAAATTCAAAGAATAATTTTTAAATAGACTAAAATTTAGGTGAGATTTGATCCATTTATTTTGAATTATTTTGTGGATCCCATCATATGGAGAATAAGAATAACATCCAAAAAAATGAGACCACTATTTTCCCAAACTAAGCACCAAAAATTAAACGAAAACCAATTTTTCAACTTGGAAATTTTTGAGTTTGATTGATGCCATAATCACAATCTCCAACTTCTCCATAATTCTCCAAGTTATTCCCATAAATTCTATATGAAAAAAAATCCCAAGAAAATAAGTTTTTTTTTAAAAAAAATTATAATTAAAATATTCTCAGACCCCATTTATAATTGCAAACATCAAGATTAAATTACTTTTCAATAAAACTCATACACACAACAATTAACACTCTAATTACATCATAAAAATTTATTATTTATTATTACGACTCTCACTATGGTGTCTATTCCTACAAAATTCGTTAATTTTATTTATTATTTATTATTTTATTTAATTTTATCTTAAGTAGCATTATCCCAAATAATAGCACTGCACAAAAATAAAATCATAATCTTTTTTTAAATATTGTATGTAATTTTTGAATTTTTCGACTCAAGCATATTCCATTTAAAAAAAAAACTCTTAGAAATATTCCCACGCATACAGCACAGCTCACCAAACAGTTGGCAACAACCTTTCGACAACGAACAACCAATCCTTCCCCATGTTATCCCGCATCCAAAATCCGAATCTACCAAAACCGCTAAAATCAATCCCCACCGTACAATACTCCAAGTCAATGCATCCAACGGCTAATAACAATTATTCGAGACCATAAAAGCTACATCTTGGCTCTACCAAACACTTCCTCCCTTAAATGAACTAAAAAATAAACATACACGCAAACTTCGTGTCCTCTTTCCTCTCATTTTTCTCTCAAACTTTCCTTCACTTTCTCTCCTTTTCTCTCTATCCAAACACCTTGTAAAGCCAAGACTTCTCTCTAAAATCACAACAAAAACACAGCAAATGAAGATGCTGTCAATGGAGGATTCACGCTTGTATGCTAATCTTCTTTCAATGGCACGCACTGTTTCGATTTCGATTGCCGTACGGACTCGACAGTCTCAAACGGTCTCTTTTCCTATACGGTTCACGCTTCCTCAACAACGAATATGTACAGTTAGTGCTTACTGAACGCTGTCGTTTTTTACTGTTGTTTGCTCGTTTTCTTTTCTAGTTCTTTGTTTCTGTGTTGCTTGTTCTGAATTTTGAGGACTCGAAGGGAAGATTTGTTAGGGTGATTGTGTCAATTTGGCTAATTCTATGTCAATTTCGTAAAATTTCAAAATTCTTCGAAATTTAGGGTTTGAAAGGTTCTTCGTGTAGATTTGGAGCATTTCTGGGGGTATTTTGGCCATTCAGAACTCTCTACTTTAAAGAACTGGAGGGAAAAATATAAAAAATGCTGAAAGTTCTTGTTGAAATTTGAAGTCTTGATAGGGGCATTTCGGTCTTTTGAAGTTTTGTGCTTCAAATAATTGGGAGTAAGGAAAGTAAGAACCGTGTGTTAGATTCGAAGCATTGGTAGGGGTATTTTTGGTCTCTTGAAGTTCATTGTTTTGATTTTGATTTTTGGCGGGAAAACTGGGGGAATGGCGGGAAATCGCGAAGTTGGGATACCGAAGACAACTGCTTGTAGTTTAAGGGAACAGGTAGCAAGAACTACGCTTAGTAGAGTGAGAGCACAAGGGCACCCTTATTTGGAGCTTCGCGAGGATGGCAAGCGGTTCATATTCTTTTGTACTTTGTGTCTTGCGCCGTGTTATAGTGATACCATTTTACTTGATCACTTGAGGGGTAATCTTCATACTGAGAGGTTATCTGCTGCAAAAGCTACTCTTTTGAAACCGAACCCATGGCCCTTTAGTGATGGGATTCATTTCTTTGACGCTTCGAGTGGGAGTGAGAAACAGTTGGCAATCAAGAATGGTAAAAAGAGTAGGCTCATGATGTTCAATGAGAACAGTGATAATCTTGCAATTGTTAAATATGATGAAAATCTGAAACCTGGTTGCGATGTGGATGTTGATGACCATTTAAGTGGTAATGATGAGGTTTCTGATCTGGTGATTCCAAGTGTGCGTCTTAAAGAAGACGTTTCTGATTTGAAAGTGAGGTTCATGGGTTCTGGACAGATTGCTGCAAGGATGTATGAGAAGAATGATGGTTCAAATGAGATTGGTAGAATATGGTGTCAATGGCTGGGGAAAAAGAGTTCTACTGATGAGGATAAGGTCAAGGTTTTGGATCATGACTTCAGTGTTGTTACTTTTGCTTATGATTATGAATTGGGAAAGAGCGGATTGTTTGACGATGTGAAGCTATTGCTCTCTTCTACTTCTCCAGCACTGGTAGAAAATGATGAGGGTAATAGGAAAAGGAAAAGATCTGTTTCTGACCCAGAAGATGTTAGTCGATCTTTGACTAATCAGTATGCGTTATGTGAGGAAGAATCTTCAAAGACAACTAGTGCCTCTTCTGAATTGGTACTGGATCGATACGATGATCAGCTTATGCAGACTGGACTTATATCAAGCAAGACAGTAAGGCGAGAGGTAAGAAAGCAACAGCGCATAGCAGCAGAAAAAATGTGTGATATCTGTCAGCAAAAGATGCTTCCAGAGAAAGATGTAGCGACGCTTTGGAACAGGAAGACTGGAAAACTTGCTTGCAGTAGCAGAAATGTCTATGGGGTAACATTCTCTAGCTTACCTGTGATTTCTCCAAGATTATGTTTTTGCTAGTACCTTCTTAACACATTGTAATAATTGTTATGTCATACTCTTTATGAGCTACAAATTTTGTTTCTATTGATTTGATTTGAGATGAAACATGAAGAATTTGTTGAGTTTCTTTTGAAAAAAATATTTTGCGCACGCAGGCATTTCATGTATTTCACACTTCTTGCCTTATACACTGGATACTCTACTGTGAGTTTGAAATTGCTCGAAATCAGTCAGTCAGTCCCAAAGGGGGGCAAAGATCTAGGAAAAAGAATGGAGCCAAATCAAATACAACTGGAAAGGGGGAACAGTAAATGTTATGTCAAACCCAATTGTTTCTGTGTTCTGTCCAGACTGCCAAGGCACTGGTGTGAACATCAAGGGAGATGAGTTTGAGAAGCCACTTGTTCCTCTTTCAGAGGTATGGTTTCTGTCACCTGTTCATGCCAATGTGTTGTTTTTTATGTTCTTTCCTTGCAGTTTGCCTGTAATGTCAGCAAATTACAGAATTTTCTCTTTAGTTAAATAATCAAGTTCTATTGTCAAGTATTTGTTGTTTTTTTATGGAGTGAATTAGAAGGGAAGATTTATTGGGTTTCAACTTTAGGTTTGCGATTGGTTTTCCCTCAATAAAAAAGTTTTTATTTTTTTTTATTTACAAGAAAATCCTTTGGGATATTGAAAAAAAAAAATTGAGAAATTCTTGAACGACTTGGGCATAATATCATGATTTTCTTCCCTGTTTCAGATGTTCAGGTTCAAGATCAAAGTGAGTTTGGGACATAGAGGATGGATGAAAAATCCTGAGATCTTGGAGAATTGTTCAACTGGTTTTCATTTCCCTTTAGAGTCTGGAGAAACAGTTCAGGTATTCTGATCTCTGATTGAAAATTTTATTGGTGATGAATTGGCATTGTAATACTGAACCTTATTCTCCATGTTCTCTTTTTTAAGGAAAAGGTGTTGCCTCTCAAGTTGCTGCATTTCTATAGAGCTGAAGAGTAGAGTTGGGCACAAGTTTGAGTAGCCGAACCTTTCAGTTGACTTTAGTTTCAGTTGTAGGATGTAGATTTTACTCTTAACGAAGGTCTATAAGCTGCTGTAAAGGTACTCTTAAGGAAAGTCTATAAGCTGTTGTAAAGGTAACCATCATGACCCTTCTGAAAACATTGAATAAACACTTCGGGTAGCAGAAATAGGATTTATCGTGTCATTTACTTTGGTGCATAGCTGTCTCATAAAACAATGTATATGCCTGTTGTCTTACAGGATGAATACATGCATGGGGTGTGCATTGCTGACATTTCTGCTCTGTAAATGAAATGGTATGACAGCCAATCACGAATTCACATCTAAATGTTGAAATTTTTTTATGCTTTCGGCTAACTTTAAGTGCTTCATTTGTTGTTGCCAGCCTGTTCTTGAATGAGGCATCATCATCATCATCATCATTATGATTATAATAATAATAATAATAATATCTTATTTTTAATGGATTTGCCTCCATTTTCATCATCATCATCATCATCTGGCTGGCTTGAGGAGGCTAGTAATTGACAGTTCTGCTATTAGCTGTTATAGAGTACTTGTTCTTGTACGGAGGCTCAAGATGTATGTTTGTTTGTCATTGCATGAAGTTTCGAAGTTTGGTGTCTTTTTATGATCTTTTTTCTTTCAAGGCTGAATCATATCTTTGTTGGAAATCTTATCGATCTTGGATTGGTGTATATCATTACTTAATTACTAGTATCTTTTGTTCTGTCATGTTCCTGCTGGCAACGTATCTAAGTATTTGTACTACTGTTAACAATGTTAGTCTGCCAAACCCCGTGGGGAGACATGCTAATTATCCAGCTACAGACCATTTGTCACTTGGAGCTCCATCCTGGACCGGGAATTCACACCTGATGTCACTTTGTTATCAAGTTTTTTGACAATTCCATAAAAAATTAAAAGTTTTCGACCCATAGATTTAAATAAAGTCGGTTATATATTGTAACGGTAATTATAAAACGGTTTTGAGGTATTCTATTATCGTTATTCAGTGTTGTAATGATTTTGTTGCTGTTTCACATAAATAATGGTGAATAGTGACTTTACCGTAATGTAATGTAGTTATTTGCTGTTATATAACAGCACTAATTATATATATATATATATATATATAGCCTACTTTTCAGCCTTGTACTTTGTAGTCTATCTACGTGGTTTTGTCTTTGTTTTTCTACTCTGTTTTTGTCCCTACCATTCAGCCTTTGTGAGCTTGAATTTGATTGAAAAAAAAATCGTATTTTTCAATCTTTTCACTTTATGTTAATATATTCACGATATTAATTGATTTAATTGTTATTTTACTATCGTAATCTGTTATTGCAATTGCGAATGGTTTTTCAATAACATTTGTGATTTAAAACTATGTTTCGACCATGTGCCTCAAGAAATTATGACCTCTCCCTCCCTCTCTCGAGGGTTATATTCTGAGCAGGTTAAACGATTGCAATCGATGCTTGGATTGGTTGGGAATGGCATGAGCATCAAATGACTTATGCTCCTTTAAATGTAGAGGTAACCTTGGATCCATTCTAGACATTCTTGGAGAGATTGGGTGAACAAGAGTTCGTAGTTAACAAATGAGAAAACCTCTTGTACCTTGAACTTGTATACCTTGAAGCGATTGTGCAAGTTCATGAATAAAAACAGGTCAACTCAGAACTTGGTATACCAACTTTGTCACAATATACAATTTAAAGTCAATGGTTTTACGTTTGTGTAGACGTGACAGTCTACCTGTACAGGTAAAATCTTATCACTAAAATATTAATCAATACTTAATCATATCCAATTACAATTGATCTCTTAACAAAAATGCCCAGCCGGCCCCATCAGAATCCTGCAAATTTAAGTGAAAGGTCTTCTCAGATTAGAATTCGGCTGAAAACAATGTACAGCAAGACCACATTGCCGGCAAGGTTATTCTACACAACACTATCTGTACCAAATCCCGGTTGACAAGCCGGCCCACATTTCATGCATGCAAAACTTAGTCATTTTGCAGCATAATTGCTTTCCTATATATATAACCGTTATTTTTCAAACATTAGGCACACAAAAAATGGCGTACTCAAAGAGGTCCAAGAATTTCGTATGCTTCCTAGCTGTTCTTGCTTTGGTGTTAACACTTATCGGAAGTTCTCAGGCTCGGCCACTGCCTCGCAGCACAGAAGTTTCAGGATTCCAAGTTCAGAATTCATCATATGAGGCAATTCTTATGAACCTCGCGGCGATGTTGCCGAAGGGTGTACCGTTGCCACCTTCTGGACCTAGCCCAGGCATCAACTGATCCGGTTTTAGACATTCGACGATGGCATTGCTTATAGTCTATGCTAATATTCGTTCATGATATATAGGATGTATTCTAAGATTGAGTTTTACTTGTTAAGAGAGGTTTGTCATATTCTTTGTTGTCAAGTATTTATTGTCTTTGATTATTCACTTCTCTCTATATATTCATTGAAGATGTATGCAAACAAACTTTACATGGACAAGTTATGATAAGATATAGATTCATTATTTTTATTTCTCATACTGCTTCTGCTAACTTTAACGAGCTGCCTGCTATGATACTCCATTGCAATACCTGCTTTAATGGTGGACAAGTATATCCTTTACGTCCTACTTGTTTACAGCAACAAAAGCATCATAGGTATTAGATGGTGTGATCTTCCTAAGACGTGATGGTTCAGAAGTAAGCAATTGAGGTTGCCTCATGTCTGTCAGATTTTATATCAAGAATCTGTCTAGTCAAGTAAAACAAGAAATTACAATTAAGTAGGTGTGATTTTAGTTATAAGACTTCAGCCATCATGATCTCTCTCTCTCTCTCTCTCTCTCTCTCTATGAAAGAAAATTCAATACAAAAAGAAAGCAATAAGACAAGCCTAGCACAGGATTCAACAGCCCGCATGGCACACCAAAAATTGCAGAAAGGACCAACATGACTACAAGTTTCTGAAAGAGAAACAACTCAAGCAAAGAAAACAGAGCAGCCACTGAAGGCTGCAAAACTCAGCTGCTAAAGATCAAAGCTGAATGTTCCATAGTTAATGGAAACAGTTCCTAGCAGACTCATTAATTGCTCGATTACCAGAAAGCACTGCAAATATGTTTTGATTGCCCCATTGGCTAGCCTTTAGAGGGTTTATTTAGATTGCCAAGCCAGGAAAACTTTTAAAGCTGGGCCTTGGCTAGCAAGACTAGAGAGCTCAGAGCTTCAAACAAGCTTAGACCATAGATGGTGTACTTCCTATTTTCATTCTTAATCTTTCTCAGAAACTGCTAACATAAACTCGCAATTCTAGGAATGATTCCAAATCATATTACCTTCTTCAAATTGATAGTGGTAGATGATTCCACATTAAGCCTCTGCAATTTTGGCCAAGGTAGGAAGTGGCAAGTAAAGGTTGACTTTATTTCAATTATGTTATTTGCTAGTGATTGACATTCTTAGAAATTAAAATATGTCCATGATCTATTCAATGTGGTTCCCCAAACCTTTAAAGTCCTGGTGTTTATGAAAGATTGGATTTAAAGTCAAGACTTCATTTTATAAATCAGAATTGATTTAAATTCAGTAGTGATTGTCCCATGGTGATATAAAATTAGGTGGACTTCTTAATATTAGATTTAATGCTTCTAAGTTATGGAAAGTGCAGAATGTTTTGTTTATAAAATAAGGGGATGCAGTGATGCACAGTTTTTGGTTTCAGATAAGGATGTAAAGCCAGATGACAAGCTGACCTACATTTCCTTCATGGAAAAACCTGGTCATTTGCTGCATTGCTATGTATAATCTTTGTTTGTCAAACTGAAGGTATTCAAAGATGGGACTCTTAAACATGTGCAAGAATTTCATATGCTTCGTCGATGTTTTAGCTATGGTTTGTGCTCTTATGTCAAGTTCTCAGGCTCAGCAGCTGCCTCAGAGGAAGATTTCAGGATTCCGAATGGATAATTCAGATGAGGTAAGCTTTAGGACCTCAGGATAATGCTACCAAAAGGCAAACCATTGCCTACATCCGGACCAAGCCCTCCCATCAACAGATCCAATGTAGATGTTCAATATCAGCATTGCTTAATCCGAGCTTTACAAGTTGATTCAGACCTCAATTAGTGGACAATAAATTTCCAACTTGGTTATAATGACACAGCATCATAAGAATTAGGGAGCCTGTGTGTCCCTGAACTCTGTGTCAATACCAGGTACGGCCTGGTCTTCTTCCTGGGACATGATGATTAAGAAATTAATATCCAGTTAAGATTTGCGCGTTGGATTTTGTATTGAAAATCTGTCTCATTAAGTGCATCAATGAATAAACAATTAAGTGAGTATGACAGTTTTAGATATTTGAACTAGCCTAAAAAAGAAAAAATTCCCTCTTTAGTGATGAAAATTCATTACCCAAGAAGGAAGCAAGACTTGCTCTTTTACAAGCCAACAGTTGTGGCACACCAAAAGTTACAGAAAAAAATTGTTAGAGATTAATATAAATCATATTTTAGGACCGTACCTAACAGTTTAAGCTTTTGGATGAATTGATCCTTCAACATGGTATCAGAATCTTAATAAACAAACAGTTGTGATTTCGAATCCTACCACCCCCATTTTCTCTTCTAGTTAATTAAGCACAAGGTAGCATGTGCTTGTGCAAGTTTCAAGTCCAAGGGGCCCTCACTTGAGGGAGTGTGTTTGGGGCAAGAGACTAGCAGAAGCAGGAAAATGATAGCAAACAGAGCAGTAAACCAAAACTGTGAAAGTAAGCTGCAAACAAATTGAAACTAAGAATGAATCAAAATCACCATATGTTCATCAACTTGATCAAGATAGATTGATGTTCCACATAAAGCCTCTTGCATTGAACTGAAGCTAGCAAGAGGCAAGTGTAGTTTGACTTTGTTTAAATAATATATTTGCAAGTAGTTGACATTCTTGAATATGTTAACTACCGATCCAACATGGTACCACAAGCCTTTGAAGTGGTGTTTGTCCACTGTTATATTAAATATTTAAGGTTAGACTTTGTTTCACAGTGATGGAAATATAAAATCTATAAAGGTTGATTTTTCCTTGATTTTTGTTGACATTAATGCTTCAAAGTTACGTATGGACAGAAGTTGAGAACGTTTTGTCATAAAAAAAGGGGATGCATTTGGGCAGTTTTTGGCTTCAGAAGTGTACAGAAAGATACTTTGCCAGCTAGCTCATTGAACAAAAACATAATCTCCTGTGACCATCAAATCCTGGTTGACAAGCCGCCCACGTTTAATGCAGGCAAAACCAATTTGCTGCAGGGCTATATATAACCGTTTCCTGTCAAACATTAGGCATACAAAAATGGGGTATTCGAACAAGTACAGCAGTTTCATTTGCTTCCTAGTTGCTCTATGTCTGGTTTGTGCCTTTATAGGATGTTCCCAGGCTCGGCAGCTGCTTCAGGGAAAGGTTTCAGGATTCCAAACTGAGAACACTTTTGAGGCAAGTGTTAGAACCCTTGGAGCAATGCTCCCGAAAAGTGCACCATTGCCACCATCTGGACCTAGTCCTGGCATCAACTAATCCAATTTGTCTGCTCAACATTGGCATTGCCTAATGCCTATAGCGTAATAAGGTGATATTTGTCTCATATAGAAAGCAATCAAAGCATCCTACAACTGAAACAGTCAAGTAATAGCTGCTAGTTATGAACTGAGAGAGATTGTTGAATTCTTTTTCCTTTTTTGTAGTGTTTTCGGTTAAGAATTTTTGATACTTATATAACCTCAAACTTGTACCTTGATTTACCTTAATGAATGAGAAATGATAGCCAATTCTAAGCAATTAGAAGACTAGCACTGCTACAAGCCAACAAATAATACACACCAAATGTCACATAATGGAGGTAAGCAAGCAGACATAAATGAAAGCTAACAAAAACTACGTGGATTAGTAACAAGTCAAGTCAAGCAAATAAAGCAGCAATTCCTAACTGCAAAAGAGTGCTAGCTGGGATCATCCTAGCTTCTTCTTCTTCAAAACATTCAAAGCCATAATTTCTGCACAAACATTGACAAATCTTTGATGCATATAATGCTTTGAAAAGACAAAGCTTCTGCCTTGATCCAATTAAATTCAGTATATAGACTATAGTTGACAACTTTTTTTTTTTTTTGAAGGTTTTCGTTATCAAAAGACAATCAAGACAGGAGATTTCCTGAAGCAGCGCAAGGAGGAAACTAAGATCTTGTGGATATATATTTATTGCTTGTATTTATTATTTATTAAGAATAAATCAGATTAGGAAAAAAGATATGAGAGTTTTAATTAGTGTGGTATTTTAATTTAGACTTTCTATGTTAACGTGAGTCTGTCTATGAAATAGCCTATCAAGTTCGTCGTTGTTTTTCAGTTGCCTCTATTATATAAAGAGCATATGCTTTCTGAATAAAATTATCAAATAATTTATACCAAAAAAGGTTTCGGAGGGTTGGAAGGTCTCTTAAGGACAAACCTCTAAAGTTACTGTTACAATAGGTTACTCTCGGAAAGAGAAGTATCGAAGCAAGGGAATTAGTGAGGATTTCCCTGTTCATCGACCTGTGACGCTATCCTTGACATGCAACCATGACAATTTGTTTACACAAATAGCCATAAACTAGCAGTTGTGTATGGCTATTTGTGTATCCAGTAACTTGTTTCAACAAAACAGGTTCAAATCTTGATAACTCAAAATTTATTTGGAAAGGGAAGAATCGAAGCAAGGGAATTAGGAAAATGCCCGAGAAATCTGTCCTATAATGCTATGATAATATAAAAGAGCAAAGATTGACTTTCTCTAATAAAAGAGAGAGTCCTCTCCCGAGGGCTGAACTGGAATGTCTGGATGCAGTCTTCCTGGTCATGGAGTTTTCTCTACTCGGGGGTTTTCTTGTTTGGGGAAGGGGAGGCAGTCGCTGTGTGTGTTGGGAAAGGAGGGACGAACTCTTCTTTCACAGGCGTGGAAGATATGCGTTAGAGAATGATTTTATGTGGACATATCAATAAGGAGATGCAAAATAGAGATGATCTCCGTCTTCAGCATCACCTTTGCACAGAACACAATTTGTATTGATATCTCTTTTCGTTCTCACCAGTCTAAGTTTAGTAGACAATCAACCTGTTTACAATTGCAAGCGAGGCAATGAAACTATGTCTTGGCAAATGGAAAGAGCCCCACATCAGCTTACGCTGATCGGACTGAACATTCTTGTCCCTTTGATAACTCAGGCACTTCTGATTGAAGTGAATTTTCATCTACAGAAAACCTTCATGTAACTTCATTAGAAGCAGAACTCGAAGGAGACACCACGTCATTACCTTGTACGTAATTCAAAGAGAAAATAGGAGTGAAAAGGTTCAATCGTTTTCATTATCTTATATTTAATTATTTAATTTTAATTATAAATTTAAACTCGTGATCATTTGATTATCAAAATTATGATACTATATGAAAAAATCATAATAATTCAAAAGTTTAAATTATAAAATGAGAAAAATATTTTAATCTAAAAATTTGAATTATTAAATAAGATCTTATGAATAATTTTATATTACTCGTTACTGCTTCTTAAAGTCAATTTACATCTACACATATAAATTCATCAAAAATAAAACATGAAAGAGACACTGTTATATATTACTTTATATCTTCTTCAAATAAAGCAAAACATATTTCTGATAACATCAGCAACACCTGGATCAACAACGAATCCAGATACATGAATTAGATCACTGTTATAGACTTTGGCTAATAATCCATGTGGAAGCCGATGATACTGCCGAATATTTTTAATTAAACGAATTTTATCCTTATAAAATGATTAAGTTTTTAACTTTTTTCATCTAAATTAATTGAATCGGTCATATACATAACGTAATATTATATTAAAGATAGCAAATTTTAATAGAGTATAAAATGGGTCACTAGAGAAGGAGAGGGAGGCTTCGAATTGGAAGAAATGTATGACCCGCTATAAATTTTTTTTTATTATTATTAAAAAAGAATTATCAGGGTTGACCATTATTCGATTGAAACCGAAAAATCGAACCGAATTAACAATTTCGATTCGGTTTTTTAAAAAAATTGAAACCGAAAACCGAAATTATTTTGATTCGGTTCGGTTTTTTTTTTTAAATTCAATTTTCACCGAAAACCGAATTATTATTATTTTTTTTAAACACATACCAAACTCTTTTTTAAAAAAAAATGAAAGAGACACCTATGGGTTTAACTAAAAGAACAATAGCTTTAATGATTTTTTTCTACTTAAAATAGAAATATTTTCCATTAATTATTTATTGAAATAATAAAATAATTGATTATATTATATTGACTCATAAAAAAATAAAAAAAAGACTGTGATAAAGAAATTCTTTATAAATACACAAATTTATGTGTGAGTGAATCCTAAAACCTCATGAAAAAAAAATTATCTCCTTAAATTAAAATTGGCACAAACATAAATTAAAAATTAGATTTTTCATATTATATATTCAACAATAAAATATGCACAAAATAAATAAATAAATAAAATATGAAAAATTAATTAAAAAAACCAATTATAGCATGATTGAAAAAATAATGAGAAGCCCAACTAATTTAGTTTATAATATAAATAGAAACAAATTTAGTATAAAAAAATAATTATAATCATACATAATTTTCTTATAAAATCAAATGTGAAATATGCAATATTTGATTATGCAAGTTTGATATTTTTTAAAAGCAAAATAATTTGATTTTTAGAAGAAAAATGCAAGAAAAAAACGGTTTTTAATCGAAAAACCGAACATCAATTCGGTTCGGTTTTGATTTTTGTTTTAGCCAATTCAGTTAACCGAAAAAAAAAAAAAACACTAAAATCGAACCGAAAAACCAAATGATCATCCTTAAGAATTATCGTAAAAGAAGGAGAGGAGAAAAAAGAAGATTTTGAAAAAGCAAAAAAGATGCGATGTGACATAAATTATTAAAAAAAGTTTGTTTGTGACATATTTTAAACATGATTACATATTCATTTTGAGTAAATTATAGATTAGTTCTCTTTTAATTTCAAAAAATAAATCAATTAGTTATGTTTATTTTAAAAATTATTTTTTAGTCCTCTAACCCATATTGATCATCATTAATTTAATATTATTTTTATTTGATAAAATATTTTTTTCATCATTTTTTATATTTTTTTAAAATAAAAAATCAAAATAAATTGAAAAGTAGAAAAAAATTAAATTATAAGTATATTTAAAAATATAGGAACTAAATAAATAATTTTTTAAAAAAGGAATTAATGAATTCAATTCTCAAAACTACAGGGATTAATTTATAATTTACTCCATTTATCTCCATTCATTCCCCAATCCTTGCAGAAACATCAAATCTTCCAAACACAATCAAACAAAGAATGAACAATGAATCTTCGTTTTTCAAGAAAATTATTTACTTTACTCACTCAAAACTATCGATTCCCCTTCTCCTCAACAAGGGTTTTACTCCCTCAAAAACATCGAATCCCCTTCTCCTCAACAAGGGTTTTAGCTTCTTTCTTCTTCTCCACTGAAACCCCAATCAAACCTCTATCTTCTTCAGACTCTTCTAAATTACACAGAAGAATTGAAGTCGTAAGAGACCAAAAAGTCTCAATCGTACCAGTGCTTGATCAATGGGTCAAAGAAGGCAACACTGTTGACAGATACCAGCTAGTGTATCTGGTTCGGCTCCTGACTGATTATAAACGGTTCAACCATGCTTTAGAGGTCTTTATTTCTCTGACCCGTAAATTTTTTTTACTTAATTTGTTGATTATTGATTGTTTTATGAGTTCCTGTTAAGTAAAATGTAAAGATTGTTGTGAGAATTTGTTGAATCATTCATGGTGGATTTGAATTTTTGGTGAAGTTTCAGTTTTTGAATCACATGTCATTCATTGGATTTGTGTCAGTCTCAATATGATTCAACGAATATTGACGTCAAATTAGTAAGTCAGCACTAGGCCAGTTATGTATGGTCATAGTGAAGCTTGGCCCATATCATGATATGTTAGATGCAGCTTCATGTTGGAATTTGATGAGTTTAATGTACATACTTCCTCTAAAATTGGAACTCAATAGAGAGCATGATTAGTTTGAAAGTTTGTGACTTTTTCTTTCCTTAATGTTCCTCAGGTATCGGAATGGATGACGGGTCGGCGGTTTTTTACATCAACAACGGAAGATGCTGCAGTTAGATTGGAACTAATCCATAGAGTTCGTGGAATAGAGGAGGCAGAGAACTACTTTAATAAACTTCCGATTGAGTTAAAAACTAAGTGTGCATATGTTGCTATTCTTCATGGCTGTGTGCGAGAGAAATCTGTGCAGAAAGCAGAAGCAATAATGCAGGAAATGACAGAAGGGGGCATGATCATATCATCTTTTCCTTATAACTTATTGATCAACCTTTACTCTCAAACTGGAGACTTTGACAAAATCCCCCCACTGGTGAAAGAAATGGAAAGGAATGGAATTACTCGAGATAAATATACAATGAGAAATCTAATTGCTGCATCTGTTGCTGCATCTGACATTTCCACTTTGGAAGAAATCTTGAAACTGATGGAGGAGAATCCAGGTCTTGTTCTAGATTGGACAGTGTATGCAATGGCTGCTGATGCATATCTGAAGGTTGGGTCAATTGAAACAGCTTTAACAATGTTAAAGAAGCTGGAGAAATGGATGACGTACAGAAGGGAGAAAAAGGCATTTAATTTCCTTTTGACTCTCTATGCAAAAACAGGGAATAAGGACGAGCTTTATCGAATTTGGAATTTGTACAAGCCCTCGAGTAGAAAAGATCTTGAAGGAGCAAAAGAGGGATTTGAAATTTGTAAAAGGCATTTAATTGGACCTGCTCTCAAAATCATGGATACATCATACTGCTGCATGATTGAATCTCTTTCGAAGCTGGATGATATTGAGGGAGCAGAAAAGATCTATGAAGAGTGGGAGTCCCAGTGCACAACGTATGACTTTCGTGTATTGAATAGGCTTCTTGTTGCTTATTGCAAAAAGGGACTTTTTAAGGAGGCTGAAGCAGCCATAGAAAAGGCAGTGCAAGGAAGAACACCTCATGCGAGTACATGGAATATAATGGCAATGGGGTATATGGAACATGATCAAATGCCGAAGGCTGTTGAGATGTTGAAGAGAGCCATGTTGGTTGCAAGAAGAGGCTGGAAGCCACTTCCCATCCTCGTGAATGCCTGTTTGGAGTACTTGGAAAGGCAGGGAGATGCTGAAGATATGAAAGCATTCACCAGGTTGTTGAAGAACTCCGAACTTTTGACTGAAGATATATATTGTAAATTGTTAAGGACTTGTATTGCAGCTAGAAAATCAGTTGCTGATGTTCTTGATCAAATGAAAATGAATGGTTTTGCTGTTGACGAAGAAACGCAAAAGATACTTGTAACTAGGCCAAGCTTATAGCATCCTCCAACTCCCTGGTAAGCCAATTTTAAAGGTGTAACCTATGATCCCAGGGCCTTCAATTGACGATCTGAGAATCTTAGGATCGCAGCTTCATCAATTGACTTCTGTCTGTCTTTGTATAATGGGGTGAGTTTTCAATCTTTCCTTGTATCCTTATTTATTTTTTTATTTTATTTTTCTGATAAATGAAATTTCGTTGATAGAAAAGGAATAACCAAGTAAGAGCTCATCCCTACTACAAAACATACAGTGAGACAAAAAAGAGATTGAAAATTCCAATTACTAGAAACAGTAGAGAAGCTAGGATTAACAACAGTCTTCTGCAAAGTATGTGTCTTTTAAATCCTGCATTGAACGTTCTGCATAATCTACTGGATTAAATCTTCCTCTTGCAACCTTGCATCGCTATTAACTCTCCTTTTTCTTTCATCCCATACTCCATAAATTGTAGAGCACCAGGTGAGCCTTAACAATACTGATAATAAGAAGCTCTTTTTTTGTAAATTCTGTTTGGCCCATTGGAACTCCACAGACCAAGAGCAAGCAATTCTGGTAATGAACATTTCAGGGAAACATTGAACTCCAAATTTTCTGAACGTAAGGGCATGCAAAGTAGAGATGATCTCTGTCTTCTGCAGCACCATTGCAAAGAACACAATTTGTATTGATATCTCTTCCCGTTCTCATCTGTCTTACTTTGGTGGATAACCTGTTTAGAATTGCAAGCCAGGTACTGAAACTGTGTCTTCGATGACCCACTTTATCCTCCACCAAGGTTGTCTTTTTTAATATAATATTAAATCATGTTCATTACTGATTCAATTAATTTGAACGGAAAAAAAAAAGTTAATATAATGATAGACTAGAAATTTAGTTTTTTTATAAAAATAAATTTGTTAATTTTAAAAAACTCTAAAAAGGAAGAACACACTAAAGCTATATAGAATTCTCAAATATGAAATTTAATAATTAACAATAATTGGCGGCCAAAGGCCTTAAAGTAGTTTAAAAAGTTTGCTCTAAAAACACAAGGCTAAATAGAAAAGCAGTAAATCATTCTTAAAGCCATAAATAATCAAAATCTTTTTTTTTAAAAAAAAAAAAGGATAAATAGGAAAGCTATAATGTTTAAACATCAACAATTTCGGCCAGCTTTGATAGTCTCGATATAAAAAGGCCTAAAAATGGATTTTTAGAGTGAATTTTAACTTGAAAAATAACCTCAAAAGGCCTTGTGGGCCTCTAAATAAGCTTTTTGAATTAGTATGATTTGCGTTAATTAGATATCTATATAAAAAATTATGGCCATTTAAAAGACAAATGCTCATTTATCCTTTCAAGTTGTCTTTTTAAATTTGCGTCTATCAATATGATTCATGAAATTATCGGTTAGTAATCTTACATCACCGGTAGAGCTTGTAATTGAATTTGTGGTGTACTCATATGCAATACACATTCTTTCCTCAACATTCTAGCTACCATAGAGTTTTTTTTTTTTTTTTTAACCTTTGTAAGGGAAGAAGAAGAAGAAAATTCTTTTTTACTCCATGAGTACTTACCACTCCATATTTCATCTATTTAAATCGATTCACACTAAGAAATTGATAATCTCTTGTTAAATTTGACAATCACATCAAAATTGGCATCATTTCAATGGTTTACTAAATAGAAACAATATATTATATCTTAAAATGGAAATAAAAATCATAAGTGATTGTCAAGTATGATTCGATTTAAGCGAATAAAAAAATGGTGGATCCATTTGAAGTTCTTGAGATATTTCTTATGGAAAATGTGTGTTGAACAGAAAATAAATGGACTAGGCATGCATTGAGCTTGGTTCTGAAAATCCATCATCCTAGTCAACGAGAAATTCTACTAGACTCAGCTAGGACAGATACAACCTAAACGACATTCTTACCATGATTTTCCTTGAACTGGATTCGCTAAAAAATTTCTGTCATTCTGAGCAGAATTGTTACAACTAGAATGACACAGCCAATATTATATGCTGGAAATTCAAAGAGGATGATTTTAGTATGTGTGAAAGGTGTTAGTGGAGTTATCGAGCTAAGTTGAAGTTTGAGGAAGATTGATGATGGCATGTTTATAATTTAATTCTGATAGTTTCAATCATATTTAATTCAGTCTTCATTGATCTATTGATGACATGTTGGATTTTTTTGTATTTTCGTCCATTTTTCATGTGAAAAATAAAGCTGACATATCATGACAGATGATATGTTTTGATTGAAAAATTAATAAATAAATAAATAAACAATCCAAAGGGAAACATTAAAATATGAGGGTAGATATTAAGCATTAACATTTAATTGGATGGAAATTAGATCGATGGTAGCGTAAAAATTAGAAAGTTTAGTGAATTTGTTTGAATAGAGGGACTAAATAAAATAAAAAATGAGTAGTGGGACCATATTAATATAATGTAAATATTACAAGGCTCAAATGTAGTATTAATCAAAATTATGATGGTATAAATGAGAGGGAAATGGCGCTCCTATCCTTAAACCCTGACTTAAAGCCCTGCTCTATTTCCATTCGTTCCTCAGTCCTTAACAAAAATCAAATCTTTCAAAAACACAATCACACAAAGAAATAGCAATGAATCTTCTTTTTGGAAGAAAATTATTTACTTTACTTCCTCAAAACCGTCAATTCCCCTTCTCCTCAACAAGGGTTTTTGCTTGTTTCCTCTTCTCCACTAAAACCCCAACCAAACCTCTATCTTCTTCAGGCTCTTCTGAATTATACAGAAGATTTGAAGTCATAAGAGACCCAAGAGTCTCAATCGTACCAGTGCTTGATCAATGGGTCAAAGAGGGCAACACTGTTGACAAACACCAGCTTGTGAATCTGACTCGGCTCATGAAAGATTTTAAACGGTTTAAACATGCTTTAGAGGTCTTTATTTCTCCGCCTCATTAATTATTTACTTATTTTTTGTTGATTACTGATTGTTTATGAGTTCCTTTTAAGTAAAATATAAAGACTGTTGTGAGAATTTGTTGAATCATTCGCGGTGGAACTGAATTTTTGGTGAAGTTCCAGTTTTTGGACGTCATGTCATTCATTGGATTTGTGTCAGTCTCAATATGATTGTAAAGAGTTTGCCGTATAGAGTGCCTAATTTTAAGAAATGAGTTAGTTAAGATCTGACGTCTAATTAGCAAGTCAGCACGAGGCCAGTCATATGTGGTCATAGTGAAGCTTGGAGCATAACATGTTATGTTAGATGCAGCTTCATGTTGGAATTTGATGAGTTTTAATGTACATGCTTCCTGTAAAATTGGAACTCAATAGAGAGCATGATTAGTGTGAAAGTTTCTTTTTTCTTTTCTTAATGTTCTTCAGGTATCGGAATGGATGACGGGTCGGCGGTTTTTTACATTAACAGCGGAAGATGCGGCATTTAGGTTGGGATTAATCCAGAGAGTTCATGGACTAGAGGAGGCAGAGAACTACTTCAATAAACTTTCGATTAAGTTAAAAAATAGGTACACATATGGTGCTATTCTTAATGGTTGTGCACGAGAGAAATCTGTGCAGAAAGCAGAAGCAATTCTGCAGGAAATGAGAGAAAGGGGCATGATGATATCATCTTTTCCTTACAACATAGTGATCAACCTTTATTCTCAAACTGGAGACTTTGGCAAAATCCCCCCATTGGTGAAAGAAATGGAAAGGAATGGAATTCCTCTAGATAAATATACAATGAGAAATCTTATTGCTGCATCTATTGCTTCATCTGACATTTCTACAGTGGAAGGAATCTTGAAATTGATGGAGGAGAATCCAGAGCTTGGTCTTGATTGGAAAGCATATGCAATGGCTGCTGATGCATATCTGAGGATTGGGTCAATTGAAACAGCTTTAACAATGTTAAAGAAGGTGGAGAAATGGATGACCTGCAGAAGGGAGAAACGGGGATTTAATTTCCTTTTGACTCTCTATGCAAAAACGGGGAATAAGGACGAGCTTTATCGAATTTGGAATTTGTACAAGCCCTCGAGCAAATCCATGGATACGTCATATTTGTGCATGATTGAATCTCTTTCGAAACTGGATGATATTGAGGGAGCAGAAAAAATCTTTAAAGAGTGGGAGTCTCAATGCTCCATGTATGACTTTCGTGTATTGAATAGGCTTCTTGATGCTTATTGCAAGAAGGGACTTTTGAGGAGGCTGAAGCAGCCATAGAAAAGGCAGCCCAAGGAAGAACACCTTATGCGAGCACATGGAATGTAATGGCAATGGGGTATATGGAACATGATCAATTGCCAAAGGCTGTTGAGATGTTGAAGAGGGCCCTGTTAGCGGCAAGAGGAAGCTGGAAACCACTTCCCATCCTCGTGAATGCCTGTTTGGGGTACTTGGAAGGGCAAGCAGATGCTGGAGATATGAAAGAATTGACCAGTTTGTTGAAAAACTCGGAACTTTGACTGAAGATATATGTTGTAAATTGTTGAGGACTTGTATTACAGCTGGAAAATCAGTCGGTGATGTTCTTGATCAGATGAAAATGAATGGTTTTGCTGTTGACGAAGAAACACAAAAGATACTTGCAACCAGGCCAAGCTTATAGCATTCTTCTAGTCCCTGCACAAGTCAAATTTAAAGGTGTAACCTATGATCCTAGGACCTTCAATAGACGATCTGAAAATCTAATGCATTAGGATCACACCATCATCAATTGACTTCCGGACAAGCAACATGTTTTGCAGTGCTAAGTTAATCTTTTTGTATGGGATTGGAGTTGAGGTACTGTACATGATCTTTTTATTAGGATCACTCCTTTTCATATTTGCGTGAAACTTTTGCTAACTTTAATTAAGGGACATTTTTCCCTTCAAGATAGGTGCAAATTGTTTTTTTTTTTTTCCTGATAAATGAGAATTATCATTAAAAAATAAAAAATAAAACTGTGTAAAACATCATCAAACAACAGCAAGAAACTGGAGATGCAACGGGGGTAAAAAAAAATTCCAGTTTCTGCATGCAACGGTACACTTGAAGGTATTAACAGCTTTTCGCAAGATACTAGACTTGTACAATCAATTGGGTAAATTGCTGTTTTCTCCATTGTTCTGGTAATCTACTGGAATAAACCGAAGCCTTCAACCATTTGTTATTTAGGTTCATAGTTTCTATTTCAAGAGTTCAAAAATCTTTTATATGTGACTCAAGCTTTTTTTTTTTTTTGGTCCAAATGAAATGCTTGTTGTTTTGACTTTACAGAAAAATCAAAAGACTAGAAGATCTCTAGATTTTTAATTAAATTATGAAGTCCTAAAATAATACATTAATTTTCTTAGAAAGAAAAAATTCAAGATTTATGCAAAAAAAAAAAAAAAAAAAAAAAAAAAAACCTTAATGATCAAGAAATAATTATCAACAAAAATGATAAAAATAAATTTTTATTTGTTGATCGTACATAAATATTAACCGACCAAAAATTATTAAAGAAGAGGACAAACAATATATTTTCCCTCCATCTATTAATTAGGTTTTGATTTGCTCCCTCTCTTTCTAATTGCATCAATGTTACCCTTCACTTATATTAATTGTTGCAATTTGTACATTCCATCAATTCTCCAATAAATTAACATGCTAATTAGCACATGAAACTCAAATATTTAACTATCATTTGTTGTTAATTCCAAATTTCTTCTTCTGTTTTTTATTTTTTATTTTGGTTCTATAATAAAAGCATTTTTCGGATAGCTTGTATATCAATCGAAACTATTCATTTTTTTTTACTATCAATAAAAATATCTTAACTAAAAATATGATAAAATACTACCAGAGGAAGAGAAGTTGGAAACATTAGTTTCACGATGACAATGCTAATTTAACCAAGAGATGGCCAAATGGGCAAAATTGCAGCAATTGAGATAGATGTGAAAGGAATAATGGTGAAACTCAAAAGAAAAGGACCAAATCAAAACCTACTGAATAGGTTGAGGGTATCATTATAGTTTGCCCTTAATGAATAATAAAAAAAAACCTTCCTTAAACACTTAGTTAATTATAAATTAGTCTTTTTAGTATTTCAAAACTAATTAAAAGCTCTTTTTAATTTTAAAAATTAATTAATTAGTTTTTTATATTTTTAAATTTATTTATAGTTTAATTTTTCGTTCTTTTTCAATATATTTTGATTTTTTAAATAAATAAAAAATATGAAAAAAAAACTAATGAGAAAATAAAATATTTTTTAAATAAAATAATATTAAATTAGTTAAGTTCAATATTGATCAATAAACTAATTAATTAATTTTTAAATTAAAAAAGACTAATTAATTATTTTGTAAAAATCAAGGGATTAATTCGTAATTTACTTCTTAAACCCACAAACTCTCTGCATCTGAAAAAAAAAACAATCTCCCACACTTCTAGCCTCTCTCTTGAAGACAACATGAATCATCTTTTTCTAAGTTCGAACCCAAAACTTTGCCATAAAGGCCTTGGCTTTTCCACTGTTTTGAGGTCCCTCTTCTTTTCCACAAATACCCTAACAAAAGCCTCCACATCTTCTTTTTCGGTTCGAAATGAGACTCTTTATGATAGGATCAGAAAATCAGAAGACAGAAACATCTCTATTATGCCAGTTATTGAGGAATGGCTTCAAGACGGCCGAACAATTTCTCCTGTTGTCCTTCGAAAATCCATGGAATGGCTGCATAAACGCAAACGCTTTAGCCACTCTCTTGAGGCCCTTCTCTTTAATCTCTGTATGATACATACAACCGTCAAGATTCAGTTTTTTTTTTTAATGGGGCTCTGCTAAGTTTTCGTTTTTGTTTTATATTTTCGTTTGCGTGAATAATGTATTGTTTTTTTTTGTAAGGATTCTTCACGTGATTCGAAGTGTAGGACAGTGATTGATCTACTTCTTTATTATAAACTTGGCTGGCTTGTTGGTATTAATCGAAGTGTAGTTATATTGTTCACTTGCTTATTATTTTTTCTTCTTCTCTTTGTTTTTTTTTTTTTTTCCTTTTTTTAAGTAAATAATGAGGGACATAAGCTATGGGGTTCAGGGCTGACTTGTGAACTGTCATGTGGAGCTTGTGGGGAGAAGGAGTTGTGGGTTGTGTTGGTGAGTTTGGAGTGAGGGAGAGGAAGGTGGGAGACGGAGGTTTTTTGTTGCAATCGAATATGGGGAAGAGGATGAAGGCTTATGAGGTTGTAAGAGGGGGCACTAGAGAGGGGGAGCTTCGGTTGAGTGAGAGCTTGCAGGAGAGATAGTGGTTTCGGGTAAGAGAGTTGCAGTAGAGAGAGAGGCGGCTGGCTTGTTAAGGATGGTGAATGAATAGTGAAATATACCAAAATTTACCAAGGCTTTTATACGTTTTTTTTTTTTTTTTTTTGTGGTAAAAATCCGATTTGGCCCTTGATTCTTTACAATAATACACCAATTTAAGTTTAATTTTGGTTTTTGTTTCGATAGCCCCTTAAATTTTAATTAATTGAGACTTTTCTTTTTAATTTCTTCCAAGCCTCTCTTTAATTTAAATAAAGAACTGAAATTTTGAATTTTTTTAATTGGGTCCCCAATTGTCTTCTTTTTATTTTCAAACTTTCTATTATATATATATTTTTTAAAATTAGCCCTCTTCGTAGAATTAATTTAAGTTAATTGTTTCAATTGATTTGATTTTTTTTATATACACTTGGCATTTTGTTTTATTTTATTTTTTTATATTTTTGTAATAAAAAAAAATAAAATAGGAGCAAAAATTGGATGTTAACAGCATGTAGTGCACCATTTTGGAGTCAGGGGAAAAATTCAAGGGTTTCACAATATCCAATACAGAGAAAGCCTCGGTCTATTACAAAGCTACCTAGCTTTGCCCGTCAACACCAATTACTGCAGATCAAATTTGATTCTGAACAGCATTCTGAAGAATTCCAGTTTTGCAACGTCTATAACTAACAACTTGAATGATCCACTCGAACCTATTCAATAAAAAACTTGCAGAGCTTTTTTCACTACGGGAATCAAATTTGTGCGTGGGGTAAAAAGGGGCAACCGAAGCTAAAATTAGATTGGGCTTCTTTACGGTTTTATCCTTGATACATCTTACCAATGTCAGTGTTGGTTGGGCTGAAGTAAGCTCAAAGGCCGGCTGCCTCAGCCATATCTACTGGACCACGACTCTACATGGCTCAAACCAAGCTGTTTCCCTCAGCAATAACCAAACACAAACTGCGACAGCCGAGTGATTTTTGTGAAACCAGGCCAGTGGCCAATACTATTCATGTAGCGGAAACTTTAAGTGAAAAAAAATAAATATAGTTGATTTGAACGCTCCGAATAGGAATTTTAGATACTGATTTACTCTAACTTATTAAATTGTATGAGAATATCAGAAAATAGAATTTAAATTTGTTGATTCAAGAATGTTAGAAATTAGGATAAAATTAAGATATTCTCTCATAAAATTTTATTAATCCAAAAATATTATGTTTTTTTGCCTTAAAGTGATACATAAATAGAAAATTCAGCCAAAACCCTAAATCAACTCAAAAGATAAATAAATACAAAAAATTCAAAAATTAAGAAAAAATCCTAAAAAAGTCTATTTTGAGGACTAAAATAGTCGGTTTTGACAAAAATTACGTCTACATCATGAATTTGACTCATTGGATCGTTTGACATCGACTAGGTTGAAAAAGTCTCAAAATTAGACTAATAAATTTTTTTTTTTTTAACTTCTATCATGCTCATACCGCTTCATAAATTCTATGATATATTGGTCCGCTTCAACTATGTTGAGAAAAAATAATAGCAAAGTTATCCCTTATTTGTTAGCTATAACTTTCAACGAGCCACCCTCCAGTTTTGTTCCAGAATTTCCCAGATATCCCATTCCCTGAGGCCCAATTCGAAAGAGTAATAAACCTGGAGACAGGAGTAAAATTTGGCAGTCCCGTAAAGCCCCGTATATGTTATCAATAGAACCAACACAGCAGCATTTTGGCAACCCTAAAAATATAGCAGAAAATTCTACAAGCATTTTGATCTGCTAATATAATGCTAACACAAAAGGATTTCCTGATAGGAACCTAGCTCCTCTAAGAGGCTGAACCCAATATCAACATGCTACGCATAAAAGCATTGCATCAAACTCAAAAAAAGATCAAATTGTATAAGAGATTGAATTGCATTTCATATTTCATCTAGATCAACTACTAGAAATCTACAAAAGGACCATACTGTGACAAAGTTGAAGACCAGCTGATCAAAGTCCCAAGAACAATTTGTTCTTTACTGTTGCTAAAACAGAACAAAGAAAGTCAGAGAAAGGCACAGTTTTTACCAACATTCCATCTTCTACAAAATCAGTCAATATCATTGAAAAAGTTCCAATCAGTAGCGGCAGCATTAAATGCACCTGAAATCACAGCATTGATATTTTCCGATTCCATCTCCGACTTCAAGTCTAATTTCCTTCTCAAGTTCCAACTCTTCCATCAGATTCTCAATCCTTTGCACCATTTGTTCCTCTCCATCAGCCTCAACTCCTGACTGAACACTCAAACTTACTACTCGCCTCCTCTCTCCTCATCCAAACTCCTCTTTAGAGCCACTAAACCTTCAATAATTCCTTCTATTCCGCTCATGTTTGCACCAGTATAATCTCCCACTAAAACCTCCGAATCACCTGCAAAACGAACCATCTTCACAACTTCATCATCTTCTGACTCAGTATGGAATACCGGGTCAAGCACGAATCCATTCATATTAAATTTCCAGCCACTGATCCTTCTACCGTTCACACTTGGACCCACTGAGTCAGTACCCTCTTCGTTTTCAATATCATCAGTACCAGCAGGAATCTGGCTTGATATTGTCCCATCATGTAAACCCTTGGTTTCTTTGAATCTGTCTTCAACATTAGGAAACCCATAGAAAACGTTCTTGAACAAAAAGTCTAATCCTTCACAGTTTTTTAAGAAAGAATACTCTAAAAGCTTATCAGCAAAAGGTCTTTTTGAAGGGTCTTGATCAAGACAAGAAGCAACCATATCTTTAAACTCTTTAGAGAAGTTCTTATTCTTGAAATCTTTCTTATGCTTCTCATCACCATAATCAGAGAACCCAAATCTCTTCTTTATCTTCATGATCAAAGACTTCGAAGAAGGAAGGTAAGACAAAGGAGGTCGACCATGGGCTAATTCCAATGCAGTAATACCAAAAGACCAAATATCAGCCTTGAAACTATAACCTCTATCTGAGTCATGTATAACCTCCGGTGCCATCCAATATGGGGTCCCTTCGACATCAATTAACCTCTTTCTTGGTAAGGAAGGCAATGAAGATGATCCCTGGATGCTACATGGGTCGTAAATCGAGACCGATGTGCCATAATATGCAAGTTTTATGCTGCCATTATCTGTGTATATAAGAACGTTGCCTGCCTTGATATCTGTGTGTAAATGGCCTTGATCATGAAGATAACACAATCCCTTCAGGGTTTCTTTGAGAATTATAGAAATGCATGGCTCTGGTAGGCCGTCAGAGAAGTAAGAAGAGATTATGGATTGGAGAGAACCAGTAGCCATGATGCAAGGCATAACCACCCAAAGATAGTGATCAACAACGAAAGAACAATATGTTGGAAGAACGAGGTTAGGGTGTGAATGAAGTGACACGGTCATGTTTTCACGTCCGAAACTATGAAAATCGGCTGGAGATTGTTCAAGATTAATGATTTTGATTGCAACCAAACTTGACTTCCATGGGTTGTGGACACATATTGCTTTGTGAACTGTGGCACCAGCACCAGCACCAGCACCAGCACCAGCACCAATCTCTTCCAAGATTTTGTATGCATTTGGGTCTGTTGGGTATTGAAGTTGAAACCTTTCGGGTTCTTGGTATAGTTCACCAGCCATGGATGAAGTTGGCGTTGCTTTGGTCTTGATCTCGAATAGGTTAAATATGAGAGAATTTTGTTGGTTTCTTGAACTGGGTATGGAGTTTTAGCTAGGGAGGTTTTCTTGATAACGAGGAGAGTTTCTTACTTTCTTTTGGAAAAAGAAAGAAAGTACCTTGCAGGGTGATTTTATTTTCATGTGAAGTTCCAGGTTTGAAAGGAAGGGACAAAGTTTATTTATTTATTTATTTATTTATTTAGGTTCACCGGAATAAATGGTAAAAAAGAGAAATTTTATGGTATTCAAAAAATAAATATCAATACTTACTCTTAATATAGATATTAAAAAAATAAGAGAAGAAAATTGAGTTTAGGTAAAATTATTTTTATCTTTTTTGGTGGATTTAGATGTAATTTTTTTATCTTTTTTTTTTCGGTTTTTTTTTTTTTCCTTCATATAACCTCATGAAGTAAACATTGGTAATTATTGATAATTAATCATTAAGTATTTTAAAATTTCTCATCAAGAAAGAGGAAAACATGATTCATTAATTAAGCTGGCAAAAGTCTTTATAGAACAAAGAAGAAGTGCAGGATTAGGAGAGCAGATCAGATGTAAAAAGACTCCAAGCTCTTAAATGACTTAAATGACGTTTGATTACTAGGAATAAAATTACAAGAATTAAAGTGTTATTTTTATTCTAATATTGCGTTTGGAGTTATCATAAGAAATCAAAATAAAATTTAAGATTTTTAATTTTTAATTTTTAAAATAAATAAAAATAATGTTATCAATGACGATGTTAATAAAAATAATATCAATGATTGACGTAGTAAAATAAGTGATTGTGATTGTAATAATAATAATATATTTTTAAAAAATATTATCATCATTGATCATTATAGGAGGGGATGGTAAAAGAAAAATAATGATGACAATAATATAAAAAAAGTAATGATAGTGATAAAAAAAAAAGCCTTAACAAAATAATAATAATTGACACTTGTTTGTGAAAAATCAAATAAATCTCACGCACACCAAAAATAATAAGAATATGTCAAGCTCAAATCCTTTTTTTTATTTTATTCTCCATCTATTTGTCTTTCTGTTTTGTATTTGTTTTTCCTTTATAAAGTAAAATAAGTATTACTAATTACTTTTTCACAAATATAAAATTCCTCTCTAGCATTACTTTAGCTACATTCTTGAAACTCATGGAGTTCGGACAAGCTTGAAAACCTATGTCAAGGTTTTCTTTCTTTTATTTTTTCAGCGACAGAAAAAGAAAACATGGGCTGAATCACCAATGTCTTTTGTCCATTTGGGCCTAGGTGATGAACTCTGTAACAAAATTAACCCAAACTATAGAACATCCTTAAACCCTCCTTAAAGGCTTAAGCCTCGAAAACGAATACATCTCTCAAATTTTCGATTTTTCTTTTGTGGACGAAAAAAAAAAAAAAAAACCAACATGAATCAACTTCTTCTAAGATCAAACCCAAAACTTTGCCATCAAGGCCACTTTTCTTTTGTTTTAAGGTCTCGCTTCTTTTCCACAGATACCATCACAACCCCAAATGACCCTCTGTTTCATAGGATCACAATGGTAGCAGACCCCAAGGTCTCTGTTATTACAGTTATACAGAAGTGGCTTCAAGAAGGTCAAAGAGTTATGCGACCGGACCTCAATCAATCCATCAAGCAGCTGTGTAAATACAACAGCTTCAGCCACGCTCTTGAGGTCCCTCTCTTTCTTTAGTCTCTACTCTCTTTATATTTACAGGCTCGTCAAGCTTCAAACTTTTTCTAGTTTGGGTTATGAGAACATGGCTTAAAATCTTAGGTTAATTATACCATGATAAGAATTTTGGATTCATTGAAGAGGGATACCCATTTGGAGAAATTCATTATTTTGCGTTATGCATGTTTCGGAAAGGAAAAACAGGGAAAATGCATTTGGTTTTTGGTAGTTGAAGATGGCAGTGACTTTTGGTTGCTGTTTTCAAAAAAAGAAAAAAATAATAATTTTTTGTTTACTTTTTTCTCATAATCCTGATATATTTGAGCTCATTCTGGCTATTCTTAATGATTGGTTGAATATTATGTACTTTGTTAATCTTGATCATGATTCACGATTGCCCAGTGTTTTTCTTGTGGTTTACTTAAACTTGGTCCTTTCTTGTGTGCTTAGCTTCATGATGAAGTACAGAGGATTTTGTCTTTAGCGGATATGTATATTTAAAGGCTTGATAGTTATCTCGAAATAGAATATGAAAATGAAAAGGCACAAACAGCTTAAACTAGTTACCAACCTACATGGCCCGATGCATCAGTACCGCTAGCATTCCCCTTATGAAAGTGGACAGACATAGATGTGAGAAGAAGAAAATTCCGCTTGTTTTAAATACTAGTTTATTGTTTGTTAGAATTGTAGATGTGAATTATCATCTTGATTAAATGAACCCGATCACTGAAATGTGACTATGTAACTGGAACCTTTGTATCCCATTGTGTTAGATATCAGAATGGATGAGGCAAAGAGGCTATGGCCAAACAGTAGGAGACACGGTGGTTCAACTGGACTTAATATCTAAAGTCCATGGCTTAGACGAAGCAGAGAAATATTGTTACAGCCTTCCTGACCATCATAGAACACACCTTTATGGTACTCTTTTAAACTGCTATGTGGACCGTACACATTTGGAGAAAGCAGAGGCCATAATGCAGACAATGAAGGAACTGGGTTTAGCAAAACCAGTGTCTTACAATTTGATGCTAAGCCTCTATTCCAAGATGGGGCAATATGAGGATGTAGATATTCTGATGCAGGAGATGGAAGACCAGGGCATTTGGTGCAACAAATATGCATTCAAGATCCTGGTGAAGGCTTATGCAGTTTCTTCCAATATTGAGAAAATGGAGAAACTTCTGATGAAGATGGAAAGAGATCCTCGGATCAACTGGAAAGTTTGTGTTGCTGCGGCAAAGGGTTACTTGAAAGCTGGCTTTACTGAAAAGGCTTTGACAATGTTGAAGCGATCAGAACAATTAATCAAGGGTAATGAGGGAAGTTATGCTTATAAGAATCTCCTCTCATTGTATGCAGATACCGGTAATAAGGATGAACTATATCGTTTATGGAATTTTTATAAGAATAAAGCAGGTTTTGATAATTCAGGATATTCACATATGATAAGCTTATTGATGAAGTCAGATGAGTATGATAGTGCTGAGGAGGTTTGGGAGGAGTGGTTATCAGTGAAGACATTGTTTGAAGTTCATATTCCAAATGCAGTGATTACTGGTTATTCAAAGAAGGGTCTTTGGGAAAAGGCTGAGGCATTTGTAAAAAAGATAGTAGATAGTGGGATGGAGCTCAATGCAGACTCATTTGATCATTTAGCAAGTGGATACCGTGTTGGTGGTCAGATGGTGAAAGCAGCAGAAGCAATAAAGAAAGCAATTTCAATAAGTAAACCAGGATGGAAGCCGAATACTAAGGCTTTAGCTGCATGTCTTAAGGGTCTGAAAGGCCAGGGGGATGTGGAAGCAGCAGAAGAGCTTTTTAAGTTTGTTATGGAACATTGTCATTTCGAACCGGCTATTTATGATGAATTAAAGACTAGTAAGAATATTGAAACCTGAGCACCATACATTTTGATCAAATGGAAGGTTATGATCAGATTCTGAATGGAGAAACACCAGAAATTGTGGATATTGGTGAAGAGGTCAGTGCTGAAGAATGATGCATTAATTGCCAAAGATTGGAGAAATTTTTAATTGCAATAGTTATCTGGTATCTGACCATATATGTATACGCATTTTTAATTGATAGCTCTTACATATCTGTCTCTCTTTTTCTCTCCTTTCTACTAATCTTCCTTCCTGGTTTTATCTCATTTATGCTATCTGCAATACTCTTTTGGTTTTTTCCCCTTGCTACCCATGTTGGTATTATTATATGGTCTAACTATAACTAGGTTGGTTTCCTGATTGTGGGCTATAGATTTGGTGTTATTTCTGAGAGCATATAGTTAATGCTTAAGTAGAAATTTTATAGTGATGCATATGCACTCTTTTTATCTCACCTCTTCAATTTGGAATTTCAAAACAAAAATTTTAGGAGTTGGAAGCAAAGAAAAAATGGTTTAAGTAGTGTGGTTATTGTATTATGAGCAATGAGAAGCAAAATGCACATTATTATTATTATTATTATTATTTTGATGAAAATTTTCATAGATCAAAAGAGACAACAAAGGGCAAAGCCCAGTACAATATTACAAACAGAAAAGCCAGCACCTGAAACCGAAGGGAGAATCACTCCCTGGTACAAGAAAGCAAACAGATTTTTTATGATGAAGAAAACTACCAATTACTACAAACAGCAAAAAACTCAGGATTACTCAAAGCCACATCTAACAATCTAGACTTGAAAGTCTCCCCTTAACAACTGCCACCACCCATTTGCAGACCTCATCCGCAGAAAGCTAATCATTATTATGGACCCTGCAATTTCGCTCTCTCTGGACTCCATATGTCAAACGAATCAAAACTGACAAGAATTTTTTTTTTCTATTTATTCAATGAATTTTGATTGTACATGAAGTCTAGATTTGATGTTCAGGCAGTCTAAAATCTATTAACTCCATTTTACTTATCCTTTTTGCAGTCTTTTATTAATGCTGGTAAGTATCTGATATCATGACTTGCAGTATACTCATGATATTGGTAGAGAAATTCTGTTTCCATTTTGGTTTTCATTAATCTATGACTTTGAAACCTCATATTTGGGCCTCAATTTTGACAATTCTTTTCCCCAAAGGATGCGTCAATGTATCATTAATGTAAATCTTTTGACTTTCAACCATCGTTGGTTGCTGCTTTGCCTGGAATTGTCTGTTACTTCTAACTAAGCTGCTACGCACAGCTTGATTTTCCTTCTGTTTGCTGGCATTTTGTAGAAGCCATCCTTGCTGTTATGCCATGCCTACTTTGTTTTGTTGACATGCTCTTCTGCTGCTATAGTTTCCTGTCTTGACTTGAGTCTTGTTTTATTTCTTCAAGACCATCCTGCCCTGCATTACCTTATGATTTCTTCACATGGTCTTGATTTGCTGCTGTGATTTCTGATTTTGAGTGCTTCTATTCAGTTTTAATTTCTCTCTGGTTGCTGGTTTATGTCTTGCTACGACTGTTGCCATATGTTCTATGTTTGGACTCGGTTTTGTCTTTTGCTGCTGCATTCTCCTCCTCCAAGTGCTGCTTCTGGGTTATTCGCTTTCTCCTTGCCCTTCTTTTGGTGGCTGTATTGGGTTTTATAGCCCATGTGAGAGTGAAGCTGGTTTGCTTTAATAGCAATTTGTACTCCTTGATCTTTGTAACATGAAAATCTTTATTGAGAACATTCATTTCTGAATTTTGATTTGTCAAAAACAAAACAAAGTGAAAAATCAGTTATAAAACAACTAGCTCTTTTAACTTCTGTGGCTTGACATGTTCTTGTACATATCCTGGCAAGAGAATGTGATAGATGTTGAAGTTCATCAAGATTACTATGATAAACATCTGAAAAAAGTTTAAAATTATAATGCATCTAAATTTTTGGTCTACCCTCTTGGTTGGCTTTGATCAGGAAACAAGTTTTTGACACTCACTGACTTCATCTTTCAGTATGTGTTTGGAGACTACCAACTGTTGATCTATCAAATCTTTTATCTAGCTATTTGCTCAGTTCTGCTTCGAACTGTATTGAGGAAAACTTGTGGCGGAGATCTAAGCAAGACATGGATTATAGCAAGTGGTGAAGGTGCTGGTGTGCTGCTGCCTTCATTCCGGCTTAGTCTCGCCAACTCTTGAGAGAGAAGAAGACATGTTGTCAACTCCACGATACAATGGCACAGGTCTTTATTTCCATGTGTATAATTGAGGTGTTCACGAGTTCAGTATGATGGAGTAAGACTCATGCAACAGAAGTTCCAGTACAACAACCGAGTTTCAGAGGTTCAGAGGCAGCAATATATGTTTATATCCTAGGGTGTATGGTCCTAATGTTTCTCTCATTCTTTTAGGTGAAGGTAGTGCTGTCTTTTTATTTCTGGTGATTCTGGTTTTCAACACATATGAACACAGAGTTCTTGTTCTAGATTCTGTTTCTGTCATGCAGGGCAGAAACTACTATGAGTATCATTATTTTGATCAGTTTCTAGAGCTTCTTAGCTTGTGCTGTAACAAAACTAGGTAAAAACTGCAACTTTTTTAGGCTCATTGTCCTGTTTCTTGTTTGTAAGCTATTGCAATTTGTTTAATAGCATGCCCAGTCAATTCTCATCTGCTAATGTTAAATGCTGGTTGAGATCTGGTTAACGATCTGTACAATTCCCGTACTACAAACAATTGATTAATCAGATTTTTCTGCCATGTATCGTTAACCTGTTTAAAATCTCTTTTAAAATTTGAAATTGTCTAGCCAAGAAATTTGCATCATTTTCCAATGCTCACTCATTAGAAACAAAAGAAAAGAGAAACAGTCTTGGAAGGGACCTAAACGATTGGAAACTTGTACAAACGTACTGACCCATAAATAAAGATTACTTTATTCTTTAGTCCCTGGATTCTTAATCCAATTGAAGTTTAGTCCTTTTTTAAAAAACCTATAACTTAGTCTCTTCTTCCTTGTTAATTGTTTTATTAAATTAAAACATTTTTTAATCTTTTTTCTAAATCTAAAATGAACCCTTTGATTACTTTAATTCATATAGAAAAAAAAATCAACATAATACTTTTTTAGAGAAAGATCAAAATATTTTAATAAGACAATGGTCAACAGGAGTCGATGAACTAAGTTATAAAGTTTTCAAAATAAAAAGGACTAAGTTTTTATTTAATTAAACTATAGGGACTAGATAATTATTTACTCAAATAAACCCTTTCTAAACCCTACATAATAAAATCTGTTACAAGTCACAACTCAAAAACTACAAAAATTATCTCTTTTTGCTCCATGAAATGAACCTCTTTGTTCGATCAAACCCAACTTCATGCCATCACATTCGTGACGTTTTAAGGGCTCTTTTCTTTTCCACAGACACCACCACCATATCCCACTCTCTGAACCATAGGATCACCATGGTGAAAGATCCAATGGTCCCTATTATTCCAGTTATAGAAAAATGGGTTCAAGAAGGCAATGTTGTTGAAAATAGGGAGCTCAAACACTTCATCAGAAAACTCCGTAAAAACCATCGTTTTAGCCACGCTCTTCAGGTCCCTCTCTCTTTTATCTGCTTACTTTAATGTTTTCGTATGTGCCTATTTAGCTATTGATTGTTAAATTTGCATATGATGCTTTGTATGGATTTAATCAGTCATTTATAGGTATTGGATTCCTGGGTTTCACTGCAAACTGGGAATTGTTTTACTTTTTGTTCAAAAGCTTAGTACTTTAATTTAGTACTCTTGTAGCTTTAGTTGAAGGTTTCATTGAAGTTACGGTAGTATTTTGGACAATGTGTGAAGAATGAAGAAAGTGATTGCTCCACCACTTAATCAAGTAGCTTAATTTGTCTTTGATTGATAAATATAGTTTGACATCTTCATTTTTTATATTTAGTATAACACTGCAAACTTTTGGTCCCCTTGGAATTTGTTCAAGTATTTTGTTTCGTGTAGATATCACTATGGATGAGTGACAAAAGCGGGCATAATTTATCACCTGGAGATGTTGCGGTTCGGCTGGATTTAATCTCGAAAGTTCATGGCTTAGAACAAGCTTTGACATATTTTAATAGCATTCCTGAGAGTTTAAGAGGCTTGGAGGTTTATGGTGCTCTTTTAAACTGCTATGCACATTATAAACGTTTAGAGGAAGCGGAAGCCACAATGCAAAAAATGAGGGGGATGGGGTTTGTAAGAAATGCGCTGTCTTATAATGTAATGCTAAACCTCTACTATCAGATGGGAAAATATGAGAAACTAGAGGTTTTAATGCAGGAGATGGAAAAGGAGGGTATTGGTTGTAGCAGAATCACATACAAGATTTTGTTGAATGCTTATGTAGCCACTTCCAACATTGAGGAAATCGAGAAAATTTTAATGAAGATGGAAGCAGATCCTTTCGTCAGTATTGACTGGTATGCTTATGTTCTTGCAGCAAATGGTTACTTGAAAGCTGGCCTAATTGATAAAACTTTGTCAATGTTGTGGAGATCAGAGCAACTAATCAGTGGTAAGTCAGGAAGGTTTGCTTGCGAAATTTTTCTCTCTTTATATACTGCTGTTGGGTATAAAGAAGAAGTGCATCGTGTGTGGAATTTGTACAAGACTAAAGGGAGGTCCTTGAACTCGAGCTATCTTTGCATGATAAACTCATTACTGAAGTTGGATGATTTTGATGGTGCTGATAGGATTTGGGAAGAGTGGGTTTCCAGTAAGAAATTTTTTGATGTTCAAATTCCAAATGTGATGGTCAGTTCTTATTCCAAAAAGGGCCTTTGGGAAAAGGCTGAGGCAATTGTAGGCAAGGTTGTAGAGAGTGGGATCAAGATTGAAGCCAGCACATTGGATCTTCTAGCGACTGGATATCATGTAGGCGGTCAGATGCTGAAGGCAACGGAAACAATAAGGAAAGCAATATCAATAAGTCAACCAGTTTGGAAGCCGAATATGTATACTTTGTCTGCATGTCTCGAGTATTTGAAAGGTCAGGGAGATGTTGAAAAGACAGAAGAGCTTTTGAAGATACTTGAGGAACATTGTCATCTATCATCAGTTTCTTATGATGGGTCAAACAGCAGTATCATTGACCAAAAAAACCTGTGTGCCAGAGCTCTTGATCATATGGAAGGTGAAGACCAAACTCTTAACAGAGAAACACCTGCTTCCATGGAGTTCAAAGACAAAGATAGCGCTGAATTATGATGCTTTGAGAAGTAAACTGACTGCGAAAGAATGGTATGTCAATGGTGAAAGTGAAGTTTCATATTATGATGCTTTGAGAAGTAAACTGACTGCGAAAGAATGGTATGTCATTGGTGAAAGTGAAGTTTCATCTTGGTTTTTTAATTTTTTAATTTTTTAATTTTTTTTGGTCATTAAGCGTGCAAGTATAGATGTAGGGATAAGATTACCCATCTTCCTTGCACATGTTAACGAAATTAGAGCATATTGAGGCCAGTCCCTCAATGAGATGACCATTTTTATATAAATTTACTCTAACTTCTGTCATTTGGCTTTCTTTTGTAGACTTGTACACAAACCAAGATGCTTAATTCGAAGCTATGCCATCTGAAGATGGACTTGCTGGGATTTTAGTTAAAGCATGAGTGGATTGGTCATGCTGCACACATTGAACTCTCTCCACCATCTTGGTGCAGAAGATAGTACTTATCATTTGAAGTAGTAGTAGATGCTATTCTCTAAATGTAAATTTTTGACACGCTTCCTTTAAAACATGCAAAATATTAATTCAAGCTGTAAAAGAGTATGTATATTTGTAATGATGGATTGAAGTAATGAGAATCGGATCATCTTATTTGCCCTCAACATGAAATGGATTCCCATCAATTTGTCCCGATTTCTGTTGTGATTTCTCAAGATGCTTTAATTTCTGCTTTGTTCACGTGTCATGGGGTGATAAACTGCATGGGGAGCAAAAATGGATGATGATTTATTCCTACCTGTGTTCTAAGAGAAATCATTGAAGAACTGTGTGCACCTTCTAGTTGTAAGCCATTGATTTCCAGCGTCATGTCTGAAAGCATTGCTTCTTTATATAAAGGGTATGATTCAATAACGAAATGGGCCTACAACTACTACAAATCCAAAAGTGGCCTACAATGATCCAATAACGAAAACAAACCAAACCCATAAAACAAAATGTTATTTTAAACCCTCCTAAAAGCCGAAGCCCGAGAGGCTTTTCCAACATGAAATGAGTTTCCTCCAGAAATCAAACCCCAAGCCATGGCAATGGCATTATGTCCATGGCATCTCCAAGGTTTTAAAGGCTTTCTCTTTCTCCAAATCTACATTCCCCTCCTGCTCTTCTTCCTCACGTCCCAAAGACTCTTTACACAGTAGGATCTCAAAGGCAAGAAATGAAAAGGTCTCTGTTATTCCAGTTATAGAGCAATGGCTTCACGAAGGCAAAACATTTAAGCAATCTCAGCTCCATGATTCCATCAAGCACCTTCGCAAAAATCGCCGGTTTTCTCATGCCCTTCAGGCCTTTCATAAAGTTGAATTTTTGGGTTTGATTCAAAATTGTATGAGTTCGAATCTTTGTGTTCTAGTCTTGCATTTTTCTTAAAGGGTATCTTTTTGTTGCTCTTTTTAGTTTGAATTGTTGGATATTTCAATGTTTTGGGCTTATTGCATTGAGGCTTCTTTGATATTTGTAGCAATTACACTTAATCACCCTTGGTATTTGTAAGATTGTACTAAGTGTTCTTTTGGTTGTGTTGGGGGGGTGGTGGGTTGGGTGGGGGTGTGGGGGTTGTGTCTGCTGGGGAAGAAAAGATAAGATAACTTCACTTTCTTGGTTAAGAAATATATAACTATGTACCTCTTACCCAGTGGAATATGATTTTAAAATCTTTCTGAGTTTTTTTTTTTTTTTTTTTTTTAATCTTACATTTCATTTTATGCTAGATATCACAATGGACGAGTGACCAAAAGGGCTATGACCAATCAACTGAAGACTTTGCAGTTCGGCTGGACTTAATTTCAAAAGTTCATGGCATAGAACGAGTAGAGGAATATTATAATAGGATTCCCGACCGTTTTAGGGACATCCAGGTTTATGGTACCATTTTGGACTGCTATGTACGCAAAAAGCACTTGGAAAAGGCAGAGGCCATGATGCAAAAAATGAAGGAGTTAAGATTTGTAAAGGTGCGACATTATAATGTAATGCTAAGCCTCTATAATCTGATGGGGAAACATGAGAAATTAGACACCCTAGTGAAAGAGATGGAAGAAAAGGGAATCCATGGTGACATGTGTGCATTCAACATTAGGTTGAACGCTTATGGAGCCATTTCCAACATTGAGGAAATGGAGAAACTTCTGAACAAGATGGAAACAGATCCTCGCATCAACATTGACTGGAATACTTGTTTTGTTGTGGCAAATGGTTATCTGAAAGCTGGCCTAATCGAGAAAGCTTTACCCTTGTTGAAGAGAGCTGAGCAATTAATCGGTGGAACAAGGGGTAATTCGAAAAGGCTCGCTTATGAGGTTCTCCTCACTTTATATGGTGCTGCTAAGAATAAAATAGGGGTATATCGTGTATGGAATTTTTACAAGGATACAGGAGGGCTTTTCAACTCAGGCTATCAATGTATGATAAGCTCGCTGATGAAGCTGGATGACTTTGCTGATGCTGAGAGGATTTTGGAGGAGTGGTTATTGAGGAAGACATCCTTTGACGTTCAAATTCCAAATGTGATGATTAATGGTTATTCTGAAAGGGGTCTTTGGTGAAAGGCTGAGGCATTTGTGAAAAAGATTGTAGAGGGTGGGATTGAGCTTCCTCCAAGCTCTTGGGATCGTTTGGCAACTGGATATCTTGTTGGTGGTCAGATAGTGAAGGCAGTAGGAACATTAAAGAAAGCAATTTCAGTAAGTAAACTGGGATGGAAGCTGAATTTTTATGCCTTGACTGCATGTCTTGAGGGTTTAAAAGGTCAGGGAAATGTAGAAGAAGCAGAAGAGCTTTTGAATTTAGTCAGGGAACATTGTCATTTCTCTCCGGCTATGTATGATAAATTAAAGACTTCTGCTGAAAACGGAAACTTCAGTGGCGAAGTGTTTCAGTTGGAAGGTGATGACCAGACTCTCAATGGAGAAATACCTGCTTTCTCGGAGGTGAAAAATAATGACAGTGCTGAATTGTGATGTGTGATTTCTGAAAGAAGGTGGAAATATTTTCCATTGCAACAAGTATCTGGTATTAACTTCAGAATTGAGGTTTTTTCTAACTTTTCTAGAGTGACATTCTCTTTATACATAACCCAGTAAGATTTGTGTCAGAGTTGGAGCTGTGACATCAGGTATTCAGGTTTAGTTTGTCAAGAAATATAATAGAAAATCTAAAACATTACTATGCTTTTTGGATAGGCAACCACTTTTTTTTTGCTGACTGGATTCATCTTCCTGTGTGAATGGAGATTTAGGTTTTCACTTGAGATAAGATCCTGTCACCTGTGAATTGTGATGTGAGTCTCTCATGTCATGAATCTAGTTTTTGTTCAGCTCTGCTTCTATATGAAGAATGGTCATTACCTCGTTGCAAGGCCAAAGCAAAACATGTGACTCCTAAAATACATTCAGTTCAAGTGTACAGCCACAGAACTGGATTTTAGCTATGAAATCAATGGAATTTTACTCCTATAGTCACATTAGAGTTGAGGAATTTTCATCAATTGCTGGAGTCTAGAGAGATTAGCATGTACTCTTGAAAATCTAGATAGTGTTTCTCCACTTACATTGTTGCAAAGATTTATGAGAAATTATAATTGTGGATCCCATTTTTTTTTTAGGCTAAGGAATACTATTCAAAAAGCACCTAATAATTCATCATCATTGTCTTTAAAAGCTTAATCTGATGGTAAGTATGTTTATGTTTGTTCCCTATATTAATAGTTAAGTTCAAATTCTTATGAATTGAAAATAAAATTAGTCTTAATGTGCAAAAATTAATCAGGTGAATTTACTTTCTTTTTTTTTACTCGTTAGTTAGGGTTTAATTTTAGGTGACGATAAAAGTTTAAAAACCCTAACTAATGAGTAGTATACATATAAACTTATTTGATTAATTAATTAATTAGTTTTTCATTTGAGTATTTTGCTATTTTTTTTTAAATGAGTATAGGCACTTAAATAAAAGAAAGTAAATGGCTTGATATATCCTAATATAATTGAACAAGTCTCCAATATGTCTATATGTTTTTAATAGTATCTATTATATAATATTTAATATATAGTACTCTAGTATGTCCTTTCATTAGGTTTTTCTATCGAAATTGATAAACTTACTAAAAATAAACTTGATTTACATAAAGATATAATAGAAGAAATGTTCAAAATATTTTAAGAATTAAAAAAAAAAAATCAAAATTATTCAACCATTAAATTTTTTTGGATATAATTTTTTATTTTTATTTTTTGAAAATTATAACTGAAGGGCATTAAAAAAAAATTCAATTTGGCCGGAAATATTAGACAAAATGAGATATTAGAAAACTGAATATTACACTCCAAATGCCATTATCCCATTTTAAAAAGGCCAAAACAGAAAAGGTTTAAATGGGCCTACCCGAACTTATAAAGCCTTTCAACAGCAATAACAAGACCCTTAAGTCCAGTCCATTGACCCACAAACAAACTGACCCAAAAACTAAAACAAAAATGGCCTCTTCTTAAACCCTCTCAGAACCCCAAAACCCATCAGTCGTCTTCTCTCCCATTTCTCTCTAGTGATTATGAATCTTCTCTTGAGATCAAACCCCAAGCCATGGCTGCAGCAGCATCAACAAGGTCATTATCTCCTCTCTAAAGTTTTAGGGGCTCTCTCTTTTTCCACAAATACACAACCAAAAGACTCTCTGAATCTTAGGATTTCAAGGGCTGGAAATCCAAAGGTCTCCGTAATTCCAGTTATAGAGCAATGGCTTGAGGAAGGCAATGACATTAAAAAATCTCATCTTCAAAACTTGATCAAGCAACTTCGCAGATATCGCCGCTTCAGCCATGCCCTACAGGTCTTTCATTATTAACAATCCATTTTCATTTTCTTTAACGTAGGCCATAAAGATTGAAAATTTGGTTCTTAATGAAAATGGTGAAGTTCTGTTTTTTGTGCTTCATCTACTACTTGTCTAGGAGATTTTGTAAAAGGGTGTCTTTTCCTTGCTGTTTTATAGTGAATTGTTGGATATTGTAATGGTTTGGCAAATAATATTGATGGTTCTTGATATTCGTTTTAATTATTAAACAAATTATACTTGTCATCTCTACGATTTTGAGGTAAGCCTTAGCTGAGTAGGTGCCAAGCTTGATAAATGAGCTTCGCTTGAGTAAGATTAAGCTCAACTCGCTTAGGGACATGGGTTGCTTCATTTGAAGCTTTTGGAATATACCTCTATAATAGCTCACTGATATGCTCATACGATAGCTTGTGAACGGTTTGGTATAACTTCATGAATTACTTGGTTTAGGTATATATAAAGATAATAACTTTAAAAAATTTTGAGGCTACACTTATAATGTGGTACCTATAAGTCACTCATCCTGTGCATAAAAACAATGAACTAATTGTAATTCGATGGTCGAATCTAAACACTATTAACAGTTGCGGAAATGTAGACTAAACAGAGAATTTTATTCTATGGATAAGCTTGGACATGCAACGTATTACTGTAATGATTATAACATGTTCTACTATTGTTGTTCAAACTTTTGAAGTTATGAATTGTTATGAGTTTAGTGATATAGGGTTTTTTACTTTCAATTTTATGTTTTTCATGCATGTATAATGCCTTGAGTTCTGAACAATTTTTAGATGCTAAATGGGGCCAAAATCAAGTTTAGCAAGTGTGTTGGTTGATTAAATTGGTTTGTGGTTTGTCTCTGATGAGTGAGATATGATTCTATAATCTTTATTTTTGACCCTTCATTCCATATATTGTTAGATTTCACAATGGATGGGTGACAAAAGGGACTATGAACAATCACCTGGAGACTTTGCGGTTAGGCTGGATTTGATTTCAAAAGTTCATGGCTTAGAACAGGCAGAGGAATATTATAACAGTATCCCTGACCATTTGAGAGGCAGCCAAGTTTATGGTGCCCTTTTGAACTGCTATGCACACAAAAGGCACTTGGAACAAGCAGAGGCCACGATGCAAAAGATGAGAGAGTTGGGGCTTGTACGAACACTTGCTTGCAATGTAATGCTAAGCCTCTATTCTCAGTTGGGAAAATATGAGAAACTAGAGGCCCTAGTGAAAGAGATGGAAGAAAAGGGATTTTATGCTGATGTTTACACATTTAACATCAGACTGCATGCATATGCAGTCACTTCCAACATTGAAGAAATGGAGAAACTTCTAATGAAGATGGAAACAGACTATCTCATCAACGTCGACTGCCATACTTATTTTGCTGCAGCAAATGGTTACTTAAAAGCTGGTCTAATTGAAAAATCTTTAGCAGTTTTGAATAGAGCAGAACAATTAATTGCCTCAATGGGGGGCAACTCAAAAAGACATGCTTATGAAGTGCTCCTCAGTTTGTATAGTGCTGCTGGGAATAAAGATGGAGTATATCATGTTTGGAGATTGTGTAAGAATATGGGGAGGATTTTCAACTCGACCTATATATGTATGATAACTTCATTGATGAAGTTGGATGATATTGATGGGGCTGTGTGGATTTCGGAGGAGTGGATATCAAGTTCAAAACTTAATGACATTCGAGTACCAAATACAATGATTAGAGCTTATTCCAGAAAGGGTCTTTGGGAAAAGGCTGAGGCATATGTGAACAAGATTGTTGAGAGTGGTATAGAGCTGGAAGCAAGCTCATGGGATCATTTGGCAATGGGATATCACTTTGCTGGTCAGATGACAAAGGCAGTAGAAACATTAAAGAAAGCGATTTCAATAAGCAAACCAGGATGGAAGCCAAATCCTTACACTTTGAAAGCATGTCTTGAGTATTTGGAAGGTGAGGGAAACGCAGAAGCTGCTGAAGAGCTTTCGAAGATGGTCAGTGAACATTGTCCTGTCTGACCAGGTAGGACTGACATATTAAAGAACACTTTCGACGGATGAAACCTCATTGCCATAGCCTTTTGTCAGATGGAAGGTGATGATTGAACTCTTAATGGAGAAACACCTTCATTGATGGAGGTCAAAGATGAGGACAGCGCTGACTCATGCTGTTTTGAAAGGGGACCTAACTAAACTGCCTAAGAATTATGTGATTGCTTCTCGTATAATTTGGTTTGCTGAATATCTGGTAGTGAACATACCTTTACCCCTGCAGTTGAGATTGATTAACTAGTCTTTGGTAAAGCATAAAGTTCCCCATTTTTCTTGTCACACGGTACTTAACTGTAGATGCGGGGACAATGTATCTCTTCTAGCTATGTATTAAATGGATTACTCTACATTAAGCGTCATTCTATTCTTTTAATTTTTTTCATGTGATCTCTATACTTTTTTTTATTCATTACTTCTCTCTACTCTTGAATTTTTCTTATTGTGGTGTCTCTGATTGTTTTTCGATTAATTTTCCCATCAAAAGTGATAGCTCACATTAAAAATTTCACATGACATGATATGCCATATTAATTTACATTGTGAAAACCAAAAAAAAATTGAAATAATAAAAAGCTACCTTCCGTCACTTTTCAAAATTTTCAGTCCTTTTAAAATTTTCCAATCTTTCCTCCTTCAACAAATCAGGAAACTAATGCAATAAAACTCTGCAAAATCCCAAAAAAAAAAAAAAAAAAAAGCTATAAAACAGAAGTTCAAAATAACTGAAAATCCAAGATTTTCCCTTCTTCCTCCTCCACTTTATCAGTAACCAAACAGAGATCCATCAGGAAATCTGGAGAACTGTTTTGAAGTCATCGGCAGGCTCATCTAGGCATCTAGCAAATCCTATTTACCAAAAAAGACCATTAGTGCTCCATTTATACAATTAGACTCAACCTTGTGAAGAAAAGTTCGATATTCGAACTGTTAAAACTTCAGTTACATGTCTCGCAAGTGAAAAGCAACTTGGAGGCATTCACAGTGATCAAAAACAACTTGCAACTGTAAACATTTATCTTGGTAATTAGTCGAAGCAATTTATTTTAACAAGCTATTGTATTTTAACAGTTACCTTGGTCATCTCTGTAGCGGTTGAAAGTTGCCATGAGCTGTGCTTTGCTCCCGGTAGGCAGGATCCTAATGACTTCTTCACGATTAAATGCCTTGACTTTTATTGCATCATGAAGAATATCATCAGCTTCTGAATTAGCCAATCTTGCATTTATTTCATCACCTTCATACCTAAATGTTGTCACTATTCCAACCAAGAGCTACGAAATGATCATAACGAACCATCGGGATTTTATTCACTCCATTTCATTTACTAACAGCAACTGACAAATCATGCGAGCTCATTATTGAAGCGATAGGGGTTAGAAAACAAATTTCAAAAAGATGAATAAAATATAAAATTGAGTGAGATGACAACTGATGATGAAATTCTCATTTCATGCATTAATCGCTTCATATTATACATATATTAAAACAGAATATAGTTTCATTGTAACTAAGCTTCTGTTACAATGAAACCAAAATGACGTTGTTTTCTCAAAAAAAAAAAATGATTTTTTTATCAATTTATCAATATTTTTTACTTTGATCCTCTAAGTTATTACTTTTTATAAAAAAGTCTCTAATTTTTATGAATATTATCAAAAGGTCCATATCTTTTTTTTTTCGGACTGGGTTTTTTTCATTAATTATTATTTAATCAAAATAATTTTTTTTCCCATCATCAATGGTTAGTTTTTCTATTTTTATAAATATTTATGAACTAAAATTAAATATTCTTCTAATATAAATTGATTAAACACCTCCTTCTAATTGGATTTTTTTAAAATTAATTAATTGTATATATTTTTTATCTATCAAAATAAAAAATATTCCTAAGAAATATTTCAATTCAATTATATATATATTAACTTAAATAAGTTTTTTTACAATGGTATTAATTAATTTTTATTTTATATTTATATTTTTAAATTATTTAAAATATTAAAATATGGATATGATAAACGCGGTCGCGGCAACGCATGGATATTGAGCTAGTATTTACTAAGGCAGAGGAAACCATCAAACTTTTTGAACTTTCCTATCTCCAGATTGTAAGCAAAAAGTTCTTATGTGGAGCTTCATTGCCAAAATAAACGCCTACAAGTTTATTGCTAAAGGGCTGAGCTCCTGCTGGAAGATCAAGTAGTTTCCACCCTTGCTTTGTATAGAATTCGCAGCATGGCAGGACCACGAAAAAACAAAACACCATCAACACTATCAAATATATATAACTTCCAGGAAACTGATAGTCCAAAACACTCGCTGTGAGATTGCTTTTTCTCTCAAGACGTTGTTGTTTTACAAGTTCGAGCATCATAAATTGGTGAATATTTTCTTCACCATTAAAAACAACAATCTTTTCTTTACGCTAAAAGTTCATCTATATGACTTGATGCAATCTCTAAAATGTATCCCTTAGTCACAAAAATTTTAAAAGCCCAAATTTAGCAACAAGAGTAACCTTACATGCCTATTTATAGGATCTTAACTATATATAGATAGCAACAGATTGATTGATCAAAATCTGAAAATAGGTGGGACTCAATTGTGAAAATCAATAAGAAGAGGATCCATCTGTAAAATTCACAATAGTTTGGGGGTAAATATGTATTTTCCCCTCCCCTAAACAAGAAAACCAGAGGCGGTTCATTGTCGGTTAAGCTGTATTTAAGGACTGGGGTTTGTATATTCTGCAGAAAAAACTAGAAGTGCTTCGCTTGTGCTAGTAAAGAAGAAAGCCTTTGACGATTCTTTCGTTTCAGAAAACAGAAAAACCAGTGATATATTGTTGGTTGATCTTCCTTTAAGCCTAAAAAAAATGGATTTTTGCATGAATCTTGCTGGTGAAATCATTATGAAGGAAATCAATGAAAACCCTAACGAAAACTTCGTGAAGTCTCCACTGTCATTGAACTGTTTGTTTAATATGGTGGCTTCTGGGGCGAAGGGACGTACTTTGGAGCAATTGCTAGAGTTTCTTGAATCCGAAAGCATTGCTGATATCAATGCCAAATCTTCACGGATGATTGGTCTAGCGAGAATGGATGGAGAATCCAACAAGAAAGGAAAACCATTCTTTCCTAATGAAGGTATCCAGTTTGGTAAGTCTCCAAAAACATTGGAATCTGCAAGAGATTCCAGCAATAACCGGCTTTTCAGTGATCAGTTCCCTGGGACTTCGGGAATGATGTCTCCAGCACAAACGAACAGAAAATCAAGTTTCACATTTGATAACATATGTGATAACGTGCCTGGAATGATGCCTTCTGGACCAATGAATGAAGAATATTACAGAAGGAAGGAGGAGACTTCACGGAAGAGGTCTTCTAAATCAAGGAATGAAGAGCCCAGCAGAAAACGAATGAGGTCTTCTAAACGAAGGAAAGAAAAGCCCAGCAGGCAGGAAGGACCAGAGCTGAGTTTTGTTGGTGGGATTTGGACGGATCGTTCGAAGATTTCAAGATTCTCAAATTGCCATATGCTGGCCGTAAAGGTAACAAGCGATTTTCTATGTATCAAAGGCCTTATCCCATCTGGTTTTATAAAAAGAGATACAATACTTTTTCCTGCAAATGCACTCTACTTCCATGGAAAATGGTAAAGTCCTTTTGAAACTTCAATTACTCGGGATGAAGCCTTTTACCTCCTCAATGGAACAACTGTAGAAGTTCCTTTCATGAAAACCTACGAAGAAAGCCATTATTATGCATCGTTCGAAGATTTCAAGATTCTCAAATTGCCATATGCTGGCCGTAAAGGTAACAAGCGATTTTCTATGTATCTCTTGCTCCCTCACAAAAATGATGGACTGCAAGAACTTATGCAAAATTTCAATTCTAAATTGACGCTCTTACAAAAGAATCTGCCACTTCGCGAAGTGGAACTTTCTAAGTTGTGGATTCCAAAGTTTAAGTTCTCATATGGGTTTGAAGCTTCAGAGATCTTGAAAAAATTGGGAGTGACATTGCCTTTCGAGTTTCTTGGGGATTTTACGGAGATTGTCGACTCTCCTCTTAGTGAGCTAGTTTACGTTTCAAATATAATTCACAAATCTTTTATTCATGTAAATGAGGAAGGTAGGGAAGCTGCTGCTGCTTCTTTGCTTGATCCTCCCTGTGGATGTACAAAACCGGTTTATCCCCCACCTCCACTTCCATCTTCTGTCGCAGACCATCCATTCATGTTCATGATCAAGGAAGAGGTATCCGACACTGTTTTTCACTGGAACTGTTCTTGATCCTTTGAAAGAGGATTGAATTTTTGTTCCATCTTTACTTTCTAAGTTAAAGTTTTTGTTTCAATTTCTAGAAATTAACACCTTTCTCGGTGGATGGGAAGGACTACTCCAATTGTGTAGCCTAAACCCTATTGGCCTCGAACTAAGGAAAAATAAAAAAGATGAATGTCATATTTTGATGTTCTTACTTCAACTGTGCTTCGCATGTTTCCGAACTGCACTACCTCACATTAACAGAGTTGCTCAAGACTCTCTTAACAAAACAAAAGCTAGTGTTTCAATTTGTTTTCTTTTTTAAAAACTCCAAAAAAAAATTTTGATTCGTTTTTTATTTTTCTCAAATATTCACATCCCGTGTTAGAGATAGAACTAATTTTATTCGAAGCGAAAACAACAAAATTTAACATTTTCTAATAAATGCGATTCTATGACTCGAAATATAATTTTTTTTATTCTTTAATACTCATGTGATTGATAGAATTATGAAATTAGAATTAATGTAATTAATATATTGAGTATATTAATTTTTCCTGCGCCCTTCTAGTGTTTGGAGGAGCAGGACCATGTTATCCCTCACCTGCACTTTAATCTTTAATTTGTAGCAGATCATCCTTTCATGTTTATGATTAGGAATAGCTATCCAGTTTTTTTTTTTACTGGAACTGTTATCAAATCTTTCAAAATAAGATTTAACCTTTATTTTGTTGGGTGAGGAGAATAATTTTACATGAAATCTTTATTTTGATATTAAGAAACACTTTTTTGTTATTAAGGTAGGCTAATACTTTACATTGGTTTACGAAACGAAAAAACTTAATTATAGATTAAAAAAAAGAAATCAAAATATTCCAATTCCATTGCAGATGATTAAACCATGCAAACGAGGGCACACACATAATTGGTGATGATAGAATAGTAGAATGCTTCATGATTATTAATTTTACCACGTTTGGATGGTAAAAAAGAAATTATTGTAACAAATGCTAAAGGAGATCCCACATACTAATGAAAAATATGGATGATGATAGGCTTTATTGTCCAAGCTCAAGCTGTCGTGTTGTTGGTTGTGGGCTACTCAAGATATGCAAGGCCCAATTCGATATTTATCTAAATCAATATAACGAGAAGGGAAATGTTGAAACTTTATTAATATGTTGTTTTCTCTGTCCTACGAATCACTCTAACAAAAAAATAATAATAATAAAAAAAGAACATAGCTTTTTTGATACATAACTTAAAAAATAATATATTTTTTCCCTGTCCTACGAATCACTCTAACAAATTCTAGATTTACACACAAATTAAAATGATATGCTATGTGGAAATTCATAAAAATAATAGTCATTAGATAAAATAAATCCGTAATAATAATCTTTATCTTATCGAATTTACCAATGCAAAAATAGGTAAATAATTAGATGACGATAAATGAGATTGTGATAAATTAAATTGGGATCATAAGAAACAGAAAAACATTAAAAAAAATTACATTAATTTACAAATATTATGGATATGTGAAAAATAAAAGTCATATTGTCCGAGTGTGATATTTTATACATGACAAGGAAAGTTATGAATAAAATTCCATAGTCAATATAGACGTCAAAAATAAATCACTTTGAAATCAATTATTTTTTTGCTTGCCAATTATATACTTGAAATTGCAATACTGGTACTTTCTAGATACAACCTAACAGTTATTTATTCATTTTATTTTTTCAAATAAATTCGAATCTTAATGATTATATAAAAAAAATGACGATCTCATCTACAGATTTGAAAAACGAAACATGGCAAAATCTTTATTTTTTTTTATCTTGATTACTCAGGAACTGAAACAAAAAACCAGAAAAACAAAAGAGATTTTTCGATGGTAAAAAGGAAGATGAAGAACGTAAAATTAAGAATAATAACATAATTTTTTTAAAAAAATAAAGCTGATGTGTTAAATGATTTATTATTAGTATTAAAAAAATTGATATGTGCAAAAAATCTAATCTATGTGGCAAAAATTACCTTGCTTTAGTAAATAAGATTAAAACAATTTTATTTTTGTAAATAAGTTTTATAAGTACCCCGTTTTTTTTTAAAAAAACTCTACTTGAAATTGCAATACTGGTACTTTCTAGATACAACCTAATGCTTATTTATTCATTTTATTTTTTCAAATAAATTCGAATCTTAGTGATTATATATAAAAAAAAATGATGATCTCATCTACAGATTTGAAAATATTTATTATGAGAAGAAGTGATCTACTCCCAAAGCCTCATGGGCGTTGAGAGAAGGTTGGAAGACCCAAAGCATTTATGGCCTGAAATAGGTTTTAACAAGCAAAATCTTTTGATTATTTAAATGGTGTGACAAATTTTATTTGTTTAACTTGAAAATTTTGCTAAAAAGATAAATTGGATATTTAATACATATTTAAAAATAAAATTAATTTAGTTAGAAATATAAATACACATGAAAGAACTATTATATTATATAAGGACAAATTGAATCATCAATCCATAATTTAACTCGAAAAGAAGAAGTAACTTCTAAATGGAAAAATGCTTGTTTGGATAAGCTTTTATTTGGATTGAGATTAGTGCTCATGATGACCAGGTCAGCATGGATCTAGTTGGAGATAGAAAATGAAAGGCTACCTAATCTTCAATATCGCTCTAATTAGTTGCAAAATGTGTCACTTCATCTTGGCTGGAAATTATGGCTATGTCTAGATAAATCCAAATCATGTAATGATTGAAGGTTGAATTCGTTTACAGATTATTTTTACGATAAATCAAATAATGTAGTGATTGAAGAGTGAGTTTCTTGGATATGAATTCAAAGTCGGTACAGCAAACCACTCACGATCCTTATGTTACATGTGTATTTGTTTGTATTTTTTTTTTTAAAGGCTGCGATAGCTTTGGTTATATCACATGCTAGTGTTGCACTTGATAGGAGATTAAAAATTGGGTTTTGCTCATATATATTGCTTTTAATTTTTAAATTATTTTGATTGAGATTCTATTTTTTTCGTGTTAATTAAGTTATTTTATTTTGTTTTCGTTCATTTATTATAACATCGTTAATTTCGAATTGACATGGTGTTGATGTGATGCATCTATTTCTAAAAATATGCTACATGTCATACATAGGATTCTAATAGAAGGATTTAATCAAAACAATTTAAAAAATATAAGGTTTTAATCAAAACAATTCAAAGCTTGAAAAGACTGAAAAAAATATATAGATTCTTCAATTTTATTTTAATTGGAGTCATATATGATACAGTTTTACAACATTCAATATGAGATCTTAGACACAATAAAATAAAAATAAAAATAAAATAATAATTTGATCTTTGTATTATTTAAATAATTTTGATTAAAAAATTATATTTTTTGAATTATTTTGATTGAATCATTAGAGTTTGTTATACGACAACAAGTATTATAGTTTTAAAAATATATATGACATGTTTGCTTACAACTAACGATATTATAATAAAAAAAATAAAAACAAAATAAAAAGTTTAAAAAACCCAATTAACATGAAAAAGAATACAATATCTCAATAAAAATAAAAATAATTCAAGAAACAGAGGGACCATGTACGGGAAAAACTTGTTAAAAGTTTTGTGTATTGAAATAGTCAACTTTGCTTATAATTAGGTCGTTAAAGATCTTTTGAACAATTTTCATGAGGGTAAATTGAACCACATGGTCTCTTAAGTTTCTAATTTTATTCATTTTAACCCCTCTACTCAAAATTTTTGGGCACACCAGCCCAGACTCTTTTAATTTGTTGCAACGGGTTTCCTTCATACCTACATTAAGGACTAATTTGCAAAGAGCAGCTCAAACAATCACAAATTTGAAGTTCTAGTGTTGAGGTGACCAAACTTCTAGTAAAGAGGCGAAAATGATCAAACTTAAAAACTTTCAGGACCACATAATGTAACTTACCTTCTTTTCATGACCACCAAACTCATAATCTCTTGGACCTAGTGGCAATTCTCACTCTCTCTATTGTAAAGTGAAATCATTGAATTTATATTGCTGAAAAGTTAAAAATAAGGTGATATCCTTATAATGTGCTTAGCACAATTGATCAGCCTTTTCAATTATTGTTTATATATATATCTTTAAGATATTCAAAGCTTAAAAATCAATATTAATTATTTAATATCATGTCGAGTATATAAGATTGACATAACTATTTAACAACTATTTTATATATACAAAAACTCGAATTAATAATTAGATTCCGTTGAAGTTAACAATCTTGACTAATTTTTTGAACATATGTTTTCTTTTCTTGCTACATTTAAGGTGACTATGAGCGATTTTGGCTCTAAAGAGAGAAAATAAACTCTTTTCAAACCTGGCTGCAGATCTTTCAGAGTTAATTAAGAGGAGAAGTGACCTCTTTTCAATGGTGGAAGCCACCTCTTTTGGCTCATTCCTATGCGTCAAAGCTATAGGAGTCAAAGATGATCGACTTTCAGGTTCGCAAGGCCAAAATGACTCGTTTTCTTTCACTGTTCTTCACCATGTCCACCACCTGTAGACACCACGACTACCTTTCCCCCTTTCTTAATCCAATTAAACTAATATTAAGAACATGGACTCTAATTGATATTTAATATTAAGAACATAGACTAAGACATAGACATTTTTGTTCCTAATATATTTAGTTTATAGCTGAAATAGTTTGAGTAGGTGAATTTGGACACTAAATTTCTAGGTTGGTTTAATTTTTTGGTTTTTCTCCAATATCTTCGTCTTAAACATGAATAAAAAAAATTTAATTATTCTTAAGAAACACAACTCTATTATTTAAACTCTACACATTAACAATAAATTTATCTAAAGATCAACTTATTAATCGCCAGATCATCAACTTGTTGGTTCTACGTTGGTTCTATGATTTAAACATTAATGTTCGAAAAATCTTATCCTATGATGCTAACATGACACCTTATGCCCATCTCTACACGGGCTAAAAATTGACATTTCAGAGCTTTTTTTTGTCTTCTAATGATTTGGACCACTGTGGACTTTTCTTTGGCGTTCCATTGAAGTTATGGAGGTTCCTAATCTATAGAGACGGCACCCCCACTACAAATTAACTCATGGAAAGTGACTAATCAAATCATCATTGCCAGGGACAGAGCACCTTAATTTTGTTCTAGATAAGAAGAAGATATGGCATAAGCAAAAGCACACGTGGGTGCTCTTCCAGCCAACCTACTTTGCTGTACGTAGTGGCCAACGTTTGAGTCAAGGCATATGCCATTCCTGATAAGGCAAGAATATCGAGTGAAGTTAATGTGGAGATGAGCTGAGGTTCAAGTGTTCTATAGGCTGATGGAAAATGCGTGTTCATGGGAGAAAACCTCTGCGTCAAAACAAATTACAAGTCATACAAGATCGAGAGCTCAGATTTAAGCATCTCAATTGAGAACCTTGATGAATGATGATTATTGTTATTACAGTGAGAATATCCTTGGACGATTCATTTTACAAGTTTTTCAGATTCAAACTAAGATATGGAGATGATACAATGAAGCGCATACCCATGTTGCAACTTTTTTCAAACTAAGATATCGAGATGATATTGTGATAACAAGTGAGAACAAACTCATTTATCACCACATAATTGTTAAAACCTTGAGTTAAGAAGATACTATTAAGAAGATATGGTGAAAAATATCATCCTATAATAGTTAAAAACCTTGAGTTAAGAAGATACCATTCAGAATATATCATGAAAAACAAATTTATTTATCACCGCGTAACATAGTTTTAAATAACGATTACAATCATTATCATAATTTATTAAGATAATAAAATAACGATCACGACTATTATATAATCATAAATAACGATAACAGGATGATATTATGAGAACAAACTTATTTATCACCGCATAACATAGTTTTAAATAACGATTATAATCATTATCGTAATTTATTAAGATAATAAAATAACGATCGCGACTATTATATAATCATAAATAACGATAACAGGTTGATGATATTATGAGAACAAACTCATTTATCACTACATAATATTTAGTTAAAAATCTTGAGTTAATAAGATATCATTAAGAAAATATCGTGAAAAATGAATATATTTATCAGCACATAACATTGTTTTAAATGAGAAATATAATTGAAAATACAATTCCAATCACAATCGTAACTTATTACAATAATAAAATAAAGATCATGATTATTATATAACTAAGAATAATGATAACAAGATGTCTCGAAATTATTATGCAACAGTTAAAATTATTATATAATAATGAATAATAATAATAATAGGATGTTTTGAAATTATTATATAACAAATGTTATTTAAACCTACGAAGTATAATAATTAAAAACCTTGAGATGATATTATAAAAAGCAAACCTATTTATTACTGGATAGTGATTAAAAACTTGAGTCAAAAGAGTAACATTTGAACCCTTAACCGTTCAACCAATTTTAAAAGACTAAAGGCTACCAACTTATCGTAAGGATGGTAAAATCTGGTTCAAAGACGAATTTAGATTCGAGTCCTTCCATCAAACGAAGGAAATAACGTTTACATGAGAACGCTCAAAATATTGAACAGAAATCCATCGATCCTTAGTTCTGAACTCTCAAAGTGAGGGAAGAGAAAACACCATCTCGTCCGAATAGATAATCCAGGAATAAAACAGAAAAGGAAAGTAAAAGAGAGAATCCAAATCTTTGACCATCTGGCCAAAACAGAGAGAGCAAGATTTTTCATTAAGGAACAAGATAAAGCTGAAGGATAAAGGACTCATAATTACATATATCGCAGCAGCACGGGATGTGCAACATGCATGTCTGGACAGTTTACAACTTAACATCTAACACATCCAGCTGATTCTGTATAACCTTGCACTTGGAACTTCTACAGGCATATGACGTCTAAAACTTTCTGTCAGAAAGAGAGAAAACACAAAAATACACAGCAAAAGAGGAAGAAGCAGATTCTGCTGAGCGACCTATCAGCTTGCATTACATGCCTTCTCACTCTAGGGCTAGTGCTTCCTGCAAGACAATACGAATTTGGGTAACTGTGGATGTTGGCTATCGAGTTACCGAAAACTCTTGCGTAAATCATTTCGCCAAACATCCCAACCACTGGATCAGCCATGTTTATTGATGTCCCCCCTGGGCTAAGCAGTGGGGAAGCAGAGTAACTCCCTGGCTGGGAAGAATAGAGTTGTGATTGAAGCGGATAATTATGTCGATGATGAATTTGCTGTGTTGAGCGTGGACTATTGGTGGCAATAGGTGATCTTGGTGAATCAAATCCACAGGCAAGACCAGGAGGTCTCCGTGGAATGATTATACCGAGATTGGGGGCTTTGCTCTTGGAGAGTTTTGTGGTTTGGCCGCGGCCAAAGAGTGGAACTATTGTGGATTGGGAAACTTCGGCTTTACAGACAGGACATTGCTGTTGTGGCTGCTGATCCTGGTTTTCAGCAGAGACGCCCTGGAAATGAAGCCATTTGTATATGCAGGGCCAGCAGTAAAGGTGACCACAAAGCGTGACCACTGGATCCTGCACGGAGTCCAGGCAAATATTGCAATCAAAACCACTGGAGGGGCTATCGTCAGAATCTATGTCTGTCTCAGAAATAGAATTCCACTTCGCCAGTGATGTCTTATCTTCTCTGTTACAGTCATTTTGAGCCACAGTTTCTTCCAAGTACTGCTCTATGGCCATAGTGTCTGGTTCACGCCGGGCTTTTTTGCTGCCTTGGATCTGAAAATATGCCAAAGCAACAGGGTTAGGCATAAATCGGCGGATCAGAATAACTTACAGTTATCTCTACAACCAAATATGCTTTTTAAAGTATTAAACATTAAATCTAGCACAACTGAAATGGGACACACTTAATGCAAGAAGGCAACATATGTTGATAACCATTCACAATCGAAGTTACATATATTAACATATTCAAAGTTGTCCCACCATTACTGGGCCAAACAAACAGATTTATGAACGGCAAGTTGCATAAAATGGATCAAACATATATAATACTCTAAATGAGTAGTTCTACAAATTCATAATAAACAGAACACCAAAGAAACTTGCCTTGGAGCAAAACTATAAGAAAATATTAAAGAATTTTAGTTAAGTAGGTAGGGTGTTCTTATCCTTTAAAGGACCTATATGTGAAGAAAGAAGGAAGACACCGATTTTCTAGATTTCAAGCTTGGATGAGATCTGAGCAAAACTATTCCGGTAGGTGAGAAGTAGGCCAGCATAAGATCACCTAACCAAATTTCACAAAAGCTAACATCCAACCGACATGATTATCAGCCATCCAGCTATCTTCCTATTTCAACTTAAATAGTGGTCACCGCACCTATTATTCTATAATATATATTCTTCGAGAAGATCAACCCCTTGATGCAAAACTGTCTTTCATCAAGAAGATCGACCACCTCAAACGAATAGCACAGAAAGTTTTACTCCGTGGACAAATTGAATTTTCTAACTGGTTTCATTATCCTAGTGCCTTCAAGGATTATCATCCAGAGAACATCCTCAAGGATGTATAACCATGAGATGACACAAAGAACAGTTGATGATGTACTCGCACGTAGCATTAACCTTCTTCAAGAAGAATTATAAAAACAGATCCAAAAAGTAAATGAGATGAGAGCTCTATCACTCATCATATGGGATTATCCTTGCTTTATACAACAGTGGATGATATGCTAAAGAATCCATCTTTCAATACTAACCGAGGAAGGGAACCAGATCCATGATCACATGACGTTGCTAGCACATCTCGATCCTTTATCCATCTAATTACTCCAAGCTTAGCCTTATTATTTGAGCCTAGATCCTGAATCAACTCCACCTCCACTCAATCCAACTCGGCTCAACTAACCATAAATCTAGTCAGATAATATATAACTAGCCAAGTAATTTAACAGGCAAGTGAAACAGAACTTCACCAAAGTGTGACAAGATTCATTTCCCAAAGCTAGTACCAGACTAGCCCAGCCCATGTCCAATAACAGACACAGTTTAAAGCAACCATAATTCCTAAAAATACACGAAAACAGCTGTACGTGGTTTTATAACTACAAACAAAATCTGATCAAAGCTTTTCTAGGTGAGGTCACAAAAACACAAAATTGTTCGGCCCCTTCTCAGATTAAAAGGTGCTTTCTTACCACCGGATGACAAAGAAAAGAACAAAGAGGATAAGAAGCAAGGTAGCAAACAAGAATGGTACAGAAACAAAACTGAAACCACCTGAGAAGAAATTTAAGTTCTCATGCCTACAAAATCCCCCCACAAAACTTCTAGCTTCAAAGGAATTAATGATTCCATCCCCAAGAACAAAGCTAATCCCAATAAGACTAATAAGGGGACCCTTGTCTATTGCCCTCAACAAAACCTCCTTGTGAAACCCATTACTTAAGTGATTCCTTTCTAAACAAACATGGCACAGACTAATATTAAAAACTCTCTCGTTAGAATTCGAAAAAGAACATCAAAATTAAGACACAACAACTCAATCTTCACATTGTAGAAGCCACAACTAACACAAACCCAAGTTTAAGAACAAATCACTTAACCAACTTGACCCCCTAAAACATGAATTAATTCATTAACAAAAAATCAAAGATCAAAATTTTTCGTTGCAAGACAGACGAATGCAGAGAGAAACAAGAAGCACATAAGGACATTAAAAAAACAAAAAGCATACCAAGAACGGTCAATTCTGATTCTGTTTAACAAAGCAAGAAACTCTCGAGGGTCTTTCTATAAAAAGATTCAAAGTTTTTATATTGATCAAGCTAAGCTTCAATAGCAAATCAAACAAAAGAACACAGCTTTCTTTAACAAGAGATGGAGAAAGTTATATCAATGGCTAGAGGAAAGAGATTAGTTTCAGAGGGTGTAAGGAAGGTATAGAACAATGGTTATAAATAAAAGAGGAAGAGATAATGATTGCGAGGGGAGAATGAGAGAAGAAAGGAGCAAAGGGGAGATAGATATATATAGAAAGAGGAGAGGCCTCGCATAAATAATACATTACAGAGAAATTTAAAAATAAAATAAATAGGGGAGAGAGAGAGAGAGAGAGAAAGAAAAGGATAAACTCTGCACTTCACTTCCTGTACGCTCCCGTTTCTTTATTTTGTTACTGACGTGGCTTTGAGCAAGCGCGTATTTTTCATTAAAAAAATCCGAAAATATACTTATTATTGAAATAAGAAAAACTAATAAATCAATTAATTTTTATCTAGTTTTAAATAATTATTGCTACCTTATTTAGTATATTTACAGTAAATTTGGTTTTGATTCAAATTTCTTTTTCGAGATTTATTTATTAATTTTTTTAAATCAACTTAAGAAAGTAAGGGAGGAAATTAATTTTTTTACCAATGAATTTATTTATTGAGATTTGTTAAATCCAAATCTAGATGATGATAAAAAAAAAAAAAAAAAACATATTCATTTATAGTCCAAATCATCTAGATGATAAAAGGAAAACATAGCCCTAACCCATCCTCCAACTACAGTAGGGTTGCTTTTTTTTTAATAATTAAAGGGTGTTTGGTTACGTGAGAGTTACATAATTAAAAGTGGGGTGGATGATTAGAGAAGGAAAAGATAATTAAATAGATAAACTTGTGTGAACATGTTTTGCTTCTTTTTGTTTTATTTGGGACAATTAATTAGGGGTGTTCCCACAAGTAGTTTAGCAACAAATTAAAAATAATTTTAGTTTTTTCTGACCAATTAGCAGGGTTTACCATAAGTAAGGAGGTGACTAAAAATACCCATGAAATTTGGTTAAAATAGTTAGTTGATAATCGGATATTTGTTTTATGGTACGGGAAATTTTACCTTATTTCAGAAGTGTCTAATAATATATTTACTTTATAAGAAAAATAGAAATATAAAAAAAAATTATTTGTCGGTTTATCCTAAAAAATTAGCCTATAAGAATTTGATTTCTTATAAAGAAAAAATAAACCCAAAAACTTTGCCAAAATATAAAGTCACTTCCTACCAAATTATATCAAATTTTCTAAAAGTTTAGATTAATTTCTTACTCGTTTGATCCGACGTATAAAACAAACATAATTATTCGGAAAGTTGGCAAAAACTCAAAACCAAAACTATTTACTTAAACTATTAGAGTTTTTTCTACTCAAACCAATACTCTTGAGTTCCTAACATTCGATTTCAGCACATTTATCTTCACTTTTCTTGGCCTAATAATTTGTTGATTATGTTATTTGTAATGATTAGACAAAACTTTAGCTTTAGCACTACTAAGCTTCAAAAGGGAGCAAGCAAACACATTTTTTGGTTTTCCTTTAATTAATGGGATTCTTCATAAAGCTCCATTTATTGTAATTTCACGTGTGACAAAGTAAAGAGTTGGGTAAATCACCAATAAGTTGTTTTGGTTAAGTGGTAAGTGAACTAGTCTCTAAATGAATTTTCTATCACTATATAATATTTTCGAATCCTAAAATCGTACTTATTGAAAAAAAATCAAATTTTGTCATTTCTATTTTGAATATAATTAATCATATCTCTAATGTGAAGTGAGAATATACAAGGAAAAAAAAATTAGGCAAATCGGATTGTGAGAAGTAATGTTAAGAAAATTCACAATAAAATAAATAAACACTACATAACACGTGATTACAGAATTATTGGACATTTGATTCCTAAGACATTGGGGAATTTGTTGACATCAATTTAAAAAGAAAAAAGATTTGGTGATTGAATGAGTTGTATCATGCCTTGTTTGGTAGCTTGATTGTTTTCACTAATTAAAATAAATGGTTTAAATAAGATTAGGCCTGCAGAATCTTTTTCTTTAGTCCTGCACTCTACTGCTATTTTGACATCTCCATTTTTTTATTTACTTTGCCACACGGTTTTGCTTGCCGATTAGCCATGGAAACAAATAGAGTATGATATGCAAGTTGTGTAGTCTGTGTATGTAAGTTAACACCTACCTATGTTTTCTAATTTTGACCCTTTTGCATACCCAACTCATACCAACAAATAGCTAGATATTGAATTTTTTTTTTAATCTTATAAAAATAATTAAATCTTGATTTGCATTGCTAACTGTACGATGATCAACCACCATAGGATGTAGTCTAGCAGTAAAAATGTTATCTTGATTTAGCCAATATCAACTTTTAATTTTTACCATTCACGAATAATTAGTTATAATTATTTTTTTGTAGTATTAATTTTGGGTTTATTTAGTTTAAGAGAAAGCTCAATAGTTGATTAAAAGCCAAGCACGTTATAACACTAATTTAACCTAGAAAGAAGTATACTTAAAAGATACTTCATTATCTATAAATATTAACAAAAAAATTAAACGTGTTTGGTTGCTCGTTTGTTTAGTTCAGAAAGAATTGTACTATGATCCACACATAATAAAACTAGATATTTTCTTGATTGATGAGTTGCTGAACATTGTTTGTAAATATTTGAAATCAAATCTTTGTTCATTTTAAATAAAGAAAAAAAAGTTTCCTTCTTTTTTTGCAATAATTCAATCACAACTCTCTTATGGTTTTATTGATAATCAGCATATTTTGTACTAATTTGCACATATTTGAAGATTTTTTTTTTTTTTTTTTGTATTTATTTCTCTGTTCAGAAAGAACCAATAAAGTAACCATTAATAGCTCTTTTGAGTATTTTAAGATTTCTCGATTATTAATTCCTAACCTTGATATAATCATATATAAGTTGCCTTAATGATATGAAATTGCTTTTTTTTTTTT